CCGCTTGCACCCCCAGGAAAACCGTGCGCGAAACCTGCTGCCCATCTCGATGCGGAGCCCTTGACAAAAAGCTAGCGACGACTCCTTGGGAATCCCCATCAGATGCCCTTCGCTTTGCCTTGAAATAACCTCGCCGAGTGGCTAAGAAATGCTCAGGGCCGCGGGGTTGCCCGGCAGGGAACGGCGAACCGATATTAACGGCCGTGGCGGCTTGCCGCTTGCGCGTGGCCCTATACGAGCAAGCAGGCGCGTGGGAGAACCCCGAAGAAACTCCCCTCCCAAGCCCTTTCGCCGCCAGACTTACCGGTAGGAGCGCTGGAGCAGGACCACTCCCCCCCCCCTTCGCCGGCCGTGGCGTTCAGGCGTCGCCGCGAGCACTGACGTCACCCTAGCAACGACAGCGCGAGCGTTCGGCGCGCCGACGTCATCGCGACGGTAATGAAATTTCAAGATACAAATTTGTAGAGGTGGAGATTGTTCCTTTTTGGCGCTGGGTAATTCCCGAAGAAAGAAAAGAAAAAACAAGCCACATCATCTTTACCTATCTCCTCTTGGAAATACGCTCCTTAAAAATGGAGAAATTCAAGGCTGAAATTCAACCCAGGCGGATGGACGCCAGCGAGGGCGGTCAAAACATAATTTTCCTGTTTGAACTGCGACGAAACTTAATCGGAGGAAGAAACAAACTGAGATTCGTTTCAGTATTTTACTTTTTATTAAACGAAACTGTAGCAGCAGCTTATACTATCCGACTCGATTCAACTTGTTTTCCGAATTAGTCCATTGCTACTAACAAAGATCAGTTGCGTTTTCCTTTTTTTTTTTTTTTGGAAAACTCTCAAAGGAGATTCTTTCACAACATACAGATAAGATCACACTGGCCTTAGGATAGATAGGCACAATCATAAAAGTCCAGATTAGAAGAGTCAGAGAAAGAAGTCTTTTTCTAATCATTGGCCTTCTGGACCCTTGCTTCCATCTAGTTTGCAATTTCCCTGCCCAGTAAAAGGTAGACCAGATAAACCAAAACTAAACTAAACTTTCCTTCTAGTAATTATCCTATGCATTAAGCAAATTGGAATGGTGACATTAAAAAATAATTATTGCAAATGTTACACGTTACAATCATGTTGCCCTTTTTATGCCATAATGCAGTGAAAACAGCTTTCATTCCTTCACTGATGTAGGGTTCAGAATGCAACAACCAGTTTATACGATGAAAATTGCACTTGCAGGTACAAAAGATACTATTATTTTTTTCCTCTGTATTCTCCAATTATGGTTGGCCACACAGTCTGCCAGATTGTCAGTCAGCCAAATTAGACTGGGTTTCGCATTCACCTATCAAGCCCTTCCCAAAGACCTGAGATAGGCAGATGTTTGATGGTATGAAAGGTATTGTTGCAGGAAGCAAGATAATAACATGTAAAGGTGCTTTTTGCAAATGACTTATGATGATTTTATCAATGCCAATAGAGTTCAAGGGTTGTTTTGGGATTGCAACTAAGGCACCCATCGCTATTGGTACTATCTTTGCTTTTTTTTTTTTAACCAGTCATTCTATTTGCAGATCTATTTTGTGATTATTTATTGAAGAAATACAACTAGCAACTGCCTGGAAAGTCCACAAAGTTTTCTTAGCAGGATTTCAGAAGTGATTTGTAATTATCTGCTTCTGCTTCTTATGACTAGATAAAGTGACTGGCCCAGGGTAATTGAACAGGCTTCATGCCTAAAGATGGGAGTAGAACTCATACTCTCAGTTTGTAGCCTTATGCCTTAACCGTATATATTTATTTTGTACTATTTAAGTTGTTTTTATGATGTATGCTGCCCAGAGTCACTTATTGAGATGAGAAGCTATAGAAATCAAATAAATAAAACCACTACAAGCAGTCCTCACTTGTAATGACCTTAACTGGGACCAGCAACTCCACTGCTGAGCAATTATGAAACCACAACTATACTTTCCAGCTAGGCAAACTTGCAGTACTCTCTTGAAATCTCTTCTTCTCCAATCCCTCCAGGTGTGGGGAGACAGACCAAGTAATTTCTGTAGGCCAGCTCTCCTTTTCCTGACCCTTCTCCCTCCCACATGCAAAACAGAGAGTGATGAGGAAGGGATTTCAATAGAGTGCTATATACTTCTGCACATTAAAAGCAATGTGATTGTGCATCAGCAACAGGAAACAATCAGGCAAAGGAGAAATTGTGCCTATAGAAATTGCTTGTTTTCCCTGTCCTCACAGAACAGAAAGATTGGAGGAAAAAATTCCACAAGAGTACTATAAGCTATCTATGTAATGTGCATGAGGCTTTCAGACCCAACCTGTTTTTATGATTGCATTAGTTTTGATGTGTAGAAGAGCAAATAGTTTACTCTTTTGCAATTCCTTTCTCTCTAATCTCTTTGCTTTGCAATGGGGGGGAAGGGAGAAAAAAAACACAGGACAAGCATAGAACATGTACTGAGTGTAATGATAATCACTTGATTAAGGAATGCTGTGAAGATATTAAATGGTAACTTGGCTGTAAAATTATTTTTTCAGCACTTTTGTAACTTCAAACAGTTGCTAAAAAAGTGACTGGTAAGAGAGGAATATCTTTATAAAGTGGCTCTCAATGTATTCTCCAAAGCCAATATTTTCTTTACTAATTTTCTGGTTTTTGCTTTGCAAACAGCCAACAGAACCTGAAATTATTTTTCCTAGTGCAAAATATAAAGAAGCATAAACAAGATTCCACAAGAGTCCGCTTTAGCAACAGAGAATAAAAAAGAGTACAAGTTCAAAATTTAGTATGCAAGTATTTAATATTTTCCATCTTCTTCCAGAAAAAAAGTCTTAAATTGCCATTTTGAACTTTTTTCAGCACTTCAAAATGATTCAAATACTGCAACCTTTATTTAGACTAGAGGCAAGGATCAATTTGTATTGCACTACGGAATTCACCAACCATAAAAAGGGTTCCAAGGTACCGTATATTCCGGCGTATAAGACGACTGGGCGTATAAGACGACCCCAACTTTTCCAGTTAAAATATAGAGTTTGGCCTATACTCGCCGTATAAGACTACTCCTCTTCCATGAGGGAGGGGGAAAGGGAGCACAGTTTCTGAGTTCTCATTGGCTACCTGTAAGTCCAAATGAGTAGCTCAGGGTGTGTGCGTGCACGTGTAGGCATGCGTGTGACTCCCCGGGTCCCTTCCATTGCCCCCCCCCAGTAGCAAGCTTTGGCTTGGAGCAAGCAGGCTGCACACAGGGATCTCCTCCTCTCAGTCTTCCACCCTGCGAATCCTCCACAGCCTCTCCAAGCTGAGTGAGCAGAAAGCCTGCCTGTTTGTCAAAGGCTCTGCCTTGTCAATCGCATACACACCTTGATGAAAATTGCCCTGCTTGCAAAAGGACTTCTCAGCAGTTTTTTAAAGCAACACTACCAAGAATGAAATTGGAGACAGCCAGAATGTTTAGGGAAGAAGGAAAGGAAGCAGTTAATAAACCAAGTAAGAAAGGCATTCGCCCTTTGAAAACTTGCATTTCCACAAATGTGATAAGTTGCCCCCTTTTCAGGTAATGGGGGGGAGTAAATGCTTTCCTTTTAATTTGTTATTAAAACTCAGTGCACTACAGTACTTATAGATGGGAGCCAGATTGACCAGCCAGGATCTGTCATAAATAACACCACAAATGCACCATGCAAGTTTATTTAGGGGGGGGGGAGAAACTGCATGCATAAGCTCGGTGGAAGTCGACAGGCGAAAGGATTGTGTAGCTGTTTTCTGTCCCCACTCCATTCCTGCTTCGTAACTGAGAGGAATTTAGCTGACACCCCTCCCCTTCCAGACCCATAAGCTCCGCCTCCCCCAAGCTACTCTCACCGGCAGTGAGAGGTAAACGCTGAAAAGCCTGCATGAAGAAGCACTGAGAAGTGCCTCGAATGGATGCAGATGCTTAGGTTTGTTTTCATTATATAAAAAAAACCACCCTACAACTCTTTTCCCCCCTTCCCCATTACATGGGCCATCCCTTTCTACTTCCTTTGAATGAATTAATCAGGGGATGGCCACTACCAATCCGCAGTTCTGGAGGGGTGGGCAAGGAATTGGGATGCAAAAGGGAGGGAAGAAGAGAGGAGATGGTTTGCAATGTAGCATTACAGAATGGAGATTAAACCTCCAGGAAATCTTACTGTCACGACAGCCAGATAATGCCTATCGTACTCCCAGTATAGAGGCTGGAAAGAGATATCTTTAGTTGATCGGCTGGTTTTAATAATAACCCTAGGACTCTTTTTGAGTGAGAGGGGGGGGGGGGAGAGAAAACTTGCTGAGTAATATTTTTACGGCGTATAAGACGACCCCCGACTTTTGCGAAGATTTTAAGTGTTTAGAAAGTCGTCTTATACGCCGGAATATACGGTAAACATTTTTCCAGAAGAAAAATTTCAGAACATTTGACTGCATTCAGGCACTATGGCAAAATAATATTGTTTAAAAAAAAGTTGGCCCTATTTCACTTGATTTCAAATGACTTGTCCTAATTGTGGTTCACCATTTAAAAAAAATCAGTTATGAAGCTTTTTTCTACCCCCAGAGACCCCTGCTTAGTAGAAACAGAAGCAAATTTCTAAATAACAAAAAGCTAAAAGCTATTTTTTCTATGGTAGATTTGGAAACTCACACCTTGATAAAGATCTTAACAACACTGGTTTTGAGAATGATCCACATCAAACCACAGGTTTACATGCCTCAAAATAAAAATATTAGAATATTCTGTCTTCAGACTGAGTAGGAAATTGCCAAAATTCAGCTTCCCATCTCTCCTTGCACAGAGAAGGAAAAGAAAGGAGTTTGAGACCATCAGTAACCACCAATCTGAATCATTCTTCTGCTATATTACACTAAAAGTGTTCAAGTTCACAGAAAAATTCATAAATTAAGTAGGGAGAGGAGAAACACAATACATAATCAGCTACTCTTTTTTTCCCCGATTACATCAATTGTTTTCCCTTAAAGAAGTTACAACAGTTTATTGACGAATGTTCACAGTGATTGTTGTTATTTCTAACCTAGATTAAAGTCACCATGTGATTAGGGTTCAGGATTTCAATCCAGTAGCCATCAGGATCCTGAATAAAAGCCAGGCCTTTCATTTTACCTATAAAAGAGGAATATGTAGTTTTAATAAATTCCAGTATAATTCTCACTTTAAGCTTTTACAAGGTATATATGTCCCAGGATAATGTTGTAGGATCCAATCTGGGTCAGTCACCAGAAGTTCCTTGAGGATGGGGGCTCCAGCATAAGTCCAAAAGCTCAGAAGACCAAACCTCTGGTCCCAGTGACCGACCCAGATTGGATCCCACTTTACAACTTTCCGAGATTAGTATCATTTCTTCTCCAAGAATTTTCTTCCCAGAGACAAGATTTTTATTATTTGCAAAAAGCAAGCTGGAAATAGACAAATAGGTTGGAGACACACATCATGCTACCCTACATATATGTATATATAATTTGATATGATCGATGTATTCACCGATTAATCTCAATACTACATACAAAGAAAAAGGCAATTATTCGTTCACAGCACACTCACCATCATCTGGTTTCTTCACAAATTTTACCCCCAGTTCTTCAAATCTTTTACAAGCTTTACTTACATCAGGAACAGCAATTCCAATGTGACCTAAAAAATAATCAGAATAATCAAAAACAGTGCAACATTTGGCAATATATGAATAATGCCTTTGTTCATAAAGCACTGACATAAATCTATTTTTTCTGGGAAAAAAACAGGAAATACAAGCATTATTCCATAATACATACAAAAGAAATCTATTAATTTAAAATTACATTTAAAAGAGAACAGCCACAATCTGATGTGATCCAGATGCATTTGGTACAACTCCTATCATTTATATCCAGGTCTGAAACTCAATGACAGGACTATGAGAATTATAATTCAATAAATTTAGAGATTATCAAGAAGATACAACTTTACTGAATGAACCAGAGAATCACTGGGCATCTTATATCCATCTAGTCCAATCCCTAGTTTGCTACAATAAACTAAACCAGCAGTCCCCAACTTTTTGGCACCAGGGAATAGTTTCATGGAAGACAACTTTTCCACAGATACAACCGGATGCATTAAATTGGGGAGAGCTGGTCCTAGAGCCAATGCCATTGTTTTATTTCACAAAAAAAGTTTTCATCCATCAAAACATTAAAAAAAAAATGAAGCTGGAATAGAGGTCCCCCCCCCCTTTTTTTTTTCTTTTCTTTTGAAGACTTTTCTGGAAATAAAAGACACACAGTTAATACATTTTGGCTTTTTTCAAAACTTACCAAATCCTCTGGGGTCTGAATTGCCATTGTGGTAAGCCTGTTTCTCATCATTTTCAGTGCCCCAGTTGCTGAAAGAAAGAAAGGGGACAAATGGAACAAGTGGAGGACAAATATATATTAAGCAGTTCCAGTACAAATTAGAGGCTAGCTAAACTTTTTGAAAAACATTTATGCTTAAAGAAACTAAAGAAAAGCCTAAACTAAATGTAGAGAACAGTAACTAAATTTTAACCATTAGCAAATTGCATCCGTTTATATTGGGATTATTGCTCAAATCTAGATAAATTAAAGCTACTGTATACTAAAAGAATCCATATAAAAATGAGCTGCACCCAAAACAAACAAACAAACTTATAAAGAACAAGGATTTGTTTGCTTTGATGTAAGCTGGAAGTAAATCATTGGGGAGGAGAAGGAGGAATTTGCTTCTTTATTGCACAGTGAGTCTGGTACCCTGACTTGTAAAACTACAGGTAGAACTTGCTTAGCAACCATTCATTTAGTGATATTCAAGTTACAATGAGATTGAACAAATGGTACTTACACTATAACCTTGTTATAGTGCCTCTGCAGTCATGTGATCAAAATTCAAGTGATTGGTAGCCCACTTGGATTTACAATGGAAGGGATGCTTCAATTCTCCTTAACCATCTCCATCCTTTTGGCTTTTCTGCACTTTGCTGACCCCAGCTGACACCACAGTAGATGCCTGTACACCCTCTCATACTGGGCAGCAGCCATCCCCAACCACCACAATCATTAAGCAAATCAATATTCCCCAGTGGGAATACCTGGAAATAAACATTGGGAACTGGAAAAAACATTGCAAATCCAGGAATATAACTGCAAAGGTGAGCTGGTTGCCAAGCACACAAATCCAATCATGTGACGGGATGGGTGGGTTATGGTCATAGAAACTTTGAAAACAGGCTGTAACTACTTTTGGGGAGCTTCTAATGATCATTAAGCAACCAGCCATAAGCCAAGGACTATCACATTTATTTTAATGTAATTTTACAGTCACACAATTTGAGAACAACCACAATTTGTGTGATAAATTGTAGCGGTTAAGCAATCAGTTGTAGCTGTTAAGCAATCAGTTATTCTTGGAATTTCTTTCCACTCTGAGTAGAATTAGGGACTATTTTCATTTTTATTTATTTGAGTGCTGGTAAATAAGACACCTGTTCCAGTTTAAAATTAATTACACACACTGAAAAAAAAAATCCATATCTGACAATAAGTTCATCTAGGACACATTAAAAACAGGATATTTATTCCTTTATATGAACCTGTCCTTTGAGTAGGTAAATTATGACACAGACACCATATGAATTATTGGAACGCTACTTTATTTTTATACAGTATAATATCAGAATCTGAAAACCTGAGTGAGAGTCTCTCCTCCCTTCTTACACTAAAGAGAATCAAGGTAAAGCATTCTTAACTTTTTCCTCATCTCCTCCGTCTGGGTTAAATTATTGCTTGCATAATGGATGTTGATTTCCTTCTTCAAGACCATTTTCATACCCTCTACAGGAACCAGACCTTTCTTTAAAAAAATTATTTCAAGTGTGCCCTCTCTCTTCTAGGTGATCCATAGTTTGCAAAAAGATCATTTCTTATTCATTTCTCAAATCTCCAGGTTTGAAGATTATATAGATGAAAACCTGGGGACTGGGGAAAAACCAATATGCAACAGTCACCAGATTTCAAAGAATACACTCACTGTGTTAGTTCTACTGTGGCCTTCCTAGAAAAGGTCCATGCTATCCTCTCATTATTATCTTTTGGAATATCATTTTTATCTTCATAAGCCAAAAAGTAGAGGGAGAATTTCATAGAAGGAAAATCATATTTTTGAAGTAAGCTGAAGGAAAAAAAAACATACAAATTATTTCATCCTAAACATTTTTCCAGTTTCCTCACTGTAACACAGTACCAAGTCCTTTGATGATCAGCTTTAGAACTGCTGTTGACAATTTTTTAAATTGAAAAAAATCAATTCAAAATAAACATGAGGTTTACAATGACAACAACAGCATACAAGAAAGAAAGTTGTATTATTTTCTTACATAGATCAAATCCAGAAGGACCCTTACTATGGCAGTGCTGAAGAAAATTCAACATTTTTGCTTATATAAAATTCCAGTTTTCACTCAGAAAATATTTGGATTTTTTATTCAAAAACATTTGTGATGAACAACATAAATTAGCCTATAGTTTGCTTTTTATTGCTGAACAAAATTACTTCTGAGCAGAGAGATATGAATGCACTTTACATCTCCCAAATCCTTACTTAATACATCAATTAGTTTTAATTCCGACTACATATAAGTATGGTAGCCCAAAGCATTTGGTTTCTCATTATTTCAAAGATACTTTTTAGTTATTGTTCTTAGAAAAACAAGTCTAATGTAGGGCCCACATTTCTTTTATCACATGCCGCAAGCAGAAACTAGCATACTGGGAATTTCCACTCAAGAATACTGCCTCACACCTAAATATATTCCAATCTACTGGTAGAGTGAGATGGGGAGGAACAACATTCTGTTTCAAACCTTGGAGAAAAGGCAGAGTTAAGCATGTTTCTCACTCAAATTATTGACACAAACATTATACCCACAAACAAAACAAAAAGTCCTTTTACTGAGCTGAGATTCTCATCAAAGAAAAGGAAAAGGGGTTTTGTTTCTTTCTTTAGTAGTTCATCTCTTCTGTGCCAAATTTTCTCAAAGTCCTTCCAAATTGTTGGAACAGTTTAAAGCAGCTTAAAATATTTCATTAGCGGAGGACTAGATCCAAGAATCTTTTGTTTTTAGATGGTTAAAATGCTCATGAAGACAAGTAAATTCTTTTTACTTACGTCATCCCAAGAATTCTAGTATAAAAATCCAGTGATTTTTTAGGATCTTTTACTCTTAGCATTGTCTGCTGCATAAGAAAGTCCTACAGAAAAATACAACTTTGGTAAATCAGAAGTCTCAACAACATAGAACATAGTTTTCCTAGGGACAAAAAAAAAAATAGCCAAGACTAAAATGATATTTGTTTTGATATCAGATTAACAGCACAATATTACATAGTCAGTATTTGCACGTTTTAACAGGATTCTGGTAGACGTTATTATTTTGATGCTTGGAATACTGAATAACAATCAAAGAACTATTGTTTTAAAAGGCAGCTTCAAGTTCAAAATTTTTGCTCAGCCTAAATCAAAACATTGTAAGAGATGACTGTCCAGGCTTTCCTTAAATACATCGCCTTCCCTGATAACTGGTTCACTTTACATCTGTTCTTACTGATATATTTCTAACTTTCACTGGATCCTTCAGGAAATTATTTCATTTCATGTTCTCTGGGACAACAGAAAAGACTGTGTGTGTCACCTTTTCAGGGATTTCTAAAGTGTGGTCCTGCTCTCCTTAGAGTTTGTTTTTCCAAGCTAAATGAACCCAGTGCTCTCAATCTTTCAATTTAAGACTTGAAATTCAGTTCCCTGATTTTTCATAATGTTTTCTTTCTACTTACTCCAACTTTGTTAAAAAGAAAATGCACATTGGGATGCAAAGATCCCCAATCGGTGCCTCATATTATGAAGGGCTATAGAGTGCTTCAGCTTCAAAGATACTTCAAAGAATGTCTGCCTGAAACCTCTTAAACCACTTTCATCCCCAATGCAATCCCAGAAAAAGATTTGCTTGGCTTAAAGAATTACAGAATGGTATAACCATTTGTTCAGTGACTGTTCAAGTTATGATAGTGCTGAATGAGGGGGACTAATGAGCCGTCCATAAAGTTGAGGTTGTCATGGCATCCCTGCAGTAATATGATTGTGATTCGGATGCTTGGAAACTGCCTTGCACTTAAGAAGGTTGCAGAGCCTTGCAATTAGGTGGTCACCATTTGTGACCTTCCCTGCCAGTTTCCCACAAGCAAAGTCAATGGGGAAGGCAGGAAAGGTCACAAATCTCTCCCATAAGTCACTCTTACTCTCACCATTTTTTCTCCTGAGGAGCTCTCGGATAACATGAAGAATTGTTGGTAAGAGAGGCTTGATTTAAATAACTCTTGCAACATAGTTCTATTTTATCTTTTCAAAAGCACATTATAGTATGTGAAATGGAGCTAATTCCCAGAGATATACTGTATATAAACAAGATTACAATGTCCCAAAGGTGCTTTTTTCAGGAGGCAACTGGACTTTCTTATTGTTGTTTTTTGAAGATGTTTCACTTCTCATCCAAGACTTTTCTTCAGTTCTGACTGGATGGTGGGGAATGGAAGGATTTATATTCCTTGTAGACAGCTGCAAGGAATATAAATCCTTCCATTCAGAGCTGAAGAAGCTTCTTGGATGAGAAGCAATACATCTTCAAAGAAAAACAAGAAAGTCCAGTTGCCTCCTGAAAAAAGCACCTTTGGGACAACCATGACCTGGATGACTGAGAATCTCCATAGACGTAAAATTACAATCGACTACCCTGTGTTAAATCTCCCTAAACTTGGTAGAAGTAAATACCAACACAAGTATATTATTAACAGCGAAGAATATAAAGTACCTCAAGGGATTCTGATAACACTTGAGAAGGCATTTAAAATAGTTATTGTTCAGGTCTCAATGTGTAATCTTACAGTCTTATGTAGATATAAGAGGTCCTTAGTGTGCTCTGAGCTTGTTTTCTTGCAATGTTTCACTACCCAAACTAGATAACATCATCAGGACTGGTACTAGTTTCAATAATAAAATGAAATGAGGACCCTCATTTCAATCCTGAGCTACACATATTCTCCTTTATTGGCTACACAGATCTATCATGGTCAGTAGGATAGTTAATAAAGTATAAAGTAAATAAAATAAATGTGTAGAGTTGCTTTCCTGAACTTGAGGCTGTCCAGATATGAATTGAGACTTTCACTGTGCAAGGTTTCAGAGGATGAGAAGTGCTGGTCAAGTGCACAGACCAGGATGGAAAATAAAGAATATTTGTACCCCAGGGTTGAAATGAGGGTCCTTGGTGCTCTCTGAGCTTGTTTTCTTGCAGATGCTGATGATGTTACCTAGTTTGGGTAATGAAATGTCTGCAAGAAAACAAGCAAACTCAGCACCAAAGGCAAGAAAAGGCTGGCATGAAGCGACATGTAAATCAAGATCACATGAAGTGACAATGCCACTTTATAGCTCCTTGATAGGGCCAAGGTTGGAATACTACATCCAGTTTTGATCACCACAATGTAAAAAAGATGTTGAGACTCTAGAAAGTATGCAGAGAAGAGCAACAAATATGATCAGGGGACTGGAGGCTAAAATATAGAGAACAGTTGCTGGAATTGGGTATGTCTAATTTAATGAAAAGGACTACGGTAGGGATGACATCATATAGCAGTGTTCCAATATGTCAGGGGTTGCCACAAAGAAGAGGGAGTGCAGCTATTCTCCAAAGCATCTGAAGACAGGACAAGAAGCAATGGATGGAAACTAATCAAAGAAAGAACTAAGGAGAAATTTCCTGACTGTTAGAACAATTAACCAATGGAACTTGCCTCCAAAAGTTGTGAATGCTCCAACAGTGGAAGTTTTTAAGAAGAGATGGGACAACCATTTGTGTGAAATGGTATAGTATAGGTCTTCCTGCCTGAGCAGGAGTTTGGACTAGACCAGAAGTAGGCAACCTCGGCTCTTTTATGACTCGTGGACTTCAACTCCCAGAATTCCTGATTCACCTATGCTGACTCAGAAATTCTGGGAGTTGAAGTCCACGAGTCATAAAAGAGCCGAGGCTGCCTACCCCTGGACTAGACGACCCCCAAAGGTCCCTTCCAACTCTGCTATTCTATTTTATTAACATTCCGGGAAGGATATGATTCTCCGACAGTCAAGACTTGAGGTTACTTTTTGCTTGGCTTCCACCCTGGTATTCTGCAACGCCTGAATCCTACGAGCTCTTTTGGCGGAGCGAAAGTTATTCGCAGTGAAATCAAGAGAGGCCCTCTTCCCAATTTCCAGCAAGCTCTCGCTATTTCTTTAAATGTTTCCTCCTCCCTGAAAGTCACTTCCTCCCCTTTACCTTCGTGCTGGGATCAGGGTCGGAACAGGCACTATAGGCTTCGTCATCGGCCAGACCACTCAACTCGCCCTGCTCCGACATGCTGCAACCAGGGACCAGAACAGCCACACCGACGCCCGGTCCGTCCCCTCCCAGTAGCGTATTTTAGAGGCGACAAGTGGGAAAAAAGAGCGATGAGACTCTTCAGCCAATAGAGGCAAGGCATGCAAATCGGGCAAAACTGTTGTTTGGGCTACTACATCCACATACTGTATATTGCGGTAGCAGATCTACTTTATTATCTTCCTTCTATTCCCAGCGTTTTTTGCAGCAAAAGGGTTACCTCCCCAATTCCTTTTAAAGAAAAGATGATTCATCCCCTGTTACTGGTGAGGAAGTTAGGTGTTATTGCGAGTTCACTTTTGCAGGGGAACGATGGAAAATAGATGAGTAGCTGTCAAGAGCAGCGACAGTAAGACTTATACAGTAGTTGACTGCAGAGAACTAAAAGAAGTACAGTTTTTTTAAACAAAATTATGCATGTTAAGTAATTTAACTTTTTAAAACTCCATTAATACCGTATATCCAATAAAGAACGATTAATTTGAACATGCTCTTCAAAAGCAAAGAATTGAGTAAAATACTTAGCCACGGGAGACTTAATGGAAAATTTTAACTTGTTTGGTATTCTCACAAAATCCCATTTTCTGAAATCTAATGATGGCTGTGAAGCATTGGTTTTCAAAGTCAGTGTTTATTATAGCAAATAAGACATTTGGTTAATAACAGTTGAGCAGAAGGCTGCAGTTGAAGAAGCTGTTATTAAAACAATGTTCTCCAACTTAGTATTGCCCATTGTATATTGCTTAAATGCTTATTCAATAAAACATGAGTTGGCTCAGTTAATGCAGCAATTCATTCATGCCTTCAAGTTAGTATTGACTCTTGGCAACTGCCTGGACCAGTCCCTGCAGTGTTCTTGGCAAGATTTGCAGAAGTAATTCTCAGCATAGTAAACCATAAACTATCATTTATAAAATTACAGTCTTTGGTTTACTACTCTATAGCACTCCCTTGGGGTAATTTTCTTGGATTAGTCTGACAGACCGGAGCAACAGAGCAGGTTTTTAACTTTTTTCTGCAGGGCTTTTCAAAGTACTGTCCCGTTCCTTTTTTTCTCCAGGCTAAATGACTCCAGTTCTTCCAGATCCTTTTTTTGTACTTTTCTTTTGAATTATTCCACCTTCCCAGAAAAAATATATGGTGTAAAGAAGTGAACACAAGAAGGGAAAAAGTCACTGATCACTATCTTTATAAAGAGCAGCCTGTACAGGGCTTCCAGTTCAAAGCTGCTTTGGAGAATGCATGCTTGCAACTCCTTAAAGGAGTTGTGTGTGCAGTGCAATCTCAGAAAAAAGGTGTTTGGTTTAAGGAATTCAGGGAGGTATGATGCTTGAACTTCTTTCCACAGTGATGCAATTTTTTGCCTTTAATCCAAAGCATTGTAAGTCATAATATGTATATCTCAAAAGATCTATTAGAATTCCCTGTATGATTATGGGAGGAAAATTTCTAACATAAAAGCTTCAAAAACCAATAATAATCAGCAACAATTGGACTGAGTAAAATGTATTAATTGTCTGAGTCAAATTTACTGTAATTTTAAACTTCTTTATGACATAAACTTTCCAGAATGTTCTGAAGAGTTCAGTTTTAAACTGAACATTTGTTAAGATGTTTGAAAAAGTTACACAATAACATTATTCAGTAATTCAGAAGCATTTGTAACCATGTTGTCATACTTTGCCAATACATATCAATCAAAATAACATCAAGGTTGATCAAGAGAGTCTAAATTTAAAGGGATTGGAACACAAGTGTCAAACTTGCGTGTCGTGACATCATGTGACATGTTGTGACGTATTGCAACTTTTTTTGCATTGCCGGAGCTGGGGCTGGAGGGCCTTCACATGATGCAACCGGCCTGTGGGCTGGCAGTTTGACACCCCTGGATTAGAAAGAAATGCCAAGATACTGAATTAATATAGCACAGTAAGGTAATAAACTATGGTTTATAAATGACTGTTTGATTTACCACAGCACTCTCTCAGGTTGTGTTTATATAACGTGCATGCCCATGATTAAACATGATTTAGCTAAACCAATTTGGAGATTAGAATGATACACTAACCAACAAACTATTTACTTCGAAGAATTTATTATATTTTATAATTACATGAATAATTTGTTCTCTTACTGATTTGGTTCCTCACCAGACCAATATAATTCAGATGATCACTTATTCATGATCAGTCAAGAGGCAGAGATTGCTAACCCTCTCACAATTCTCTCTAATAGGTTAGAATTATTTCTCTGTGAAGCTTTTGAGCAAAAATGAAATTCAAAAAGTGACTAGCAGGTACCTTTTAGAATCAAACACTATAGCTTCAAATTGTGCAAAGGACAAGATGGGTATTGCATTCACTAAGTTTTAAATATGAAAAATGAATTTATAGTTCTTCCAGTACCAAAGAAATTCAACATAATGATAGCAGTGTTAAAATGTGGGACTTACTATTCTATATAAAATTAATATTTCTGAGAACAGGAGTTAAATCAAATGCTCAAGATTATGTAATATTTTTAAAATAATTTAGAAGCAAAACTGAAATAAAGTCTCCATACATAGCAATAGTTCCCCAAGAGTGAGATACAATAAATAGCAGGAAAGATATGCTGATTCCAAGCCTTTTTCCTTTGGTCATATTATGAATATTTGCAAGTTTGAAAAGACCACACTCCAGGAACCATCTGCTGCAGCAACAGCACAATATCTATGAGATATTCCTACTGTTGGGCAGTAATGCTGCATTTTGATTCCATTCCATTAATTAAACTGATAGATTCTGCGCTCAACTGCCAATGAGGCCATTGGACAGCTTAAAGGTTCCATATCCTTCCACTTATAGTCCCAGCTGAGTGCTTGAAGCCTTTTGAAGTTTTGCTGCAAATGTGCTCTCTCTGAATTCATCCGCCCACCTTTATTAGACTTCTTTTTTTTTTTGAGCTCAAGAGGGAAACTGCTTAACACTCAGTGGATGAAGTGATTTTCCTAGCTGTCTGTCCATTTCCTTGCATCTTTTCAACAAGGTCAGTGAAGAAACAATTTTGGTCTGAGTTTGGTTTGAGAAAGAGATAAGGAAAATTGATTAATTTAGACACAAGCTCATTGCCCTCTTGTTCTACCTAAAGCCTGTTGTGTTGCTCTTTAAAGACAGCAGTACTAATTATATCAATTAATGTTTATATGCAACTCTAAAGATTCCAGTGATTAATTTCCTATCTTCCAGTATATGAAGGAACATCTCATCTTAAACATTAAAAGAAGAAAAGAACTATTTTAAATAGATTTTATTTCAAATAATTGTTTATTTATTTTCAGTATTCTAATTTTGAAATAACTCAGATGATCAGATATGTTGTTACCTTCTGGGATGAGGCTTCGTGGTATCTGAAGCAGAACATCCAGATTCAGTCACAGTTTTGTTCCATACAGTATCAACCTTGTGAACTCTTGGACAGTGATTAATATTTATATGTATTAATATGTAAGGGTGTAGGTATATATATATATATATATATATATATATATATATATATATATGTATATAGCATGTCTATAGGTGTGTTATGTATGTGTACATTTTTGAGAACAGGCAACAGAATTTCATTTTTAATGTGTGCCAGTGTGCCCACAGGAAAAAATGACAATAAAGGTTATTTCATCTCATATTTAGAATAAATCAGCATTAAATAAAAATTATTTGCTATTCTCTGCAGAATAATACCCATTATTCTGATCCATATTGGGGTAAGTCACATTTTGCCAAGAGAAAAAAACAAGTAATAGCAGTGCTTTTTTTCCTTAAAAAAAGGTGCTGGAACTCATACATGTCATACAACTCGCCTTGCCTACCCTACAAGGTTCCATCCAAAAAAGGTGCCGGAACTCCGTTCTGGGCGTTTTATGACAAAAAAAGTCCTGAGTAATAGTAAATCAAAAAATTAAAGGCATGAGATCAGAGACAGAAAAGGGAATATAGCTAAAACTAATTTACATCATCATTCACTGTAAGTCTCCCTATCCTTGCTAATAAGCCTCTAGAGCATACATATATTGTTTCATACATTGACTTTTATTCTTTATAACATAAAAGCATGCACAGATAGCCTTTGATATATGACTGGTCACAAAATGCAGTGTTTCCCATGCTGAACAGAAGGAGCAAGTTTAGCAGAAGAACACCAGTTTTATAGTAGCTGTACTGATTGCCAGTAGGCGTTCAGATCCAATTGATCTGGTTTTTACCTATAAAGCAGTGGTGTCTAACTCAATTTATTATTTATTTATTTATTTATGAGACTTATATACCGCTTTAAGTGCAAGCACTCTCTAAGCGGTGTACACCAGTAAGCAATGTATATATATATATATATATATATATATATATATATATATATATATATATATATGTTTTCTGAGGTTTTCGCGGGTATTTGTATATAGGTCTTTGGTTGTTCGGGTTTTCTCCCGCGTAAAATTGGAAGTGTCTTGGCAACGTTTCGACGAAGTCACATTCGTCATCTTCAGGCTGGTGTTTTTAGCTTCTTGCTTTGAGCAGCAATGTGTGGTTTTAGCTGTTTCTTCCTTTTAACTGGCAGTACCCTCACTGGCAGTTAAAAGGAAGAAACAGCTAAAACCACACATTGCTGCTCAAAGCAAGAAGCTAAAAACACCAGCCTGAAGATGACGAATGTGACTTCGTCGAAACGTTGCCAAGACACTTCCAATTTTACGCGGGAGAAAACCCGAACAACCAAAGACCTATATATATATATATATATATATATATATATATATATATATATTTACATTGCCCCCAACAATCTGGGTCCTCATTTTACCTACCCCGGAAGGATGGAAGGCTGAGTCAACCTTGAGCCGGTGAGATTTGAACCGCTGACCTGCTGAACACAGTCAGCTAAAGTGGCCTGCAGTACTGCACTCTAACTGCTGCGCCACCTCGGCTCAATTTCATTGAGGCCGCATCAGCATTGCGGTTGCCCCTGGGGGGGGCTTGATGGGTGTGGCCAGGGTGGGTGCGGCCTACTGGGTGGGCATGGCCAGCTCTACATCGTTTACGTCAAGGGTGCCTGTGGGGGCCTGGGCAGGAGTAGGACAGATCTGAGGGTCTCTGGCAGAAGGAGGTGGGACTGGGGCAAGTGCCAAGGCATGGTCCACTGGAGGAGCCTCACTGCCTGCTGAAACCCCTCCGCCAGAGCCCATCAAGCCGGATATGTGAAGTAGGCGAGGACCATTTGCTGGCCACTTCCAGACGATGGTGCATTTCTTCATTCCTCACAAAGGGTGACACCTTCCCAGCATGCACAAAGGGTTCGGGGCCGACACAGCAGAGGCTGGTTCCTCGCTGTTTCCAGACAGTCTTGTGGAGCTAAGACTGAATGCGTTTCAGCATAGATGGCCACCACAAAATTGTACATTGGCTCCTGCTGGCCAGGGCCAAGGCAGTGGGGGCCGTTCCCTCACTGTTTCCAGGATGGCTTCACGGGCCACATGAAATGACTTCGTGGGCCACATCCGGCCCCTGGGCCTTGTGTTTGACATGTCTGCTATAAAGGGATGGCTTATTTTCTAAAGAAAAAAGAAAGAAAAACCACATATCTAAAAAAGAAAGGTGTTCAATAAAATACCTTAGTTATTAGGCATACTTGGTATTGTAATAGAAAAGAGTATTTGTAGATCATGAGTGAACTATGGAATTAGTACTCTGCTATACCAGAATCTAATGAAATCAATCATTCCAGACACTGTTATTTTATAATACCTTTTGATTGCATTATCCTTATGGCCTAAGCTTCCAAGAAATATTTTTTGGAAGCAATAGGTGCTGTTCTGCAGAAAAAGTAATGTGAACCAGGCATTTTTCCCTAGCTATGTGGTGGAAAATCTGAAAAGTAGTTAATTCTCAAGAGTGCTTAAAAGTTCATTTTTATGGGCTTTTTTGCAAAATGGCACCACTGTGTTGCCAAGAAAGGTGCCAAGAAAGTGGATTCTGTCAGATGACAGGGAATATTTTCCTGATGTGACTGACCTTAGTATTGCCTTCTTACCCAACATCAACACAACAGAGTAAAACTGTCCTTGCAGTTTTGTATGCCATTCTATCAGAAATAATTCTGTAGAGAAGAATTATTCCAAAGATAAATTTTTGAGGGCTGCATAAGAGCAATAGCATTTAGACCAGGGATGTCAAACTGCTGGCCCATGGGCCGGATGCGCCATGGCAAAACTGCGCCCAGCCCATTGCCATCAATAGAAAAAAAGTCGTGATACGTGGCAACACATCATGTGACGTTGCAAGTTTGACACCCCTGACTTAGACTTATATATTGTTTCATAATGCTTATAGCCATTTAGGGAGTCAGCACAGTACCCCCAACAATGTGGATCCTCATTTTACCAACCTCAGATGGATGGAAGGTTGAGCCAACCTTGAGCTGATCAGGATCAAACTTTTGGTAATGGGCAGAGTTAGCTTACAGTACTGCATTCTAACCACTGTGCCACTGTGGCTCTTATGTTCAGGGCCTGATACAAATGAAGAGCATCAAAGTGTTCCTTTCTTTCTCTATCAATCCTTCATTTCTCTCCCTCAGCCACTTTCCCCATTGGGCTACTGAGGAAAGGACAAGATGGTCAAGCAGTAAGTCTGAACTGTTCATTTGAGGACATTATGGTAGATGCCTACAGGTGGATTTGGAGAATTTAAGTTTAGGTATAAGATATAATTTTTTGTAAGGGATACACACTTTAAGACATTTGGTATCTTCTATTCTAAACTATCACCTTGCAACAGTTACTAAAGTCTTATTTATAAAGCACAGGAATAAAAATGGAGAATGCAGCAGATACTAATCCAGACCCTGCTCAGGATGAGCCTGCTGCTCGAGCGGAGAACCAGCCTCCTCCAGATATCCCTGCTCCACCAGAAATTATAGAGCCTGGTCCTGGACCCCCTGAGGATGAGCCTCTCTCCAAAATGAAAGATGCAGATTTATTAGACCGTTCTCGTTTGAAACCCTCTGTTCGTGCAGGCGGGGAAACTGCAACCCGTAGAATGTCTAAATTCCGCCGAAGTAACAGTGGAGTTCAGTCACTGCAGGAAACGCTGAAAGAAAAACAGGTTTGTAATCATGATGCACACAGTAATAAACTTTTGAACTTTCCAAAATTAGGCTCGATTCCTGTCTCTTGATCCAACTATTTAAATTCTTTGTACATATTACCATGATAATAACCCTAATCCTTAGGAGTACAGTTAGGATAATATGTTGTTCAGATCCTTTGATTTGATTAACATCCAGCTTGGAACTGGCCAAAATATTTAGAATATAATTAAGAAGGACAAATCATATATTTCTGGGTCCACAAGGATTATTATATAGTGGTCCATTAGATATTTGCAAAAAGAACAATATAGAGAGTTGCAATTCATGAATGAATTTGGGAGGGGATTGTATTTTCTCAAATCAATAATTCATGGCACTCATATTTCCAAGGACTGAGCAAGGAAAATGTTGTAATGGCAACTATGCATCACATTTCTATTTACATTTTCCAAAGTAAACTGGAAAACAAATATCAGTTAAAAATAACTGGGGATTTCATACCAGGATTCTTGGCTGAAACCTTAACTAGCTGGGATAACTGTCACAACTGATTCTGATAGAAATTGCACAACAGCATCCATGAAAGGGGTGGATTGCGGAATAACAGAATGAGGAAGCATGTTCTGCCATTGCAATGCAAACTCCATCACTTTTCTATATGTCATGACATCACACACACTTCCAGAAGGGTCAGGGCCCACAATGCAACAATGCTTTTGTTATTTTGATGAAAGAATCATGTTCTGGGGCACCAATGTCTCTCTGCCACTTCTTGAAACCAAGCCATTGATTTTTTTTTTTTTAAAGAAAAGGCCAGGAATTATTTTTTTCAGAAGAACTGATGGAATATTTTTGTTGTTCATAAGTTGAAATATCATATTATGATTTACAGTGTTGTACCTTTAAAAATAAGTAACCTTTTACTGTAATTCATTTTTGCATTCTTTTTTCTTCTCTTTTTAAAACTTTGTTCACCACTAATTTGTTGTTATTTTTAGGGCAAACATGTTCATTTGGGGTTTAGTCCTAAAAAGAATTATTTTGAAGTCATTGTTTGAAGTATGCAAAATATTTTGACTGACTAAATGCATAAATAAATAAGGGGCTCACTGCCTCACCATTTTTCATTAGTCCCATTATGAACTAAGTACATTTCCTTCCTTCTTTCCTTCCTTCTTTCCTCCCTCCCTTCCTTCCTTTCTGTAATCTATTTTCTTTCTTTCTTTTAAAACTGGTGTATTAGTTGAATAAATTCAAAAACATATCAGAATCAGTTGTAACCACAACAATATAGAGCAGAATCATAAACTTCAATGTTGATTTTTTTTGCTTCAGGTCACATTTTGCATATATACATTTGCATTTCTAAGAGCTTGAAGTAATATGTATGCATTTCTATCTTTATGTTATTGTGTAAGCATTTAAAGAATCCCTACCTCAAGAAACTGTTTAGAAAATAACGGGAGGGAAATAATAAAGAAAGGCAAGAGAAACTGAAATAGGGATAAACTGGTTGAACATTGCTCGTTATTTAATTTCATACTATTTAATATATTTGAAATAAAATATGAGTACCATAGAAACAATAAACAGTAAACATACAACTGTTGCATAATTTTTCTTCATTTTTTTCCAACTAGGCACGATACAAAGAAGCAAGAGAAGGCAGAAAAATGAAGGTTAATTCTGCATATAAATATATCTTTGAAATTCTCTCTGACAAACTTGGATTAGACATTGGAACAGTAGAAGAATTAATCCTGGATGGCCCAACAGTGAGTTTACTTTACATTCATTTTACAAGGAACATTTTAAAAACTGTGTTCATTCTGTTTTTCACCCTCTAATACAGGGGTCCCCAACCCCCGGTACATGGCCCAGTACAGGGCTGCTGCGGCATGCCAGCAACCGGTCTGCACAAACAAGGAAAGCCCCATCCACAGGATGCAGGCAGCACACAAAACCACGCCCCTCTCTGGTCTGTGGAAAAACCTCTCTCCACATAACCGGTCCTGGGTACCCAAAAGGTTGTCGACCTCTGCTCTAATACTAATACAACCTATGCCAAGATTTTCAGCAGCAGAGTCACCAAAATATAAGGCATTATGATTAAATGCAATGTGTAAATCCAGATAAACATCAGAATAACTTACATATGAACAACTTACATATTGTTTTTTGTTCTAATCAAATGTGCATGCTGTTATGACTAGAATGTACTTTATTTGTACTCTATATTGTGACTTTTTGGTCTGATTACATATATATATACATATAAATTTATGCATACATAGTCACATGGTATGGAATGAAGGAAAGGGAGATTCAGATAATCAAACCAAAAAGTCACAGTATAAAGAGTACAAATACTTTCTGAAATGCCTTCTACATAGCAATAAATAAATTCAGGAATTCAACTTTATTTTGATTGTGGCCCGCCTTTTTGTTGTTGTTGTTAATTGCAAAGTCGTGTCCGACCCATCGCGACCCCATGGACAACATTCCTCCAAGTCTTCCTGTCCTCTACCATCTTCTGGAGTCCATTTAAATTCACACGTACTGCTTCGGCCAGCCTTTTATAGGCATATAAATCTAATAAATTAATTAAATATAAATTAAATAAATTATACAATCTTCTTTGACCATTATGTGTAATTTTATAATATCCATCACAGGTATTTTTTAAAGCCAGTGTTCCAAGATCTAAGTTCTAGGTTTTTCCTGTCCAAATCTTTAATTTAAAATATTAAAATCATACCTGGAATACTGCATCCAGTTTTGATCACCATATTACAAAAAAGATGTTGAGACTTTGTGGAAAAAGTGCAAAGAAGAACAACTAAGACAATTAAGGGTCTGGAGACAAAAACATATGAAAAATGGTTGCAGGAATTGGGTATGGCCAATCTAAAGAAAAGAAAGACTAGGGGTGACATGATAGCAGGATTCCAATGTTTGAGAGGTTGCCACAAAGAAGAGAGGGTCAACTTATTTTCCAAAGCACCAGAAGACAAAATAAGAAACAATGGATGGAAACTAAGCAAGGAAACAAGCAACCTGGAATTAAAGAGAAACTTCCTAACAGTGAGGACAATTAACCAGTGGAACGGCTTGTCTTCAAAAGTTGTAGATGCTTCATCACTGGAGATTTTTAAGAAAAGACTGGACAGCCACCTATATGAAATGGTATATAGAGTCTCCTGCTTGAACAGAGGATGGGACTAGAAGACCTCCAAGGTCCCTTCCGGCTCTGTTCTGATTGATTGATTTTTCTGTTTGAGGAAATAAAAAACAGATAGGATTTATTAATATAACTATTCTCAAGAGTTTAGGTATAGCTGATCTTTACCAGGTCCCTCTCTATGTTTTGTTCTTAATCAAGCTAGAAGGGAATTTTACACATAACAACATAATGACAACTGAAAACATCTTAAAGGCATTGTTTCCTTTAATATTTGACAACTAGTACTCCTTTAGGGATTTTTTAAAAAAATAAATAGTGTGGTGATTTGGCAAAATGTTGAATTTATATCCTATCTTTCCTTTTTAATAGTTGCTAGCATTTGATAGCTTTTTTGCCAAAGGAGGAAACAGAACACTGAAGTTTATCTATCAAGAGGGTGAAGCTCCTGGCATAGGTAAATGTTAAAAATGATTTTATCACAATTTCAGAGAAAAGTAAATTGTTTGGTTTTGAATACGCATACAAAGAAAGAGCCAATCATGTAGAATAATACAGAATTTATACAAATAGGATTTTATCACTATGTTATATTTTCAAAATGCAAGTATAATAAAGAATTGTAAACCACCTCTGCGAAAGGGAGGAGGTCAGTCCAGTTCATTTGCTAATAATCCACATAGCATCTGAGATACTGCTCCACCATTGAGTTCACTTTTTAGCCGCCCCATTCATAGACAACTGAAAAGCCAACGATAGTCCCTGTGACGAGCCAATTAACTTGAGGAAGCCCATCTAGAACTTGGCCATAAACTGCACCCCTCGGTCTGAGATTATCCACTTTGGTGCACCGTGCAGCCTGTAAATATGCTTCAGAAATATCTTGGTTAGTCTTTGGACAGACGTGAGTCCTTTGCAGGCGATGAAATTAGCCTGCTTTGAAAATAGATCTATCACAGTCCAAATTATCGTATTCCCCCTACTTTCACATAACTCCACTATAAAATCCATAGCAATTTCTTCCCATGGCTGGGAAAGGTCTGCAACCAGTTGTAATAATCCAGGGGTTTTTCCTGGAATTCTTTTCATGGTGGCACATACAGCACAGTTCTTAACGTAGTTCTCTACATCTTGTTTCAAACCCAGCCACCAAAATTGTCGATGAACCAGATGCAGTGTTTTTAAATATCCAAAGTGTCCAGCTTGTTTCACATCGTGACCATGCTGGAGACCATTAAGGCGGAGGGTTTCGGGCAAATACAACTTCCCCCCTTTGTAAGCCAAACCATCCTTGCACGTGAAGGAGGTTTGATTTTCTTTGAACTATTGATCGTTGAGGAGTTTCTGTTTTAATTTCCTTGCCCCAGGGTCATCAGGGTTTGGGACTTTCGAAGAGGGGGCACTTCATGGCATTAGTTGAGAAGCAGCTTGTGGTGTAGATATAATTGCTTCATTAACCTTTTCACGCTGGCTCTTGTATTGAGGTAATCTGGACAAAGTGTCTGTTAAAAAGTTTTTCCTGCCTGGTATGTAAGTTAAATCAATTAAAGTATTGCGCCCACCATACTTGCTTTGGGGACAGCTTGTGGGGACTTTTCAGGGCTTCTAGGTTTTTGTGATCAGTCCATACCTCAAAAGGCACCTTGCTCCCTTCTAGGTAGTGTTGCCAGTTTAATAGAGCCCAAAGGATTTAATTTTGGGTTAATGTCATGGTTCTGATAGATGAAACCTATCAAAAGAACTTCCAGGCAAAATTCTTTCTTAAAGAACATTTTATTTGGGAAACAAAGTATTGGCATTACATAGTTGAACCCAAAAACTAAATTCCCTTCCCCCGGATACAAAATAACAAAGTACAATTCCCACCCCAATAAACTGTCATAAATCACATTCCCCAATTAGTTAAAAGCACCAGCAGTGTTATTGTTATGGCTAGCTAAGCTTTCGTTCCACCATCATCCCCGTTGCACCTTATTTCTAAAAGCAAGAAAAAGCATAGTAAAGGAGAAGAGAAAATTACTGCATTTTCATCAGTTGTCAAAGCAGGAACATCCAATGTTAGCAGCGTTGACAATTTATACACACAGGATTTTATCACTGTATTGTATTTTTTGTTGCCTGATATGGTACATAGCATGGGAGGATCTAATACTAATACCTAATAATGTTATATTTTCTAAATGATGGCTTGGAAACTAATGTTTAATATTAATTTTAGAGGTGCCATGGAGGAATTTAAATATAACCTGAATTACATGAGGACTAACCATTAGTATACTGTATGTGTTTTCCATGAATTATTTTTTCAAAGTTTTATATTCTATATTTTAGAAAATAAATTTGTTGTTAGTACTCAATAATATCAAGTAGGAACAGTCAATTGTTTTGTAGTATATGAGAGGTCAGCAAAGGATTAATTTAAATTATAGATTTAGGGTAAATATAAGTTAATATGGACTATTTAAGAACATGTACATTTTAAAATATATTTTATTGATTTTTTGCAATAACAATCTTTAGTACTTAGTAAACAGTGTGTTGTCTGGGTTCATATATATGAAAAAAACAATCAATAATAATTAATTTCTATAATTCCATGATCAATATATTAATTAATAGTATGTTTCCTTGATCTTCTCTTCTTCCAATGTTATTCTCTTTTGTCAACATTAGATAAATATAATAATATTTTCAACACATGCAACGTTAGATATAAACATTTTTGTGTTTGTACAGATAACAATAACATCCATATATAAATCTTTTCTAATTAACTTATGTTTTAGTTGCATTTGTAAAAGTCATCTTGTTAGATCACTATGTGTCCTATTTTCAAAATTCTTATTTAAACTTAATTTCCCCTCAGTATTCAAACCATTCTTATCAGTCATAGTTTTCTCAAAATTAATTACCTAAATATCCAAACTTTTCATTTTCATACCCCATCCCAATATTTTCATATTTCATATATTTTAAAGATACCATACTACTTATATATCCTATAACAGTGGTGGCGAACCTATGGCACATGTGCCAGAGGCGGCACTCAGAGTCCTCTCTGTGGGCATGCTCACCATGCCCCGGAGATGGCAACTGTCCCTCTTCAACCAGCCACCTACTAACTCGCTGAGGTCCCACATGGCTGGATGCATCCCAGCACCCTTCGCTCGCTGGGGCTGATGGTGTCAGGTAGCAGCCGCCCCAGCCTCTGCCTCACCTTGCCCTGTGACAATGGCAACCCCACCCTGCCTTGCCTTGCTTCACCTCACCCTGCAGGACGAGCCTCCTGCCCACCGCCCCACCTGCCAGAGACCCCCTGGATCTCCCCCAATCCTACCCGGCCTCCACAGGCGTCCCTTCCCACGAGCAACATTGAGGTGATCATGTCCACCTTGTCCACACCCACCCAATCTGCCATGACCACAGCCACGCCCATCCAGTGGGCCACACCCACCCGGCACCCAGCAATAAATAAGTGGGTTTTGGGTTGCAGTTTGGGCACTCGGTCTCTAAAAGGTTCGCCATCACTGTTCTATAACATCCACATGTAAAATCTTTTCTGAGCAGTTTATATTTCAACTATATTTATAAAAGTCATCTTACTGAGTCACTACATATCCTGTTTTCTAAATTCTTATTTAAGCCTTATTTTCCCCTCGGTATTCAAATCATTCTTCTCAGTCATAATTCTCTCAAATTTAATTACCTTTAAATGTCTAAACTTTCCATTCACATACCTTATCCCAGTATTTTAATGTTTTATATATTATAAAAAATACTATACCACTTATATCTCTTATCTCTCTTACTATAGGGCCCCTTTATATCCAAAATTATTTATTCTTTTAACCATATTCAAACAAATGTTTAATAATGTAGTACTCTATCTGGTAAGTTGAATCAGATCTCTTAAATCTAACTCTAGCCTTCGTCTTTTGCCAAATAGCTTTCCAAGTTAGTATGTTCTGCTTACCAGGAAGTTCCTGTATTTTTATAGGTGTTGTTGGGAGTGTGAAGGACAGGTTGAGTAGGATATGCACTTTTTGTCTCCCAGACTCTGATGATTTTTCTGGCAGCTCTATAATACATTTTGTTAAATCTTCTTTCTTATCCTCTAATTTGTTTTGACGTCCTTTCGGATAAAATATCTTTTCCATTTTCATTGTTGTAATAAAATCTTGTAGATTTTTTTCTGGTTATGTTAAGTTATAGTTCTCTTCATTTGTAGCTTCCCAGTTTAAATTACTTTCTTCTAGTTTGTATTCTGTTATCTGATTTGTTTATTCATTCTTTATCATTGTTTTTTGAGTTTTTTAATTGTAAGTTTAGATTAAAGATGTGCTCATTTATGTCATCAAAGTTGCTTTTGATCTCATCGTGGGTTGAAACTATTGTCATTTGAATTTGTTGTAGCATTGCATACATTTTCTTCTGAAAAATACTTGTCTTGTCTTGGAGTATTACTCCTGCAGCTCTTTGATGTTCCAGGCTAGATCTTTCAGAGGGGAATATTTGGTGTGATTTCCTGTCCCTTTTAGAAAAATATGCAGTATCTGTTTTGTCCTCCCTCTCCAAATAATCTTTCACCAGTACCATAGTCTGTGTAATTAGCCTTATCGAGCCAGCCAATCTCAACATCCAAATCAAGTCTTATATAGTTCTTATCTTTATAAATTATTTTTGTAATCCAATGTGTTTCTAGTTGTCAAGGTATCAGTGAAAGCAGTATTTTATAACAATTTTTCTATTCAGGAGTCAGTTATCAACCAGTCAGATTTGCAATCCAGAGTATTTAGGCACTTTGAAACCTTCTAGTAAATTCCCCCCTAGAAGATTAGCCATGAGTCAATTTTTTTTCTGCAAACAATTCTTGAGCTTAGGCAACAGTTGAAGTTTTCTTTTTCTGCAGACACTTTTTTTTAGCTTATAAATTGCTCAGTATATTTTCTTTTTTCTCAGCTGTTTTCTATTTGGCTGAAGATTATTAAAGTTCAAGGGAACAGATTAATCTTTGTTTCTGGGCATTTTGCCAATTTCTGAGTCAGAGTTGCTGTTGTTGTATGCTCTGATTCTCCATTAGATGTGAGTAGTTATTTTCCAACCTTTTCAAACAATAAAATTGCTATTGTTTTTTATAAATTCATTGAAACTCTTTAGGGTGTAAAATCTTAACGGTTTTCTTAATTTTCAGATTTATCCAGACTATAGTGTTATTAGTTTCATTTCAGTATATCTCTTTCCCCCTTAGAAGTTAATTTGCTGCTTCTGTCTATGGAAGGGTGGGGATTTAGTCCCCTCCCTCACTTTCGGAGGGTTTCTTGCTTTGGGGATTTTTTTTCCAGGGATTCAGTTATAAAATAGAAGAGAGAAGATCGATATTCTCACCCAATTTCAAGCACGCTGTTCACTGTTGTTCTGGTTCGTGCTTTTGGACTTCAGCTGCTTATAGCTTGGGCTAGATACTGATGTGCAGCTAGCCTTTCTCCTGTCAGGTTGGAGGGCTTCCCCCAGATCAAGGGGATCAATTGCTGTTGTTCCACAATCATTGGGGTGCCCCTCCTTCTTTGTCACCTCTCTTGGGTGACTTTTGACCCATTTAGGGTCCCCTGGCAGGGTGAAATCAGCCGTGGGGTGCAGAGCCCAGTGACCTCTCAGCCATATTGCTATAGGGTGGAACCGGAAGTGAGAACATGTACATTTTGATTGATTGACAAGTTGGTGTCAACTTGTAGCTGAGATTTTGTCCAAGATAAGCTGTCCCCAATCTAGTCCTTCAATTCTTCCAAGGGTGCACGCATTGCTGCTGTACCTTTCTACTTCTTTTGCGCAAACTGATGTATTTATTACATAGCAGTGACTAGCTAGGGGAAGTTTGATACCCTAATCAAAATAAATGTCAAAGTAATTCCACAACAGCTAAATTTAGCTTAACAACAACAGCCATAACAACAACAATTTATTCAACCGCCTGACTCTCAACAACTCTGGGCAGCTCACAACAATTGAGGAAATTACAATGAAATCAATTTAAAAAAAGATAAAATGATTTTCATATTTTTTTTTATTTTCAGAGTGTGGGAGAGCAATCCCAGGTATTCTCAAAGGAACTAAAATGATGAAATTGTACGTAGATGAATCTCAAGACAAATTCAAAGGACAGTGCTTATTTTTTGTACGTGCTAGAAATGACTTGCCTGTGAACATTAAGACAATGAATGAGGTATTTTTATCTTCTTTCTCATTATTACCTCTCTTCGAAAAAGCAAGATCATCAAATTTGTAAGCACAGTAATAGAAATAAGGCCCATAATTTATACAGAATCTTAATTCTTGGTGAGTGCATAGATATTTGTTCTGAACCACATAAGCACCACTTTTTTGTACCCGAGCCCCAGAGTCAGATGTAAACATTCAAGCCACATGGATTGCATTATGACATTGCAATACACACTTCCGCATTTGAACCTCAACCCATCCTGTAGATGCAGTGGGTGGGTATAATGTTACAGTGTCTAGGTTTACAAAGTACAAAAAGCCATAATGTGATTTGTTTGCTTTATTGTTAGTAGAGTATGTGAACAGAGCAACTGTAAGATTCTTCATAACTCAGGCAGTATGAAATACAAGGAGAAAAAATTCTTCTCATTGCAACATAAAACTTTCTTTAATGAGAGAGTTATTATATGTATTGTAAAATGCCAAATATTGTTGCATAATAACTTTTTGATTCTTTCCACATCTAATAACCATAATATTTTAATCTTCCCTGTTTAGGACATATACTATTCATCATTGGATGGAAATGAAGGTCTTTTGCTTGGCATCAAGAATATCTTGGCAACAGTTTTTCTGCCTGCTGTTCTTGCCACAAGCAATTGGGGTGCTTTAAATCAGACCAAGCAGGGAGAACTTGAAAAACAAAGTTTCATCGAAACATTGAACAGATATTTGGCATTTTTGGATGGTAAGATCAAATAGATCAAACAAATGGGCAAATAAGCTGAGCCTTCCATTTTACTTTTTAAAATAATTGATAACTTGATGTATTGTCTAATATCTGGTTGCGACATATTATATCCTGATTCTTATTCCTGTCCTGACTAGCCAAAAGAACTGCTGATGTGGATAGAAAAGAAGAATTTGAAGACTTGATTGGCTAATCAATAGCATATTTATTTCTGTCCCTCTTAAAATACAGGCATCTTTCTGGGAATCCAGTAAAGATCATTAAAACTTTGTCTGATCATATTAAACGTATTCCCCCAAGAAGGGTTGGGAAGAACATAATACTGTAAAGTTTACATAACATAGCTCTCTAGTGTCAAATATGAAAAGTTGATTGTTTTATAGTACATGAAAAGTCATCATAAGACTGACTGAAATAATGAACTGGAGTGAGCCAATATCATATGACAAAGGGAAAGCAATGAATTGTCAGAGTATTTTAATTCAGGGGAAAATTACAAGTGAGGATAACTTCCACAAATCAAATACTATACTTGATTTTGTGCACTTAATCAAGAGATGAGTCTTACTCCAAAGATTGCCATTCCTAAAGATTGCAGAGAAATAATCTAAAGCAGACATGTCAAACTTGCGACGTCACATGATGTCATGCGACGTATCAGGACATTTTCAGCGTGACGCATCTGGCCCACGGGTCGGCAGTTTGACATGCCTGATCTAAAGCAGTTCACATTTGCATTACATGTACTTTCATTGTCAGTCCTAAAGAAATCATTCCTGTATATCACATTCCTATGGCAATCTGCTTAATAAGACAAATGCATTGTTAAAACTTCTCCAGTGAGCGCCTCCTCTGGATTTTCTCTGACAACTATATGATTATTCATTTTCTTAGATTTTAGGCAAAGCTGTTAAGTACTTATATAATAATATATTAAGTGCTTAATATGCTAAGTACTTAAATGTGTGTGTTGCACCAAAGCTTTCATACTTTATGCTTTCTCCTTTTTGCTTTTTCAGTCTTTCTTCTGCCTCCCTTTACTTCTTGAGGCTGTCTCTTACTGAACTCACCCATTTCCTTTTTCTCTTTTTCCTAGCCATGCATCCAGGTTAAGACCTTTCTGTTTCTTTCCTTTCACTCAGAGCATTTGTGTGTGTTGTTATAGCTGAGCCTGACAGTTGCATACCCAGCTCCATAACTTTTTGTACTTTCTTAACACCTGAGCCTCATTTTTGCTTTTGATACAGCTTCCCCCACTGCCTTGGAGATCTCCAATTCTGATTTTCTTACTGACTCCACAACACCTCTCAAGAAGTCACTTTATGTCTTCTGTGATCTGTAACACTATCTTTCAGGCTATTCTGAGGATCCCATTTCTTCTGCTTCTGGCATCTTCTACTTACAACCTTGTGAAACCAGACTCTTAGTACCCAAATTAGCTTCCTAGATTCTGGCAAGCTATGATCTATATACTTTTGTATCTTTGAAGTAGGATTCTTTTTTTTTCATCTTTTCATTGATAATATTTGCCAGGTGCAGCACCATTTAAGAATGTGCAAAGAGTTGAGAAAGGATATCTTACATGGTTTTCCCTAGAATGCAAACTATTGTAATGAAACAGCACAGTATACAAATGGTAGAATCAGAGAAACTGTTCTTTTTCATTATACATAGGTGCTAGAGTGAGCATCCAGGGAACTGTTCAACTGAAAAAAATAGATAACATTGACTTTTCCAAATTCCAGTCTTTTGAGGAAGTGACAGCAGCAGCTGCCAATCCTGATATTATACATCAATTGGAGGATGCACTTATGATATGGTACAAGCAAATTGAGCAAGTAAGCATCTTCTGGTACTTTAGCTAAGCAGAGGGAAGCATAGTTAGAAAAAAAGAGCCATGAAGAGGGCATTTCTGAGGCATCATAGATGGAAACTAATAAAGAAGAGAAGTAACCAGGAATTAAGGAGAAACTTCCCAACAGTGAGGACAATTAACCAGTGGAACAGCTTGCCTCCAGAAGCTGTGGGTGCTTTATCACTGGAGGTTTTTAAGAAGAGACAGGACAACCACTTGTCTGAAATGGTATAGGGTCTCCTGCTTGAGCAGGGGGTTGGACTAGAAGACCTCCAAGATCCTTTCCAGCTCTATCCTGATTGATTGATCTTTTTCAGCATAGAACTGTTCCTACTGTGCTGGCCAATCACATTATAAAATACGGGCACGCCTTGACAGTTCCAAGTAGGCAAAACTGGTTTATGACAACATTCCAAACATGCATTTTAAAGCAAAATCTTTTCTAGACTAACCAGGCATTTGCTTGTGTTGCGATTTTATTTTGAAGGTTTAGGAAGGTTCCCTTTGATCAGGATAAGCTATTGTTTCAGATCAAAACAGTTCGGTGCCACATTTGCTCTTGGAACTGTGATAAAGGTCAATAGCCTAAATGATATGCAGATATATTTCAGCAAATCAAATATTATTACAGCCGATAGTTAAGTATTAATCGAAGATAGCAACGAATGAGGAGCTAATTTTGGATATCTTAAAAGATAGCAAACTATTATCTCTGATGAAGATAATGGTCATGATGACGATGAAGTTAGTGGTTGTGGTGATTAGCAAGGAACAGAAGCAATTGTAAGATTTCCAAAACACTTTTGCACTCTGCAGCTTAAGTTGCAAGATGAAGGCAGTTGTTTCTGTGCTGGAGGCAAAGAGATCAGGGTGATGCAAACAGCAAAGACAAAGCAAGCCCTGCCCCTTGTCTACATGCAATGCAACATTGTGCATTGGCCGAAAGGAATGCAGCTTGGAGGATGGTATTGTATGCCAGCCCTCATTCTTCTGAGGAAAGCAGGGAGGACCTGCAGACCCCATTGGAAGAATGAAACAAAATGTCACGTGACAGTCCTGAATGTGACATAGCAACACTGACATGATAACTATATTGTACAAATTTAACATTGACAGGTTTTGATTGAGAGTGAACAGATGAGAAAGGAAGCTGATGACTCAGGTCCACTTACCGAATTAGAGCACTGGAAACGAATGTCTGCCAAATTTAATTTTATTATTGAGCAGATTAAAGGACAACCTTGCAAATCTGTCATAAATGTTCTCAACGTTTCACGTTCCAAAATTGTAAAGGTAATTCTTAGTTGTTGGGTTGTTATTTTTAAAAATGAGGTTTTAATGATTTATACCAGTGGTGGCGAACTTATGGTACGCGTGCCAGAAGTGGCACTCGGAGCCCTATCTGTGGGCACACGTGCTGTTGCCCCAGCCTCGCCTCCCTTGTGGCCCCTTCCTCACCAGCAGCCCCCCTGGAGGAGAGTCGCCCCTGAGCGTGGCCCACGCAAAGCAGCACAGCCAAGGACATGACAGCCAGGTAGCGTAGACAAGACTCTGCTCTCATGCCCCATCGCGCACAGTTGATGTTGCGGGGCGCAGGCAGAGGGCGTGGCCACCATGGCGCTGCTGGGCTGTCTGGGCAATCTGCGGCGGGTCCTGGAGGCGATGAGTGACCCTGCGGGCAGGCGTGCACGCGGGATGGGGTGGGGGCAGAGCAGGGGCAGGGCAAGGGGTAGAATGGGGGCAGGGCCAGTTTTGGGGCATTCAGTCTCTAAAAGGTTCACCATCACTGATTTATACGGTCTGTTTTAATATATCCCCATTCCTTTTTTAAGATAATATAAACTCCATGAAAATCTGTGGCAAAAGGCAATATCTAACTAACCTTGGCTGATCTCAACAAGTTAAAACAAGTTGGATCTGCCTTGAACTTGGATGAGAGGCTACTAGAAAGTCACACTAGGCTACCTTGGGAAGTAAAAAGAACAAACTCACAATTAAAAAACACATTCATATTTCTGCCAGGAAAATTACATGCAATCATCAGATGTTAAGCTTGTACCTCTTTAATTTCATAAACACGTTATCACATGTTTGGAGAATTACACTTTTTCCATTTAGTTTAATTAATTCAGAACTAAAATGCTATATCTGCCTGGTATAGCTCTAACTGCTAACGTGTACATATTAGAATTGAGATATTCTCTAAGCATACGTTTAAGAGAAAGTAAATATGTCTTTGCTTTAATTTAATCAATTAAAATGCTTACATCAATCCAATGGTATGACATAGAAATTATGATCCAGTTCAGGGGTGTCAAACTCGCAATCTCACGTGACGTGTCGCAATGTATTGTGACTTTTTTTCCCATTGCCGGCAATGGGGTGGGCGCAGTTTTGGCATGACACATCCGGCCCACAGGCCGACAGTTTGACACCCCTGATTCAAATGTAAGAGCCAAGCAGGTGAGGATGAAATATGATTCTTACGTCAAAGTTATTTTGTAACTTAAGGACAGAGGGCAGTACTTTCAAGGCTAAATAAAGAAAATATGGGAGGAAGAGGTCCAAAGCTGGGCCCTCAAATACATAGAGCACAAGACTGAGTGGCTGCTAGTTGAATAGCTTCTAATTCTCCATAATAAATCTACTTAATCTGTCTGCTTGGAAATGTGGAGGAGGGAGAGTTAAATGGAGGTAGTATTTGGCACAAAGCCTTGACTCTTCAAAAGTTGAGATTACATTTATTGCCTTGTGGTCTGTAAGTGTGCACTGGTGCTTAGATGTAACACAGCTATTTCTCTTAAGTGCTAGAACTGCATTTGACAGCAATATTATTTGGTTGACTGTTTGATATTACTGTCATTATATGGAGCAATTGATTTATTCTAATTTAACATGCAGAAAATTGAGGCTAATTTACAGCAATTTTACTCAGACATGGATATTAATGTTTTTTGGGAAATCCCAAGTCCACGTTTTGATGGCTGAATTAAAACAGCTTTTAGAGCCTAGAGGTTTGGAGAGACAGCCAATGGGTTGCCACTGCTCTCAGCAGACAACATTGTAAGCAGATGCCCTTCCATTTTTTTTATTCCATTTCTACAATCCTTGAATTAGCTGCATAGTACTACATGAGTGCATTGTAATACCACTTCCCCAGCATGAGAGTGTTCCTCTTTAATCTACACAAGTGTATTAGTGGCGCATGGCAATGTCCTAATATATTGTTATTCTGCCTTAGCACTCAGAATAACTTGCAAGTCAGCAAGTCTGTCATGGCACTTACCTAATGCCTCATCCCTGAAATAGATAGTCCTGACCCTGGTGGCCTTCAGGAAAAATATTAAAACGTTTTCCCAAGGTACTAGTGTCAGTATGTGTATAGAACTGACCTGGGGTGACTGATGGAAGATGTAAGTTTTGTGGGGCTTCACCCTTGTTTATTGTTTTAAAAGTTTTCATACCGCTCTCTGTCCTTTCTGGTAGATGGGAAGCAATATAAATTTATTTAATAAGTAAACAATATAGTCTTGCTGCATATACAGTATAACCCCTAGTCTCACAGTGAGTGCAGTTACTGGTGGTAAAACCATTTTTCTTTAAATAATTTATTAATAAAAGGTAGCTATCAAGAATTTGAATCTGTATTTATTTATTCATGTATTTATTTATTCCAAGTATAGCTAGAATTAATATTTCTACTACATGAATTCTGCACATTTTATTTCAGTGTTTTAAAAGTTCAACATTTTGTTTTTACTCTAGCTGTGGCGAGAACTGGATGCCAGAATTACAGATACAGCCAATGAATCCAAGGATAATGTTAGATATTTATACACACTTGAAAAAGTTTGTCAGCCACTCTATAATTATGATTTAGTGAGTAAATTTTGAAGACGTCTGCATACAATTTTGTGTATATTGTGTACTTAAGTTTTCTATTAAAGTATATGCTGTAAAATAAATAGCTTTAAAATGTATATCATAAGCAGAAGATTCTAAATCTAATTATATTCTATATATGCTGCAGTGGTATTCTTGTGTCCTAAAATACCTGACTTTTACAGACAATTATTATCAATCAATGACTTACATCTTTCTGGTAGTGATGTAGATTTAAAATAATTATCAAGACTGGGCTGTAGATAGGAATCTAAGATTAGAAAGAAATAATCCAAAATATAATCCAGACTGAAAGGAGAACCTGGAATGCATTCATATGAAATACAACAGAAGATATTTGATAGATAATAATTTATGTTTCTTGTTAATAAGTTATGTTTTATTATTTTTATGGGTCTATTGTAAATTGCCTTAATCATTCTTGGAATAGAAGAGTGATTCCAAAATGAAGAATTACTTTTTTAAAAAAAACTGTTTGTTGGGTGCAAAGAAAATGGCGGGAGGAACTGCACTCAGAAATTTGCCTTTTAAGTGCAACGAATAAACTCTTCACTCATTTTAGGCATTAGGAATTTAGATTTGTTTTGAAAACAGCCATATCCCTCTTGCACCCATTGTCAGTCCCACCTGGTAGTTTAAAGTATGCCATTTTTCACTCTGAATTTTATAAAACATTTCTCTTAGGTTTCCATGGCCCACGGAATACAGAATTTGATTAATGCTATAAGAATGATTCATAGTGTTTCCAGATATTATAATACTTCTGAAAAAATGACATCTCTCTTTATCAAAGTAAGTGCTTTTAATTAGTGAACTGAAGAGTGCTCTGTACATAAATGTGCAAGCCTCAGTGTTGACTATTGTTTTCTGATGTATAAAGTATATTTCAATGTTTTACATCTGCTGCTAAGCGGGCTTTCTAACCAAATGCTCATGCCCCCATCTAACTGACAGAAATGACCTTGGTTCCCATGGGACAGTAAAATGTTTAAAATTAGTAGAAATCCTCCGCACCCCTTCCCATTTTTGTGGCAACCTAGAACAGGCAAAATGGCTGCAGCCAGGTTCATTGTAGAGTTGACACTATTGCTATATGAATTGATCAATAGCTTCTAACATTCTTAAACTGGAAAGCTAAACTATAGAAGGGGTGGCTGGCAAAAATCTTCTGATAAGAGAAAGTTTGTTAGTGCTAATTGGTATCTGGTTTGCCTCTTCATGAACACCAAAAAACCTTTTTCCTCATTAACATCTTAAATTTTTCACCCTTCTGATGTCACACCTCATTTAAATGGACATACATGTAACATGTTTGACTACATGTAACTGATTTCCTGTGCAAAAGGGTGGTTACTTTGATCTTGTCCAATCAACTTTCCTCTTACATTTTCTTTGATGTGTTAGCTATAAAATGGAATGTAAGCTAAGGATTTGGATTCCCTCACTGCATGAGAGGAATCCTTTTTATCAGAATAAAATAAACTGAATAAAATGATCCTCTTGTCTCGGTTTGTCTCATTGGAAAATATGCATACTGAGGCACTAGCCTAACAGCCATATTTGGCCTTCAGCATTCAGCTGTTTCTCAAAACTACAGATATAATCAGCAGCCCCAAATGGTTGGAGATCCCTAATTTCACATGTGTATACACAGAGTATATTTTGTTGTGGAACAACTAAATGCAAGGAAGAGGTGGTGTCACAGTGCAGAACATGCATCTTTGTTTATTGTGTCATCAAAGATGGAATTTAGTTCAGATGTAAGTCTACAAGTATGACTTTTAAACCTTTCAAGCACCCTCTTTTCTTTACATTTCATGTCATAAAATAATGATTTTTAAAGATGTGATTTTACTGTAAATTATCCAGTTTTTGTGATAATCTCAGGCATTACACAATGGTTTAAGAACTGTCTGAGACTGTAGCCTGATGCAAGCTTATTTTCATTATAGTATCTTAAAAGAAAAGAAAAAAAAAGGCAGAAAAGGCATACAATACCAAGACACTTGTAGGAATAGTATCTTTTAAATTCTGAATTGTCCCCCCCTCACCCTGTACATACTGACAATTAGAGTCCTTTTGGTTTGTCATTAGATGAGCAGTTGCTGTGAAACTTCAGGCGTTCATTTTTTACTGTTAATGGGAGACCATATCTAAATAACTAGTGGTATACAAGGTTGTGGAAATGTGCAAAATGCTAAACTTTGATGTAAAAGACGATGTATGTTTTTTTTCTTTTTTAAATATACAATAGGTTACAAATCAGATGGTCACAGCATGTAAAGCATATATCACTGATGGAGGATATAGCCGTGTATGGGAGCAGGATACTCCAACAGTAATTCAGAAAATTAAGGTATGTTTGTAATGCCTTATATATTTTCTATGGTATTGTTTCTGCTCCCTACTGAATCCCTATAATGGGATTGTTATGATGTATACCCGCTACAAAACAAGATTTTGGTTTTCATGTTAACTAACTTATTATCATGAACTCTCATTAGTGTTATTAGCAAAATTCATACAAAGTCATAATTTACCCGATTGTTTATTAAAAAACAATTCCAATGTGGAGTTTTCTGCTTAATTAGGCCTCTGGAGATTTACCCCAGCATTGCACTGCATAGTCTTTATGCTTGGAAAGTAAAAGAAATCAATTTTGAATTATTAGAAAATAGTGTGCATCTTGTCAATATTTTCCCTTAATTAGCAAGAAATTATTAGCAATAAGTATAGGAACCTTATTTTGTAGGCTAAGAAAAAAATTACCTTCAAAAGCTTCTGCTTGCTCCTATGATCTAAAATAGATTTAGATTTCTTCATATTTCAGTTAACAGCATTAAACCATATAAAATATTAATTATGAAGATACAGATCTAAAATCAAGTTCTAATTGGAAAAGTTCTTTGTAAAAGTTCTATAAATGTATGCATTAGATTTATTGAATTTATATCCACTCTAATCGTAAGGCTTATGCCTCTAAGTAATCTAAGTAATTACACTCTGATAGTAATTGCCACATATTTTTTTTTTTTACATTTTAGGACTGTATTTTTTTGTTTAAAGAATATCAGAAAAGTTTTCATAAAACAAGAAAACAAATTTTGGAAACTTCAGGGGAGAAGACATTTGAAGTATCTGAGATGTACATTTTTGGCAAATTTGAAGCTTTCTGTAAAAGGCTAGAAAAAGTAAGTACTCTTTAGAAAACCTCAGTCTTTTGCCTAACTTGTCTCTAATTCTCATTGTGGTTTCAGATGTAACATTTCAGACTGATATAAAGTTTAATGACTGAAAAATAATGCCTTTTAAATATGGAGCTTCTTTGGTATGCTACAGCAGAAAGCAATGTAATAGCATCCTGGTTTATTTCAAGCCGGGGCTTAGTGCAGGGGTGTTAAATTGCCAGTCCACGGGCCAATTGCATCATGCGGAAGCCACGCCCACCTCAGCTCTGGCAATGCAAAAAAAGTCACAATACATCACAACACACCACATGATGCGGCGAGTTTGACACCTCTGGCTTAGTGCAACAACTGACAGTAATACAGACAAATACTAGAGATAGACATCAACAGTCAGATTTGCTTCGGGCCTAGGTGGTGATTCGGGATATAGCTCAATTCAACTCAGCCTGAAATAAAGTCAGAGTTGCAATTTAGTAATCCAACATGTGAATAAATGACTTAGAATGGAAACGGAAGGATTTCAGGAAAAGAATGAGAAAGTTTTAATAAGGATTGATTAAGAAAATGAAAACTGTTAAGAAGAAAGATAAGGAGTTAATAAGGCCAAAAAAAGAAATAACTTGTCCCATCAGTGCCACTATCAAAAACAAGCCTTTTCACACATGACTCTTTACTTAAGAAACCATTAGGCAGACAATAAAGCAAAATGTGAGACTGAATAAACTTCATTAAACCCTTGCTTACTTCTGGACACTTGAGAAGGTCTCCTTTGTCTCAAGGAGCACAGAATATATTTGTAGCATTTGGTTTTTAAAATTTGACTAAATTCAGTGAATGTTATAAGTTGGGTACCAAACAAACCTGTCAACCTGTTATGAGCTGTCCAGAGTTGCTTAGATGCAATGGGTGACCATACAAAACAGGTTAAGAATAAAGATAAGAAGTCTTGATAAAATATGACAATAGGTGTCAATCATAGATTACTTAAATCGGTTCAGCTTTATATTTGCTGTAAATGAAAAAGAAAGTTGAAGATTTTTTTTCACAGAAAAAATATTTTAAAATATAGTCATGTTAGATGTACAATATTAACAGTCCAGTAATGAGTGAGTTTTTTGTCTGATATTTGATAGTTGGTGCAATATTTTTTGTTTAAGAAAAATATAATATTAAAAGAAATCATAGTTAATACATGAAAAAACAACTTTTCTGATTTTAGATAACAGAGATGATAACAATTGTTCAGACTTTTTCTGCACTGAATATGTCTACCATTGAAGGAATTGATATTATGGCAATTAAATTCAAAAATATCTACCAAAGTGTTCAAAAGAAGAAATGTGATATCCTTGACCCACGAAAAACAGAATTTGATGTAGACTTTGCAGATTTCATGACAAAAATTGAAAATTTAGAGGTAGGTCACGTGTTTCAATTTGACTAAAATATGAAAAATGCTATTAATTCAGATTAAGACAGGTTGTGAAGTTGCAGTTTCCTTAGTTAGCCTGATGATCTGTACTTGAAGAGAAATGGAGCGGAGGTAATGCTAATGGAACTGGATTTGGGAGCCCTGCTTAGCAGTGATTCCATTCCTACCTCTAGATGGCATTTTCTGGGGACTACTGCTGCACAACAAGAAGCTAGGCTATGTGGTCCTTCCAGATTCCATTACGTTGCCTCTGATACTTTTCAATATATACAAAGCCATTGGGACAGATAGTCAAGAATTTGGTAGCAAAATATTAACAATATGCTGACGACTCTCATGTCCATTTCTCCATGCCAACATCATCAAGCAATGGCATGAATCCCTTGAATGTTTTCTTAAGGACAATTGGAATAAAGAAAAATAAACTGAATCCAGATAAAATGAAAGTACAAATTATGAAAGATCATAATTCTAGTTTGTGATAGTGTTGTCTGTTACATTCTCCTAGAAAAAAAGGATATGTAGACTATATTATAGTATCCAAACAGGAGATTGATAACATTTCGGTGGTTATGAGAAGGGCTTCCCCATCTAGGAAAAGTGACAGTTGGCACCTCTAAAGAATTTCTGTGAAGAGTGACCTGGCCATCAGGTTTCTTGGATAGTAGCTTCTATTTCAGAATCAATACATACTGCAGCATAGACCTGGTGTTTTCTCAGATACTCATGTAACATGGATAAATTTCCTGCTTGGCATCATATCCAGCATAATGTGCTTCTCTTAATAATCAAATATTGACAAGAGCATACATATATGTTATGGCTTAATTTTTATGGTGTTGATATTTTACTGTGTGTTACTGTATATGTCTTTCTATCTCACTTATTTCTTCTTTCAAGCCCCATACAAGCCCCTATCACTTCTCAGAGGTTCTCCATCTTGCCATAGGACATTCACGGTATATGTTCAGTCCCAGCTGTTTCTTGAGCAGACCCTATCAGCAATGACTATAGGAATGTGTCTGATATAAGGTTGTCCATCCTGTGTATTCCCACCCAGTGAGTGGGAAATTCTTCCATAAGTTACAGCATACTGTTTTGCTGCAGTATCTTCTGCAACTTTTCCAATCTTCAACAATTTGAAGATTGGTGATGAGTAGACAGTATTCCAACTTTGTAAAAAGCCATTAAAGTGTTGCTAGTTGTATATTTAGTTTCTTTTTGTATGATTCCCAGATCCCTTCTACTAGAGTGAGTGGGGTGGGCCAATTCAAACTAAACTGTTTCTCAGAGAAATTAAAGCTTAATGAAGAGAAACATATAAAATGCAATTAAAGATAAAACTCCAAGATTTGACAAGCTGTCTATGTGGGCTTTTCAATAAGGCTTAAAGTATTTTTGCTAAGTGAATAAATATATTTTATTTTACTTTATACATCTATATGGCTACCCATTTCATAACTGTGGCTGGCTCACAATTAGCAAGATGATTCCCCAGATAACTTGGACCCATACCATAAAAGGCTTTAATAGTAATAAGCAACATATTGAATTGGCCCCAGAAGCAGATCAGCAATCAATGCAGCTTATTTAACACTGCATTCTGAACCAATTGTAACTTTCAAACACTTCTAAGATAGCCCCACGAAGAGCACATTTAAGTAATCCAAATGAGAGGTGACCAGAGCATCAGTGACTGAGCCTTATGATCCAAAAAATGGTGCAACTGGTGCACAACACAAAGTTTTGCAAAGGTCTTCTAGCCACAGTTGCTACCTGCTCTTTGATCAGGAGTTGTGAGTCTAGGAGAACCCACAAGTTGCATACCAGTCTGTCTGGGGTAGTGTAACTCCACCCATTAAAGATGATAAACCTCTGAAACCCGAGGTACCACACATCCATAGCCAGGATTCAACTATCCCGCAAACAGACCCTTACAGCTTCCAGGCACCACAAAGGGCAGTCATGGCATCACTTTTATCATCTGGGATGCAGATATAGAGTTGAGTAACATTGGCATATTGATGATAGCTTGGCCCATGGTGACAGATGTTTTTACCCAGTGTAGATGTTAAAAAGAAACAAAGAGAATATGAAGCCTGCAGTACCCCATAGAAGAGCAGCCATAGGCTGGACCTCTCATAGTCTATCAATACCAACAGAGACTGGCCTTGGAGAAAGGAACCAAACTAGTGCAAGATTATGCTGCCCAGTCCAAAGCCCCCAGTTGACCCAAAAAAGATACCATGGTTGTTGGTATTGAAAGCCACTACCTCCATCCTGCTCTCGACAGAGATTGACAGGTGCAACCAATGCTCTTTCTGTCCCATAGCCAGCCTAAAAGCTGACTGAAAGTGCTCCAGATAATCCATTTCATCCAGGACCTTCTAGAGCTGCAACACAATCACTTTTTCCACCACCTTCCCTAAAAAGGAAGGTGAAAGACTGGGCGGAGGTTTTTAGGCAGGTGAAGTTTCTTAAAGATAGGTAGTATGGCCTAGAAATGGAAATTCTTACCACCTCTATTTACCTCAAGTTGTTCTCTCCTCAAACTATGACTCTAAGTGCAGAAAAATAGTCTATTCTTATTCTGTGTTTGTATTCCTCTCTTGGAAGGAATGTTCATTTCTGAATTACTAATATTCAATTTTGTTTTCTTTTCTGTTAGGTCCAAATACAGACATTTATGGGTGCTTGTTTCGTAAAAATCTTATCTTCACAACATGCTCTCCAGTTGCTTCAGAGGTACAGCAAATATTCTAAATTAACAAGTATTTCACTTGGGACAAGAGTTAAGTTTATGTTCATTTGAAAGATAAAAGGCAGGTGCTGTCTCTTTTTACAGTTGATCTAGGAAAGGCAGCCACCTGTTATTCTGTTTTCCATTTTCTTTGTAGATGGATAGCATAACAGACTATATCCCTCCAGCTAAAGCAAGTTAGATAATTATATGCAGTAGAAAAACACTAAGTCAAAAACAAAACTTAGGTTTGTTTTTTGATCAGGTATTCTTTGGTCTTTAATGTTCTTCGGCTTCTTTTCTTTCATTTGTTCTGTTTTCCTAACCCTCTGATACTTTTTGAACTGCCACCACAACTGCTATGTGTATGTTTAAAGAACACGGAAGAGGTACCATACATTAGCTGCAAAAATTGAAATAATTACACAAAACTCTCTTTGTCTTTAAAGGTTGTCTAGATCAGAATGTCAAACTCACGGTGGGCACGGCTTCCGGATGACGTGTCCAACCCACGGGCTGGCACTTTGACACCCCTGGTCTAGATGCTTATAGTTCATATCTGATAGTCCTCCATAATTATGATTAGCTTAGCTAACAAACCGACAGTTTCCTTTGAAAAGAACAATCTTTATTAAATGCCCCTTATGAAACTATTATAAAAATGGATGCTGTAACAACTGTCTTTATCAATGTAATGTGATGGGGCCTTTGAGGGTTTTACTACAACATATTAATACAATTGATCTTCTGGAAGCATAGTTTTTAGTATTTTTATAGCCTACATTGTACCATTTGAAATAAGAAACCTTTATTTCAGTTTGATTATATTAACAGTATCATATTCCATACATTTCTGTATTTGAATATGAACACTATAGATTTCAGAAATTGAACATGCCATGTCTTCAGAATGAAATTGCATATACAGTTGGGCGTATTCTTCAGCACTATGTTGCCGAACTTGAAGCAACTAAGAAGGTATTTAATATGTGTTTATATTGAACAGAATCTGTCCATTTGATCAGGTTTACTTGTTGAAAGAATCAGTTTTAAGTGATAATTTTGTGGAACTTACTTTTACCCCATACAGACAAATTTTAATAAGTCATGTGATATTGTTATACATATAATGTTTTTAACTTTATTAAATATGAACAGTCTATGTACAATCAAATGGTAGACTTGCTTTTAAAATTGTAAACTACATTGTACATATCTTTTAAAAAGGCACTAAACCAGTGATGGCGAACCTTTTAGAGACCGAGTGCCCAAAACCCGGCCCTGCACCGCCCCCACTCCACCCCCCGCCTGCCCACAGGGCCACCCACCGCCTCCATGGCCTGCCGCAGATCACCCAAGTGGCCCAACAGCGCCATGGCAGCCCTCCCTCCGCCCGTGCCTTGTAGCATCAGCTGTGCGCAATGGGGCATGACAGCGGAGTGTTGTTCCCGCTGCCCAACTGCCATGTCTTTGGCTATGCTACTCTGCATGGGCTGTGCTCGGGGGTGACTCCTCCGGGGGGCTGCTGGTGAGGGGGGCATGGGAGAGGCGGGGCTGGAGCAACGGCACAGGAGTCCACAGAGAGGACTCTGAGTGCCGCCTCTGGCACGCGTGCTATAGGTTCGCCAACACTGCACTATACAGTAGTCCTCACTTAACAATGGCATTGAGATTGGAATTTCTGTTGCTAAGCAATCATAAAGTACGTCAGATGACTGCACCACTTAGTGAAAAAATTCTGACATTTCCAGTTGTCGTTGTTAAGTTAATCATGGGTCATTAAACAAGGATGTCATATGGTTGCCATTTTTGATTACCTATTGATTTCCCCACTGACTTTGTTTGTCAGAAGCTGGCAAAGAAAATTGCAAGTGGCAGTCACATGATCTTAGGAATGCTGTGATGATTGTAAGCACAAAGACCAATTATAACTACCACTCATTCAGCACCATTGCATGTTTGAACAGGCACTGAACGAGTGTTCATTAAACAAGGACCACCTGTTGATGTTTTGGCTATTTGTGCAGTTATTCAAAGACAAAAATAATTAAAAGGATAATAATCATCTGATTTGCTTTCACAGACTTCACTTCTAATAATGAGATCTAAAATTGTGAATTCAATAGAACAGGCAGAGAAACACTGAAATGTCAATAATGTACATTGTGTATATTAGAGATGTTAATTTCACATTGCCTACTCTGGAAATGCTGGCATGCCAATTGGGTTGATTAACATTAATCAGAAAAACAACTGGAAAGGAAAACAAACAGAATGTTAATATACTTTGAAAGCTATCCATAATGTGGAAACAGGGAGTGGAGGTGACTTTCCATTCTCATAATTATTAGCAAGTAAATTAACTCTAATATATAATGTTTTACTTGCAACCTTGACTTCCTCTCCTTTTTTCCCCCTTTCTGAAAATTATACCTGATTGGTTGGGAATAGCTAACGTGATCTAATCCAACCTCCTCCAACCTGGTGCTCTCCAATGCAATTGGAAATTCTTGCAAATATTCTGTCTGTAGCACATCAAACTGTAGAACTTTGGTCTGGTACATTACATTCCTTCCTATGCAGATATGTCAGATTAAGATATGTCGGGGTGACTTGTAGCTCAACTATTAATGACATTCTCATTTGATACTTGACTTTGCTTTATCATAGCTTTATCAGGTGCAAAAGGATAATCCTATCCTGGCTCGAAACATGCCACCTGTAGCAGGAAAGATACTGTGGGTGAGACAACTCTTCAGGCGTATAAGTGAGCCAATCAACTATTTTTATGTAAGTTTATCATCACCATCTATTTGTAAACAACAAGGCTGACACATGATTTTCAAAATATATTTCATCGTCCAGTGAGGAGAATACTGCTTGTTATTATCTTGTTTCATCAGATCTTCACAATCTTCCCATATTAGTGTGGCTGGCTATGAATTTGAGTAAAATGATTTAGAATAGCCTGTAGAGGGCAGTGCTTAATTGCTTTTAAAACAATATCTCTGTTACCTAGTTTTCACTCAGTTTTGACAGAACCATATTAACCCTGGTTTTTAAGTTGTAGTTGCTAGAAAACTCCAATAAAATGATTTAGGCATATGGTTTTGCTTCCCTTTTGTCAGGCATCTCTTCAGATAGCCAAGCCCAACAGATTTGATGTTTAGGACAGTGCTGGGCATTGTTAGAAACACTGCATTATTAATGGTGATGGTTGTTTTTGTCCCAAATTAGTTCTCATTAACAATTGATTGCATGAGGAAATAGGCATTTCAGATAGGAAGGAGAGCTATTCTCACATAGATCTGGATTATTTTTCTTCTTATAGTGGGGTAATAAATTGCACTGATTATGCAACAGAATATTGCAGAATATCTTCGCCCCATAATAAGAGCTTCTTTTCAGACTTCCTGTTTGCTAAATAGTCATGTCTTCTTTGACAGATGTAATAAAGAAATACCAATGAACCAGCTTGTTTACTTCCCTAATCCAACAAGCTCCCTATTTTCTTCAGTTTTTAAAAAACATGTTTCAAAGCAAGGAAGGGAGGAACAATTTTGAACGACCCTGCAGTGTCCATCTCTTGTTATTCTTTAATTTTGCTGAAAGCTGCCCTCTCACAATGCAGCTATTAGTCTTACAAAATTAGCTCTGATCGACAACCATGGAATTTTTCCCCTCTTAATATTAGCTTGGAATTTTTTTTAATTCATTGTGATTCTGGCTAAGAAGAAAAAGCTTGAACTTTCTCTCCTTATTCTATGATTGTATGATGATCCTTTGCCCTCATTTTCTATTATATAAATTCCCCATGGAATTATATATTTCAAAGGGGCCTCATAAGCCACTGAGTCCCAACCTGCTATGCAATGAACAAATCCAAATTAAAGCAACTCTAACAGATGGTTATTCCACCCCTGCTTTGCATACCCAACAACGGGAAGTGCACCCTCTTTTTCCTAGATAAATTAATGGGAGACACAAGCTCTCCTTAAACTGATAAAAGCAACCCAGGTTCTTGATTTGTCCCTTATTAACCAGCTTACTATTTACTGTATATTGGGTCTGAGGTCTCAAAAGACCTGGACAAGTGTAATTTTTTTAAAGTGCAAATTGGATTACCCATGCAATATAAATTTTACCGGGTTTCCTTAAACATTTCTCCAGGAACCACTTTTACCCATTAAAAATGTGTATGTGTCTCACTGTTAGGTACTTATTTGATTTTATGACCAGATATTTAAGTTGTGATGCTGTCTGTTGAACAAATGGTGTGAATTACTGTCATATGTAAAATATTGAAAGATTTTTCAAATGCAAACCTTGCAGGATTACAAGTAAATTTGAGAGAGGGATATTCTGGATGTCCTCTTTAGTAAAAGTAGAAGTATTTTATTCACCTACTCTTAAAATATATAGTTCTTTTATTATCATTATTTTAACAGAAAAACTCAGACATCTTGGCAAGTGTGGAAGGAAAAGCAGTTGTTCGGTTATATAATAAAATTTCCTATGTATTGGTGGAGTTTGAGGTACTTTATCACACAGCGTGGATGAAAGAGATTTCACAGTTAGAGTATGGTAAGCTATTTAATCCATTGCAAACTCTATTGAATAATACCATTACTCTGTCCAATTACTTTGGGGAAGTGTCTCTAATTACAATATTTGACTTTAGCATTGCAGGTTACACTATTGGTACGTCACCCTGAAACTGGAAAGCTACTGGTAAATTTTGATCCCAAGATTTTAGAGATTGTTCGAGAAACAAAATGTATGATAAAAATGGGATTAGAAGTACCAGAGCAGGCAAAGAGGATAGTCAAAATTGAAGGAGAAGTAAAAGCAAACAAATTATGCTTGGAGGTAGGTAAAGAAGCGTGTTGATTTTTCAAATAACAGTTATCTTTATGAAAAGTATACATTAAGGAGATTTTATGACATATGCTGGGAATATGTTAACCCACAAGAAGAAAATAAAGAGAAAAGACAAAAAGGGTCAAGGTAATACTTCAATTACAAATTACATTTTGCTGGGGTAGGTGTGTATTGTCAGGAAAGAGAAGCAATCTCATTTAACTGACATTTAATTGAGAAATATGCATCTATAAAAAAGGCCAAAATAGCTCAGCAATAATGCTCATACATGAATACAGAGTTCAGGGCAGGACCGTTAGAACGTTTGAAGTATAAAATAAAAAGAGGCAGAGATGTCAGGATTATTGCTGGGGAAGAGGTCATTAAACTAGTGAAGTAAACCCATAGATTCATTTGTCTGTCTGTCTGTCTGAGGTATTGCTTCATTATAAATATTGTATGAATCCATCTTCTGCATGTATGACTTATATTTCACTTACATTGCAATACATCTATATCAGCAGACCTATACTATTATCCTGATTAAATTCACTGCAATCCATTCCTATATTTTGGAATTTCAAAAGGCTTAACTATAAGTGAGTTATCCTAAGTCATGTTTGTGTCACTGTATCTTCTGTAAATTGTGAATGTCATCAGATAATACTGTTTTTGAGATCACATATCATCTGCTGAAACTGTCACAACATTTCATGATTATCTGATGAAAATTCTTGCTTTATTCTGCACAAAACAAAAATGATAGTTTATCAATAAAAATGAAACCTCATTTTCCTTTACATGTTGACATTTGTTACTCATTTGCCATTATGTAATAATAGACTCTTTAGGAGGGAAAAATAAAAGTGCCTCAAATACAGTACCTTCCTAAGAACATGTAATGTGACAAATTTGCATACTATGTGGGTGAATTATCTCTAAATCTTTTAAATATGTGCCAAGAAGCTTTCTGCTTGAAACATCCTAATCTCTTTGTTATGTAGTCTAGCCCAACTACCTTCATATTAAAAAATCATAGGAACATTAGTTCTTTACTAAGCAAAATGGCTTAGGGTTATTATTTTTTTTAAAAAAAGTGTATTTTTTTACATAGAAATCTATCTAAGCTGAAGACTTTAAGAAATTCATTATATATTTTAATTTCTATTAATATTAATTTAAATCCTTATTTTAATTCACAGAACATTCTACACTGCTATGAAAATTTGTGCCAAGAAGTTCCAACAGTGTTTGTCAACCTGATGGCACCTAAAATGAAGAAGGTATATTGAAATATCTATCTATATACTATTAAAACTCTCATTGTCGTGAGTTTTAACTTGGAGAAGTGGTGCAATTTTTGAACTAAGATACCTCAAATGGGCTAACTTACAGAATATATCCAAAATCCAGCATTCTTGACCTTCAAGGAAATAAAATTTGGGGAAATTGTGGTTACATCAGTGCTACTGGTTACTGGTGCACTGGTGCACTGCTCCTGCTGCTGCAATCATATGATCTTCATTTTCAACATTCTGTGACAATTTCCCACTCAGTCTCACAATTTTCACTCAGTCTCTCCTTCCCCAACCCACCTTCCTGCTGGAAAGGAAATGGAAGGCAAAGGAAGAGAGGGAGGAACAGGCAAAAAGGAGGATAATGACAGTATGATTGGGAGAAAGGGAAAGAAACTAGGGGAAGAGAGGGAAAAAGGGAAGGAAGCAGAGAAGGGAGGGAGGGAGGGAGGGAGGGAAGGAGGGAGGAAAGGAGGAAGGAAGGAAGGAAGGAAGGAAGGAAGGAAGGAAGGAAGGAAGGAAGGAAGGAAGGAAGGAAGGAAGGAAGATTTCTGATGTTCTCAGGCAGCTTCCAACAAGGAAACTAAATGGGGAAGCTGCAGTAAGTTGGAAGTTGCCCCCATTCCTGCTGCTTTTGTACCTACCCATAATCATTCTGTTTCTCTGTTTAGGTAAGGAAATATCTCTGAAATGATGATCCAATGGGTCACAGATTGCCCATTATCTATAGGGATATTCATCTCTTCATTACATTATGTCTTGACAATTGCAGTGTGCTTTCTAGGATGCTGCCCTATCTCTTTTACTATGCCATTAATGGTCAAAAACCTATTGTTAATGTTTTAATGTATTTTTTTATTTTTGTACTTTGTGTGAAAATTGTTTTAAATTTTACAAAGTTTACTTGGACAAAAATGTATTTATAAAAACAGAAATAAATACATTTTACTATATAAACTATGTAAACAGAAGCGTCAGGAAGCAACTTAACAAAAGATTTCCAAGAATTGTAAGAAGTGGCAGGAAGAAATATTATAACAACATCTGTAAAGCCATTGAAAAGAAATGGAAAAAAATAAAAAAATCTTTAAAGAGGTCACTGAGCTCCAAAGGAGATTCCAACTTCAATTTTTGTACTAAAGTATTCTAATAGACAAGTAGTTGCCTATTAGAAAAAAAAATAAAAAAGTTGGAAGGAGTATATTGAAATTTTGTATGATTGAAATGTCAACATCCAAGATACCTTAGAAGATATTTTCTATTTACAAGAACCTCTAGTTTTAGTTTTAGTATTGTGGGCAGGGTGTTTGTGTATTTTTGAAGTCTGAAACAGAGCAGAAACCATGGTCAATGGTATTGAAAGCCACTGAGAGGTCAAGCAGAGCAAGAACAGATGCACAACATTTATCCAATTCCTGGGAGATCATCTAAGAGCTGTTGTTATCCCATATTAGGGCCTGACTACTGATTGAAAGGAATCTAGATAATCTGCTTCACCTATGGTCCTCTAAAGCTGCTGTGCAATCCCCTTTACTACCTTCCCCCCCAAAAAGAGAGGTTAGATATTGGATAAAATTGTCCATTATATTGGGTCCGGAAATGGTTTCTTGAGGAGGGGATGAACTAGCCCCTCCTTAAGAGGCAGGGGAATGAATTCCTCATCCAAGGAGGAATTCACTACTATCAGAATCCATTGAGATGATACCCCCTTCCTGACAATCTTAATTAGACAGAAAGGACATAAATTTAAAGAGCAGGTGGCTGAGCTTAAAGTCCTAAGGATCCTGTCCAGTACTCAGGAACAACTTGTTCAAACTGTTTCAAAGAATAGGGCAAGACTACCCTGGGCACTTCCTTGGGATTTACAACAAGACCAACATCCAGATGAGAATGAATTTGAGTGATTTATCCAACAGGAGTTGAACAATCTCTTCCACATAGCCCTACAAAGGGACTTCATCATCCCCTCTACCTAGTAGTATAGCTTTGGGTATGTTTTACCCAAAACAGGATCACAGGATTGCTACCTGCAGACATAATAAGGATGAAGAACTATTGTCACTTTGCCACTTTTACCAACAAAGTAGGCCTTAATAGCAGTTCTAACCTGTGTTTGTTAAGTTCATCCCTTGTCATGGTTAAGCGATGCTCTAAAGGTCTTTTGTCTCATTTCATCTCCCTCAGTTCCTTCCTTTGTGGAGAATGATATGATTCATGAGAAGGGAAAGGTTGCATAGGTTTAATTTAGTTGAAGGACTTGGTAGCTTTCCTGTTCTAGATGGTAACCAATGGCTCAGGTAGACTGTATGGCAAACTGATAGGCACACCATCAGCTCCCCCTGAAACTTCTCTGGATCTATCAGTCACCGAGGGTGGCCTTATCTAATAGGCCCCACTTCCCTGCAATGGGTGATGGCACCAAAAAAACCCATGGTAATCAGGGCATGATTTGACCATGACAAGGGGGCCACCAACAAAGGGTGATATTAAAGAAGGGAGTCCACCTGAAAGGGAAGGAAAGACAGGGAAGATTTTCTTTAGGACTGTAGAAAATGCTTGTGATATTCTATTGAGTTTAGCACAGTATAATCTATTAGATGCTAACAATCTACTATAGTCCTAATAATTCTTTTTTTCTCTCTCCTTTTACTAGGTGGAATCTGTACTAAGGCAAGGTCTTACTGTTTTAACTTGGTCCTCTCTGACATTAAATAGCTTCTTTCAAGATGTTGATGAAGTTATGAAAATGTTTAAACAGCTTTTGAAAAAGGTATATTTGGTTTTCCCTAGTTCCATTAGTAGTATCAAGGATTGAATTTGGCCCCAAGAATTCAAAGTATGTGTCATGTTGCTGAATGTTGGCTCTGCAGCTTAATTCAAATATACATTAATTTTCATCTTAATTTAATATTTACAATTATTCCAGTGTAGACAGCATATATAATCTATTCAGATTTCCAAAGTGTCATAAGACAGAAAGTACAGTTAATTTATTGTATTGTTATTTAATACAATTAAGTTACAGTTTTATTGAAGGATTGGAGCATAGAGGAATCTTTTATGTTGTATGGATTTGAATCACAGCTTTTAATTTTAATCTATTTTTAACTTAATCTAATTGATTAATCATACTATATGTTTTTCTAGTGGGGCTTCTTATCACCCTCAAGTGTATGTTTTTTAAAAAAAATCAAGCAAAATGTTTGTGAAATCCTAACAAGAAATCAATTAACAATCTTTTTTTAATACAGATTAATGACTTGTGTGAAATGCAGATTGATTTAACACTGAAGGATATATCAAATACTCTGCTGCTGATATTACCTGAAAGTGCAACAAAAGTGGAGGACTTACTGGCACGCAATGAGGTAACCATAGTTTTAGCCATTCTTCTGTTGGTGAATATATGTGCAAATATCCATAATGTGAGCTGTATAAAGAACAATTTTAGTTATTTAGCTATGAGAATTTTTAAATATTCTTTTAGAATTCTAAAGAATTCTATTTTTCATACTTCTCCACAAGATGGCAAACATCTCTATACCAGCATGTTTCCCTTTTAGTTTTATTGATTTGCTCAACATTTATGTTTTCTAAATGTATGTAAACTTCACTCATCTCTGTTGATGAAAAACCAGTGCTTTAAAATGCTGAATAACTTCAGAAATTTACTTTGTAGGATATTCATTTCACCTTATGCAATTATACATTCAGTCTTAAAGAACCTGCTTCAGTTTGTTATTAGCAATTCCTCTGAATTTACCACACAGTTCTAATTATTATGATTTATTTTAAGTACATAACTGCCATTCATTTTTGAAAACCTTATATTCCAAATAGCAGAAAATAATTGTATTAGTAAATATGAAATCATTGATGCTTCAACCACAAAAGTCATCTATGTAAGTTGAAGAGCTTCATTATCAGACTATATCTGTAGAAGTAACACATGCCTTAGCATATGTACATGTAATAATTAATAATGCCACCATTATTTAATGTTTGTATTTTATTTCCATAGTAGAAAACTGCTTATGCCTTAGTTACCTCCATTTGGGATTGGAGGTAAGCTATGTACTGTACATTGACCTGCTCTTGAAAGCCACTAGAAACTATGGCTGGTTCTGAACATAGCAACTTAAATAATTACGGGCATTCCTTCATTTGCTCATGTAACATATCTATTTCAAGAGCTGCACTTGTTTTCCATGTGTACCGAATGTCACCTATAAAGCCCTTCAGAGAACACTGTGGTGTCACAGTGGTTAGAATGCAGTACTGCAGGCTATTTTACAGGGTGAACGTTTCCCAACAATTGTGGAAGTTTCAATTCCACTGTGACAGGGTTTATGATCTTAGTGATGAGAAAAGTTCACCCTGTGTTTCATTGCAGTCTATTAAAACCTTTATCAGAATCCTCTATGAGACCTGTCCCAAAGAAGCCGTCAGGTCCAATAGTGGTAGAGGGGGAGACACATTATGAAATAAAATGAATTCTTGATTCTAGGTTGTACAAGGGAAAGTTATAGTACCTCATTCAGTGGAAAGGCTACCCCCTTTCAGAAGCTACATGGGTGAAATGTACTAATGTGAAAGCGGATAGATTAATAAAAAAAGTTTTATGATAAATATCCTCACAAGCTTCGAGGGAATACTTAACCTGATTTTTGTTTCCCCTACATGAGACTTTCTTTCTGAGAGGGGCAGACTGTCAATTCTACAAATGAGCATGGCTGCAGCCATTTTTCCTACTTATTTTCAGTTGCCACATAGAATGGAGGGAAGGGGGTTGCTCAGGTGCTTCGCTAGTCAAAATAATATTTTATCCCATGGGAACCAAGGTCATTGGCTGCTCCTGAGACTGTAGGCTGGTCGTTGTGTAAAAAGCTTGCTGAGAAGATTTATTGCAGAATTGTTAACGTTTGTCTCTAGACTTGGTTTCACTTTTCTCCTCCATCTCAAGTCTTTGCTGAGTTGTTACTGCTCTCCCAAAAGTGAGTGGTTAGGCGGTCGGAGTCCAGCATCCTGAGAAAATGAAGTTTCATGAGAATTTGGTTTAATGTCAAGGTTCCGACAGACAGAGATAAATAAAGCAGAACTCCGAGGCTTGCAAATTCCCCAAAAAACATGTTTATTAGTTACAAAGTATCAGCACGTCAAAAGTGAAACCAAGTCTGCCAACACATATAACAATTCCCCAATACATCTTCTCAGTGGATTTTTTACGCAACACCCAGCCTGCAGTCTCAGGAGCAGCCAATGACCTTGGTTCCCACCGGACAAAAGATTATTTTGACTAGCGAAGCATCTGGGCAGCCCCGCTCCCTCCATTCTATGCAGCAACCAAAAATGAGTAGGAAAAATGGCTTCAGCCATGCTCATTTGTAGAGTTGACAATATGCTGATTTTGTAAACCACTTAGAGAGGGCTGTAAAGCACTGTGAAGCAGTATATAAGTCTAAGTGCTATTGCTATCTCACAGACTGACTTCTGCCAATAGTTTCCACCTGCCCAATTAGATGAGGATGAGTGGTTTCTCTTTAGGGTCATGATGTCATCTACCATGGCCTTTTATTCTGGAGTAGCATCTCACTGAATGCTTAATTTGCCTTATCACACTTGGGATTCCGAAAGTCAATCACATCTGGCTTTGAGGGAGATTCTTCCTGCATATGAATATTGATGATATCAGTTGTTTTTGTTCCCCAGCAAAGGTTATCTTTGTCAATGAGGAGCGCTTGGAGCTTGGTTGTTTTAATCTTGTTTATGCACATAAAGTCTTTAAGTTACCAGTCAATGATCAAAAATACATAAAAGTCTAGTAAAATAAATAGAATGCTGTTATTGTATTTAAACAGGTACACACAAAGGAATGGGCTGAAATATTAAACAATAAAAGTAGGCATGTAGAAGATGCTGTACAAGAACTCATATCAATATTTGAGCAAATTTATGAAGTTAAACATGTCAAAAAGCCGTCTCCCAAAAAATTTCAAACATCAGGTATCTATGGCTCCCTTCATCATTAAGAATTTAACTATCATCATCAAGACTTTTTCTATTTATTTACAGACATTTTAATAATTAATGATATTTCTCTGTAATTTTAATTTTGGAAGCATAACAAGGAATACAGGTCTTTATTATCAGTCATTAAAACAAGAACTTTTGCTGCCTGAAAATAATATATTCTGGCCTGTATTTAATAGAAGCTAAATTGTTTATCCAGCAGTATTCCCAGGTAAGAAGTTCTGGGATGCTGCAGGAGTGTGGGAGGGAGGCTGTGGGAGGGGACTGCTGCAGCACTGTGTGAGCACAGAAAAGCCATGGGATGCAGAGTGTGGTGCTGGACAAGTGCAGGTAGGACCTGGGGTGTGAGGGTGCAGTGTTTTGTGAGTTAGGAAAACCAAGGGGTGGGAAGGTATGATGCTGTGTGAGTGCAGGAAACCCATGGAGTGGAGGGCGCAGCTCTGCAGGAGCATAGGAGCATGGGGGGATAAAAGGTGGAGTATGTGGTGCAAGCATGTAAGCTTGGAGGACTTATCAAAATTACTTGCAACTTTTCTGGTTGGCTTCCCCATTGACTTTGCTTGTAGGAAACTTGCAGAGAAGAACATAAATGGCAGTCGTGTGACCACGGCTCCCTGCAATGTTGTAATTGTGAGCTGGACATCCAGAGTGTACAGTATCCTGTGATGGCCAGAACCCCGAGGATTGATCATATGTCCCAAAAGGGGGAAAGATGTACTTCCAAAATTTACAAGATTCTGTTTATGTAACTTTATAATAAAATAGAGCTACTACTTCTGGTTAAGTTTCTTATCTGGACTACCTCACAAGACTGACATTAACCTTGTAAATCTGAAAATACATCTCAGGTAGAAAGGGCACAACTGGTACATGGTTATGGGAAATTATGGTATCTTTCTGAACTATTTATGGTGATTAAGAGTGGGATGAATAATGTTCTGGTGTTCTCTGACTAGTGTTGGCAGGCAACGGATGGGAGAAACTGAGCTAGAAAACTCTGAAATTCAGGGTGCATCAGGGTCAATGCTCCCATCTCTTGCTTAATATTTGCCTGAGGTTGGTAGGTTAGGACATTCATTAATTTTGAGTCAGGTTATCATCAATACACTGAAGACACCAGGTATACATCTTAACCCCAGTGTGACAAGGTGAATTGTCAAGACTCCGTCCCAATTTGGAGGAATGGACTATCTTCCAAATGCTGGGTTTTATGTAATATTACTGGACACAAAGTTTGTATAAAGGGTTTTTAAAAAAAAAAAAAAAAAAAAACAACGATAGCAATATAATAATAGTTGTTATATTTATAAGCTCTGTGTTTAAGTCATCAAGTGCAGGAGTAGAATCAGCTGGGTTTTCCTCTGTTAGGTAGAGAATCAATTGTTCTTATGATGTTTCTGCCCCCATTTCATGTTTTTCTTAACATTTACATCAGTGGCTATGTCAAAGGCTCAAATAATATGACCAATAGATCTTAACTTTCACTTAACTGATTACTGATAGAAGCAATATGTATTGTGCTCTATCTATTTAGGATTCTGTGGAGATCCTAGATCGAATGTGTGAATGGATGCAAACTCTCCCACAATGTATACTATATCAACTTATGCACATGGCTGTTGATTGAATGAATTCACTTCTCTTTTATTTGAAACAGAAGGAAAACATGTAGCATTTGGAGGTGGAGAAGAAGAGAGACTCTCTTCAGGGTCTTCAATTATGATTAGTAGTGAAGAAGCTGAAGACAGTGAAAAAGAGGATGAATTCAAAAAGGTATTTCATCACCTATTGAACATTTATTCAATATACATATTATTGAAATAATGGAAATAATTTAAAAACAATTGCATTATTTATTAGAATAATTGTTGAATATCTTTCTAACTTTCCCCTAACATATTTCTGCTGTGAAACTGCTTTAATTGAACAAAATTATAGACAAGTTTAGTGCAGAATTATCTTGCTGATACAGTATGATTTAAAATAGAAAAATGGCAAATAGGAGAGGTGCTGAAACCATCCCCTCCTTCTTTTTTGCTAGAAACTTTTCTTCTCACCCAATTTTCAATTGGTGAGACTTAGTTCTGAGGTTTATACTGGCCAAGTATAAACAAGGAGAAGAAAGTATATGTTTAGTGCTCCTTTCTGCCAATACCTCTAAGGCAGGGATGTCAAACTGAAGCCGCACCCACCCCATTGTTGGCAATGGCAAAACCGTCCCGTTATGTTGCGCAATGTCATGTGATGTCATGAGTTTGACATGTCTGCTCTAAGGAATTACTTAGATCAGAGGCCTAAGGGGCATGCTGGCCAGGGAATTCAGGGAGTTGAAGTCCTCAAGTCTTTAAGTTGCCATGTTTGGAGACCCCCTGACAGATCCATGCTTATTACCTAGCTGTGCTTTCAGTTCATTATTAAAATCAGCCTTGTCAGGTTGGTTTGTTCTGAGTCAGATCTCATTTGCATTACATGAGTTTTTCTTGTGGCTCATTTAGTTGAAAATAGGAATGTTGTTTTCAGCAGGATATTCAGCATCAGTAACCTTCATGAGCTATGCCAGAAGAAGTAAATTGCTGAATGATTTTGAACAGGTATGTAGTTGATATGAATCTAAACTGCTGCTTTTAACTGCAGGAATGCAAAGAGGTAGTTGCATATTTTAGCCATCAGTTGCTGGATAGCCTGCAGAAAACTACACGATTATCCTTAGATGCTCTTAAAAGAAGAGTATTTGTTTCAAGGTAAGTGATATAAGTGAAAAAATATTTTTACCACTTGCCCTAATACACTTGGCACTTTTGTTTCTACCAGCAGAAAGAAACAAATGAGAAAATTCCAGCTGAATGTTTCCTTAAGAACCAATAAAGTTTTCAATACCAAGTAATAAACAAATCCCTGAATTCCTAACTTCCTGCTATTCCTTGATCATTTGCTTTTTAACCATAAGAGTAAAGGTATTCAGTAAATATATTCAGAATTTATATTTTTTTCTTAATCCAGTAGGGTATCACCATGACTTTCATTAAAAAACAAGGATTTTTGACTGTGTATGCTCATTATGATAAAGAGTCTCCTTTCTATGGCTTAGTATATGGTGAAAAGTCAGCTGTGACTTATTTAATAGACTGGTTAATGCAATATGTGAACATTTAAGCTACAAGTGAGATGGATCCTTCCTTGGATGGTCCATGTAGCTATCAGAAGTTAATCTTAACTCAAAGTGTTTCATCTTTATAAAACTAGTATGTCCATACAAAACATAGTGCTGGATATAGTAGTATAGAAATTTGCAGTGCTTACTCTTGCTTTGTTATTTATTAAACATAAAATAACCTTTAATCAATGGCCTATCTTAGTCCTGGGTGGTGAGTGCCACTATGGCCTAACAGATTCCTCTGAGAAGCCCATGATAGTCCTTTTCTCCATGTGTTCTTGTTTAATATAATAAATGATTTAATCCTCATTTCTTGTTCAGCTCCACCAACTTTGGACGGCTGCCTTATTTACCTCAGACAACAGTCAAACCTGAAGATGTTGTTACATTTCTGAAAGCTGAAGTGCACTTAGCCATTCCTCATGTGGTAAGTGGTTTTTGTAATATGTGATTTTTGCAATCACAGAGGAGATAATGCATCATCTGTGAATTTCTTCTGACCATGTCACTTGTGCGGTGCTACTTAATATGGCTATTAAAAGCTTGGATAATGCAATGGGCAATACAAAGATAGTTAAAATGACAGGAGAAAAGGGTATGGATGTGTGAGGAAGAGACAAGAAGCTTGGAAAACTGATCTGGTAACAAAAATGAATTTAAAAAAATACATTTAAATAGAATGTAGCACTAAATACACAAATTGTCATGACATAAATACATATAGAAATATTGATTTCATGCATGCTGTGAAAGAAGATTTTGTCCATGAAAGCTTACATTGTACACATTTGCTTTAAGGTGTTTTAGGATTTATTTTCAGCTCTTGTCAAAGTCAGTTCATTGAATTTCAAATGTAGCAAAAGCTCCAGGCACAACTGAACTGTAAAGAAATGGATGACATTCTGTTTCCTAATTTCTAGAATTAAAATTGCACAACACAACATGACTTTAGCTGTATATTAGAGTAAGTGAAGTGTTTCATATTATTGCACCATTTAGTAATATTATCTGGACCCTTTTCAATCTGGTTTCAGGCCTGGCTACAGCACTGAGACTGCTTTGGTCGCACTGACCGATGACCTCTGGCGAGCCCGGGATAGGGGTTATTCCTCTATCCTGGTGCTTCTTGACCTCTCAGCGGCTTTCGATACCATCGACCATGGTATCCTTCTGCGTCGTCTCGGAGAGGTGGGGGTGGGCGGCACCGTATTGCGGTGGTTCTCCTCCTACCTCTCTGACAGGTCGAGTCGGTGTTGGGGCGGACAGAGATCGACCCCTAGGTGCCTCGATCATGGGGTGCCTCAGGGCTCGGTCCTGTCCCCCCTCCTTTTTAACATCTACATGAAACCGCTGGGTGAGATCATTCGGCGACACGGGGTGAGGTATCATCAGTACGCGGATGATACCCAATTATATATCTCCACCCCGTGTCCTTTCAGTGAAGCAGTCGACGTGATGTGCCGGTGCCTGGAAGATGTGAGGGTCTGGATGGGGGTGAACAGGCTTAGACTCAACCCTGACAAGACCGAGTGGCTCTGGGTCTTGCCTCCCAAAGGCCAACTGGATGGTCCATCATTAGTCCTGGGGGGGGCAAATTTACCTCCCTCAGTGCAGGCATGCAACTTGGGTGTCCTCCTGGACTCACAGCTAAATTTGGAACAACATCTATCGGCTGTGGCCAGGGGGACCTTTGTACAGGTTCACCTAGTGCACCAGTTGCGGCCTTATTTGGACCGAGAGGCTTTACTCACAGTCACTCATGCCCTTGTCACCTCAAGACTGGATTACTGTAACGCGCTGTACATGGGGCTACCCTTGAAGGGCGTTCGGAGGCTGCAGTTGGTTCAGAACACAGCCGCGAGAGCGATTGTGGGCGTGCCAAGGTACGCCACGTGTCACCTATCCTCCGCGAGCTGCACTGGCTTCCTGTGGGTCTCCGGACGCAATTCAAGGTGTTGGTTATCACCTTTAAAGCCCTTCATGGCATAGGGCCAGGTTACTTACAGGACCGCATTCTGCCGCATAGTTCCCAGAGACCGGTGAGGTCCCATAGATTGGGCCTCCTTCAGGTCCCGTCGGCCAGACAATGTCGGCTGGCGGGCCCTCGGGGAAGGGCCTTTTCTGTGGTGGCTCCGACCTGGTGGAATCAACTTCCCCCCGAGGTTCGAACTACTCCCACCCTGCCGGCCTTTAAGAAAGCCATTAAAACTCTCCTGTTCCGGCAGGCCTGGGGCTGATGTCCCCGGGGGGGGGGGATATGATCGGACTCGCGGTATGACTGCATTATTTTATTGTTTTATGATTGTTTTAACTCTGTACGCCGCCCTGAGTCCTTTGGGATTGGGCGGCATATAAATAAAATTAAATACAAATAAATACAAATACAAAATTGGAAATTCTGGGTCACAAGAAGGAAGCCATAATAGAAGTTCCATTCCATTCCCATGCTGTCTCTATTTCTAGAAGAGGAAGGGCAGATATAGAGAGAAACTCTGCACGAACAGTTCTTGTATTTGCAAAAAATTTGCCCACTAGCTCAAACCCTGCATATTAGTAGTGTGATGGATAATAACACATTTAAGATTTTAGTTCTTTCTCTGTAACCTGGAAAAATTGAAGCTTTTATGTTCCACTTCATTTGAACGTGCAGATCTAATATTTCATAGTTTACATATACTGCATTGAAACACAGTGAGCTGGTGATATGGTAATAACCAACTTACCATATTTATTTCTTGAAAAATGTCTTTTTTCCCTTTATTTTTAGATGATGGTGCCCAGTTTGGATGATATCCAGCAAGCCATCAACCGTATGATTCAGTTGACCTTGGATGTAAGCCGGGGTGTGGCTCACTGGGGCCAGCATCACTTGTTAAAATCCAACAACCAGGGGGAAGGCAATGTTCCTGCATCGCCTAGTGCATTAGGGAAGCTACAAAAAAAAGAAGAAAGTGAGATCAATGTTTTTCTTTTTTCCTCTCTTTTAAAAATATTGCTTCTAAAATTTTAGCCTTATTTCAGCTACCCAGAAGAAAGTCATAGTAGAATTCTAAGCACGTTTGTTGAGATGTAAATCCCTATATAATGAATGGAGTTTGCTTTCTTAAATAGGTATATAAATTAGAATTGCATTTTATCTCTATTACGATAAATTATGAAAGCATAATAGAAATTAGTTTTATCAGTTAGCTAACCTCCAATTATTTTAAATTATTTCTCTCATAAGATCTCATAGACTCAGAATTATAGGTGTTTGTCCAGCACATTTGAACACCACTAGGTTAGAAAACCTAGCTTATTTAATTAGATGCTTAATCATGTCATTATAGAGAAATTAGTTTACTTTTAATATAATTAGTATAAAACACATGTAAGGTCTGTAATGTGATTTTGAAAAGGCTATTTCATTTACGAATACAAATAGTACAATGTACTTTTCTTTGACACAGATTTCATGATAGTTTTCAACAATAGAGTATTATCATTTGTTTTCCTTACCTAGAAATGTTAACATATTGTAAGTTTTTTATGTATATGATAGACACTTAGTTTGTAATACTTTTTCGTATTAAGTTTGTTACTGTTTTCTTTTTTATATTCTTGCTGTTTTGTCTACTTTTTAAAACTTTCTATTTTGTCTATTTTTTTAAAACAATAAATAACTGTTAGCAAGCTACGGTTGCCTCTAACCCAATTAGCACTGCTTTAATACAATAATTATTCTTTAGTTTAAAATTAAACTAGAATTGCAACTGATTTGCCAGTATTCCTACACTTTTTTATTATGAATTTCCCATTGTGTTCATTCCACACTAGTAAGTATGATGTAGCTGCTATAATAGAATAATTTGAATGGTTCCCTATAACTCCAAGCCAAGAGGTGTTGAGGGCCATTAACATGGTACCTTTAAAAACAGACTGGATAAGATGCTCAGAGTCTCCTAGAACTGTTAGACAGGTGGCAAATAAATGTAATAATAAATAAATAAAATATGCTTGTGGAGGACTCATCTATTAAAGATTGTTGCTCTTGAAGTTTCAGTATTAGCTCTACATTGGGAGTACCTTGTCTTGAACATGGAGGGGAAGGAGTCTCTCTTCATTTCCTATTTGATAAAATGCTTTCCTTTATGTTTATTTTTAAGGATGTTTTATTAGCACTGAAACATTTTTCTGATTAATATTTTATTTAAATGAAAAACAGTCTAGTACTCTAACTTCATAATATTATTGTGTTAACATATGCCCTATGGTTTTATGCAGATATAACACTGTAAGAATCATCATTTTAAATAATTAAAACCCCTTTTTGACCAGTATTTTCATTTTAAAAATTAAGGACAATTTTTGTGTAGCTATATGTCTTTCAGTTTAAATAGTCCTAATCAGAGAAGCAGCTTAATATTCAGTAAATATTATTTAAAAATAAATGAACCGTGATAGGTTCAGCTTCCTAACACTTACCAACCATTTTAGTTCTTCCCATTTGAAAATATGGAAACATTGCACTAAAGATATTTTCAACTACAGTTTTCTGATAAATTGTAGTTAAGAGAGAGGATATAGGTAAGAATCCTATCTCCTGCCAATGAGATTAACAATATTTCACATAGGTGGGACTACTGCTTTCTTTTCTGGAAAACATGTAATCTCATCTGGTCAATTAAAGAGATTGTTCTACTGCAGTATTTTGCTGATTTCCTGCCTATGACAAATAAAACAAAAACTTAAATAATATAAATATTGTATGTTTGTAATATTTTAGATTTTATATTTCATATTTTATATTTTTATATCTTGTTTTTTTATCAAAATGGGATGTGAATATGTCATATTACAAATAAATAAATTCTATTGCAGTCAAGAAAATATAAACTTTCTTGAAGAAGATATACATAATTAGCATAGTTGCTGGTTTTATTTTATATATATGATGTGAAATATTTGTGTGGTGTGTTAATTTTTTTTCAGAAACACTAGAGGACCAATTTCCTGTTAGAAAGCTGAGAAATTTTTATCCAGGTGTGGCAGAACATAAGGATATATCGAAATTAGTTGTGCTTTTGTCCTCAGCAGTAAACTCAGTAAGGAAAGCTGCAAGTGAAGCATTGCAAGACTTTCAAAAGTATAAAGCCCTGTGGACAGAAGACAGAGATGCTAAAGTTCAGGTAACACCCATTTTGGAATCTTTGGCATGTGAAAGATAGATAACATAGTTTCAGTTTAAGGAAAAGACAAAGCAGTTGTAAAACAGCATCTTCAGCATTAGCAGTGAGCTTGCAATCCAATAATGGTGCGTTACACTAAAGGAATTACAAATGTTTGAGGCCTACTTAGAATCAGGTCTCAACAAATTGACATAATTCATTCAGTCATTTATTAAGGATTACCAGTGTTGTTTTTGAAAGGCAGATTTGTCGTTTCTTTGACATCGATGCACATATAGTACCTCCTGGGGAAGAATAGAAGGGTAGAACATTTTTGATGCAACTAATGGGAAAGACAATTAATCAGTCATTTGAGTAATAATAATGTTTCCTCTAGTCCCATAAGGATTCTGAGATGGGGCTTGGCATCAACCCTTTTGACGAGTTTTTGTATACAATAGTTATCTCTTTGTAACATTCAGAATCCCTAATAAAGTTAAAGAACCAGCTTTGGCAACTGATGTAGGGCTGTACTGCATTATAGTACAGAGCAATATAGACCACCTGCAAAGTGTGGCCTTCGGCAGCCAAAAACAAGTTCTTGGATATTCTAGCAGTGGGTAATTGATGGGGAGATATTGTCACAAGGGAGACAATGAAGAAGAGGGTGGGAATATGTGCACAGCCACAAGCAAATCTATTGTTTATGGTTTACCTATAGCAATTCAATGTATGTGACTTAGTAGAAAGGACCAGAACTGAAATAATAAAGTACTGTATTGAATTTGATTCTAGTTAAATAAACAATATTAATGGTTGCAATTCTTCACAGCAATTTTTGGCCAATAATCCATCTCTGACTGAGATCCGATCAGAAATTCTTCATTATGCTACCTTTGAACAGGAAATAGAAGATTTAAAACCAACAGTTTCTGTTGGCCCCATTGAACTCAATACAGGTATGAAATGGTGTAAGAGGCTGCAATATTTGGAAAAGCATCTAACAGTTAGAAGACAGAAACATTTGCATAGATAAAATTAACAAAAACGGTGCAGTAGTATATATCTTTAAATAATATACATATGTTAATTTTATGTGAATTGCTGTATCAATATTTTTGCTTTTGCATGATCAGCTTAATCATGCTTAGAGCATGCCTATTCATTTAATTAAAAATTCTCTGAAGATGACTTATTTCGGATCCATTCTCTTGATTCTATGCTTCTTTAGATCCAGACTGACCTCTATCCAATTTATACTTTAAAAAAATGTAAAGAGACAATAATTAATGAAAAGTTGGGCACAGCAATATTAATAGAAATTGACTAAAATATAAAAATATACTTTTAATATAGCCAGTAATAGTTTTACTGATAATTTTTTTTAAAAAATGGAATCTATAAAAATAATCAAAACAGCAATAAATATGATAAATATCACAAAGAAAAAGATTAAAATGTGGCATGACTCCAGCCATGGTCATAAATCAATAATTACCAATTTTTAAAGAAGAAATAGTCTTTAAAAAGATTATACAGAAATTATCTTCCATCAATTCCAGCCATGTTAGAAAGGGGATCAGTTTTGCACGTATAATTCCCAATCTCTCTCTAAATCTTTGTGCATCATTAAAACTAGTATATGATTATATAGAATGTATATCAGCTATTCTAAAAAAATAGGACTACAAAGATTTCTAGTCAGAGCGAGGAGCCTATGGACTTAGCTTCCTCTTTCAAGTTTGACAAACAACCACTGAGTATGTAACAACTGAGCATAGAGACCTAATTATATGTTTTAAAATCTTTTGAGTTTGAAAACTTAGGATTTTCAACCAACATTTCTCAACATTTAGCCTTTTGGGGCAAAAATATTTCAGGGACTTGGTGTTCAAACAATAGAAACCCAAAGCTCTTTATGCATGCAAAACTAGTGTCACAACCATTTCAGGCCCAGATGATAAGTTGTACATTTTCTGACAGTATAGTTCTATTTTAGAGTAGTTTGTACAATTCATTTAAGAATGAGGCATTCACACATCAATAGCTTGGCATATGCAGTATGACAATTTTTCAACAGGGCCGATGAAATTAGCTCTTTCAATTGAAGCAAAAGCATGGAAAATGTTGCTCTGTCGCTATTTAAATGAAGAATACAAGAAAAAAATGCAAGACATGATAAGTTTTATAACGGAGTATCTGAAAAAATTATCTCGACCAATTCGAGATTTGGATGATGTTCGTTTTGCTATGGAAGCTCTGGCCAATATACGCGATAAAGAAATAGAGATGGATATGATAATGGGACCCATTGAAGTAAGTTCCTTAAAAGCAAGAATCTTATTGAAACAAGTTTTTGTTTAAAAAAAATAAGAATGTTCAACAGTGTGAAATGTTTGATACTGATTTTGTTTTAGGAAGCCTACACAATTTTATATAGATTTGAAGTTGAAGTAACAAAGGAAGAATCAGAAGGTGTTGATACATTACGGTACTCTTTTAATAAGCTTCAAAGCAAAGCAGTAAGTATGTTAAAAGCTTATTATATAACAATAGTTTATGAATATAAACTCACAATATACAAAATAAATGAAATTGTTCTATAATAGCAATAGTCCTGGTATATGGCTCTCTACAAAATTCCAAGACTACTATTCTGTCAGGAATTTATATAATAGCCATCATTTGATATTCCTGCCCAAATCTATATCTTAGCTTCATCGCCTCAGTGTATTAATTCATTCTCTATAATCCACCAAGATTTTCAGCTTAAACTTCTTTTTTTTTTTTTTGCATTTCCACATCCCTTATTTTCCTCAAATGTTGCCAATAGGTATATACTGGATCATTTCTGTTCTCACAGATCTGTATTTAAATAAAATTAATAATAATCAACTGAGTCTCTAGATTTGGAAAAACATATATAAATTATAATCATAACTATTTTTCATTCTTATTACATATATTTATTTCTATTTCAGGCTAGTGTCCAGGATGAACTAATTCAAGTCCAGCCCAAGTTTAAGGGTCAGCTTCTGGAGGCAGTTGAAGTTTTCCGTGAAGATGTGTCAAATTATGAAGTAGCATATGAGATGGTAACTTTATTTATATGGGAGTTGTGAAGAAACTACAGCTGATATAGCATTGTTTTAACCAAAGAATATTTACTTCTAGAGATTTAAAATACTAAATACTAAATTGTTAAGTTGTTCCCTAAATGCTTGAAATCTAATTACTTTAAGACTAGGACTCAATCCTATAAATTGAAGAAAACTTAATCTAACAATAATAATTTAATGAGTTATTAATAACTCCAATAATCTATTGAGGCCTAACTGAAATACCAAGCAGCAATGTACAAAGATTCATTAAAAATATAAATTTTAATTCTTTCTGGGCCTAACAGGAATTTTGAGTACCAAAGTTGTTAAGGTCAAATGCAGAGAGCTGGAAATCAAAATGATTCATTACCATAACAAAGGATAAGGGAAATCTGTTCTTCCCTGTTCAGAGTGGGAAGATTTTAGGTCTTAATAGGGAGCATAGGTGGGAGGAAGAGATCTCAAACTTGCTTTTGCTTCTACTATAAATATGGATTGGATTTCAGTCTTGGCAATTGTTAGATTTATTCATAGTCAGCATTTCTAGTTTTTGCAATAAATAAAGCTACCTTATCAATGTTTATCCTTGAATCACTGTTTACAAAACTTGTGGTATCAGTGATGACTGGATTAAAATCTGATATGAATGAGGTAATCCAATTAAAAAACAAAAGCTTTTGATACTGTTGTTCCACAAATATGGAATAAATGTGTAAGGAAAATAATTATACCTAGTAGAGCTTTGAAGCACTTCAAATTTAATTCTCAAACTGTACTTTACAACATGATATACTGTACAACATGCACTGTTTCTGTCAAACATCTTTTAAAATAGCTACAACCTTTCTCCAGATCATATAATGGCTACACAGCTATAACAAGTGCACAAATAATGTAAAGCATAATGGCCTATAACAGTGAGGGCGAACCTTTTAGAGATCGAGTGCCCAAACTGCAACCCAAAACCCACTTAAGTATTGTCGGGTGCCGGGTGGGGTGGCCCATTCGGTGGGCATGGTCCATAGAGTGGGCATGGCTGCGGTGGTAATGGCAGACTGGGTGGGACTTAAAAGTTCAATCAATCAATTCCAATTTTGTGAGATCTGTTTTTTTCCCATGAGAAGTTGATTGATCCTTTTTTTTTTTTTTGCACATGGCGGTGGAGGCCTAAAGCAAAAAGGTTTTATAAAACCCAGCTGAAGGCCTAGAACTGGGGCGATGGCGTGTGTGCCCACAGAGAGGGCTATGCGTGCAATCTGTGGCATGCGTGCCATAGGTTCACCACCATCGGCCTATAATATTAAATTTCCACACCCTAGTGATTGTAAAATGTCTATGTTGAAAAAATATAACATAGGATTTAATCTTATCAAATAACTAGTTTTGATACATTTTGTGTGTTTTAGGAAGGACCAATGGTTCCAAATACACCACCTCAAGAAGCTAGCAATAGATTACAGATATTTCAGGTAAAATTTTATTGAATGTTAAATTGAGTAGCATGATATCTATCAGCTCTCTGAAAAGGAAATTATTTCTATTTATATTCTATTGAATGTTGATTTTCAAAATTCTGTTTTATCTTGGAAGCTATAAAAATTATTAATGCACTTTTTAAATAAAAAATAACATTATTTTGTGCAGCTGAATTAAGAACTGACATTTTGTATATTGTGTGTTTTGAAGCAACAATAAGGTTAGTTGGTTTTTTGTGTTTGATTTGTTCCATTTTAGCAGTTACAAACCAAATAGATATATCTCAATTTAATAAAAATATTGCAGCAAATCTGACAGTTAATACATGGGTACATTTATTGCTAAACGTATTTTGCTTTCCATTTATCATTGTCTATGCAATCATATTTTTGATACTTTATTTTCTATTATAATAATTTTGAGGTTCACTTTTTACATGGCACTTGGAGAGCCGTTGGGCTAGCCTGAATCTTGCATAGCTAATTAACTTTGTGAAGTATAAGGTCTTCTACTGGACAACAAGATAACCAAATATTAGCAAGGAGGTTTGGGGTATGGTTTCATTCCTATATACAGTATGCTGTTTTCTCTTTTTATGTGTACCTGATCCCACCCCCAACCAATCCCTGAAGTCTTTATCTGCTGTTCCCAAGAACAGGCACAAGGAACCAGAATGGTACTGTGAGCTGATCAGAGTTGCTTCTTTATTGTTGCTAACTTATTTACAAGAATCTCACCAGACATTGCATTGTCTTGGGAACATCCAGATAAGGACTTCAGCATTTGTTTGTTTGTCTGTTTTTTTGGGGGGGGGGAATCAGGTCTGTGTCACTTCCTAATCTAAACTCCCTCCTCCCCCCTTTATAGCTGGAGATTCCACCGCAGGATGTTAGATCTGTTTCGAAGTTGGGTGGAAGATCACTAGAGAACTCCAAGACCATGGGTAGACTGGAACATAAAACATACTTGGAAAAGGCAGTAATAAATCACTTAAAGAACATTGCCAAGTAACTGTCATGGCTATGTCTATGTAGTCAACAGGAATTGAACTTATGACTTATTTGGTGGCACAAACATTTATATAAGGCAACTTTTGTATAAATTTGTGTTATATGTAAATGTGTATAAGAGTGTGTGAGTGGCCCCATCTATTTCTCATTTGGTTCTGCATACCACTGATATTTAGCTATCAAAATGTTAGCCAGAAAAAAGAAAAAAAAAGATTATCTGTGAATAAATTCTTAACTCCTATATATTTTTATTTATTAGGCCAATTTTGATGAGCTCTGGAGGAAGTTTATTACATATTCATCTGGTGAGCAGCTATTTGGATTGCCTGTCACAGATTATGAAGTTTTGCATAAAATCAGGTAACTGAAAAATTGTTCTACCTGCTGGAATAGTTAAGGTTTTACTGAAAAACAAGACTGGGAAAAAGACATTTGTACTAAATTGTAACTACTGGTACTATACTATAGTCTATACTGGGGACCTAATACAGTATTCAAAACTGTGTCTCTCCCAAACTGGTAGAACAAAAACTATCATAAAAACAATGAAAAAAGGATTAAGGGACCACCTCTGTGGTGAGAGTAAATATGGTAGCAGAATCAAAAAAGGTATCTATGATGACAGAAAATAGGCGTTAAAGGATACAGGGATAACCAAGTAGAAAAACCATGCAAAGCATAGTTTCTATAAATCTTTCTAACCTCTTTGCAGTGATGCTGCTCTAGGTCAGTATTTTTCAACCTCAGCAAATTTAAAATGTGTGAACTTCAACTCCTAGAATTCCTCGGGACACACATCTTAAGGTTGCTAAAGTTGAGAAACACTGATTAATATGCATGAAGGGGGACATAAGGGAGGAATAATTGGCAAAATTCAGAGTCCCTGTCCAACTTCTTCAATAATTTTTTTTCTGATGTTTTTGTCGTTGGTTGCATTGAATCAAGTTTCAAACAGCATCTTTCTTTTATTGCCTTCTATATAAAGAACTGTTACTTAGCTAAAATTCCATCTGGCATGCTGGAAATAAGATAATAAAGTCAAATTGAAAGATTGAGATAGGTTTAAGTTCTGTGAAGTGAGATTTTTTAAAAACTTTTTTTACCTTTCCCTGTATTTCTCTCTGACATATAGCAGGCATGTCAAACTCGCGATGTCATGTGATATCACATAACGTATCGTGACTTTTTCCCCATTGCCGGCAATGAGGTGGTCACAGTTTCAGTATGATGCATCCGCCCCACAGGTCGGCTGTTTGACATGCTTTACATATAGCATATTCATCTTCCCTCCTTCCTTCCTTCCTTCCTTCCTTCCTTCCTTCCTTCCTTCCTTCCTTCCTTCCTTCCTTCCTTCCTTCTCTTCCTTCTATTGGAATCTCAGTAGCATGCAGTGTCATTTCTCCAGGTTTGTGATCTCAAATGCAGTGGATATGAATCCCAGCTAGAATAAAACAAGAATAATTTATTTATCAAATTTATATGGCCTCCCATCTCCCAAGAAATGTCTCTGGATAGCATATAACAAACAAATAAACCAAAACAGTATATTAAGAACAATCATTATAAAAGTATAAAATAATAGGGGCTACAGGGTCATAAAAAAGAGATTTTTAATTTTATCACAGAGCATTGGAGAAACCTCAGTTCAGATCCTCATTCAGTCATGATGTTCTACTAGGCTTTTAATATGTCTCAACCTAACCACTCTTAAAATCTTGCTATGTTATGAAATGTCAACAAAAATCCAGTAAAGCACATTTACAAAAATCTGAAATTTGAATCAGTTATGATTTAGTATTTACATTTTTATGCTACACTTCCTAAGATTACAATTTCAGAATTGCCTATACTTTTCTAATCACATTCTTGTATAAACAGAAGGAATGCTAATAGTTTTACTATAATTAATCTTGTCCCTTTTTCTCCTACAGGAAAGAGTTGAGTTTGCTTCAGAAATTATATGGTTTGTATGATACTGTGATGAACAATATAAGTGGCTATTATGAAATTCTTTGGGGAGATGTTGATATTGAAAAAATCAATGCTGAACTTTTGGAGTTTCAAAACAGGTGAGATTGCTTTCTATATAACCTTCTCTACTCTATTTCTTTAACTTTAATGCTAATTTCTGATAATTCAATATCCTTTTCCATGATAGATTTATTTATGTCAAAGGCTAGCATTGGACCACTCATGGAATTCCTCCTGAGGTTTTCTAAATAAAACAACACATGGTTCAAATTGAGGGAAATTGCCTATTTGGAAGGAAAGAGTAGTATGCAGTCACTGAGTTTCTGCCCTCCTTTAAGGTGCAATGCACAAAGCTGTAATTTTTAAGGCATGCTTTTAGATTATTTCATACGGGATTTCATTTTTGTTCAGATAATTGCTCTGCTTTTCTCTTCATTCTTCCTTTTTTCTTTTAGAATAGTATTTTTATTACTTTTTTTCTAATGAAAGGTGCCGTAAACTACCTAAAGGGCTTAAAGACTGGCAAGCATATTTGGATCTTAAAAAACGAATAGATGATTTTAGTGAGTCTTGTCCACTTCTGGAAATGATGACCAACAAGGCTATGAAACTGAGACACTGGAACAGAATTTCTGAAACAACTGGGCACCCATTTGATGTGGAATCTGATTCCTTTTGCCTTCGGAATATCATGGAAGCGCCACTTCTCAAGCATAAGGATGATATTGAGGTAGCCTTCCTTATTGCTGTATTTTATATTTAACATCAGGGAATACACAAATGTTTTTATCTGCTGTACTTTTTACAATGGGTGATTTTAATATTTTTCAAAGTTTTTATGTTGTAAGCCGCACAGAGTTGTTAGATATGAGATGGGTAGCAAACAAATTTTATAAATAAATAAACACACACACACTAAACACAAAGATTTGTGTGTGTGTGTGTGGTCTTAAGTGTTTTTTTATGATGCATCCGGTCGGCTCAAATATGGGAAGAAGAAATCTTTTTTTCTGGCTGATGAGAGCTAAGGAGCTTGAAATAGCTATACTAGCTTCCCTTTGTTAGCAATCCAATATATATATATGGAGGATGATAATACATAATGTATAGGCTTAACATGCCTAATAGGAAATAAGTTATAATGGAGGTTTTTTTTTCTATTTCCATTCCATTTATAGGTATTCTTATAAATTACATATTTTAATATTTTTGCCCAGTGATTGATTTGACCTATCAAAAAGCATGCAAACTCATAAAATGAATGTGGCTGTCAGATAGAATGGTTTTTGCTTTTTTGCATTTTTTTGCATTTTGAGTCACTGGAACTGTTGATGTTGTATCTTACATTGCTATAATATCCAAAGGACTGAGATTAATGCAAAATGACTTCAATAGCAACAGGAAGTAAAACTGTCATTATTGTTAGTACAACAAAAAAGGGCAAAAAATGGAGGCAAAAAAGTTGAGCAGAAGGAGGATTTCCATGAAACTCACCTTCCTGCCTCAGTAAAGCCCATATTTTAAGGCGTAATGTTAATGTTTTAAGTTCTCCTTAGCTCTATCAACATGTCACATTTTTCTACATGAATGACTTGTGCAGACTTCCATGTTATGTGTTCATCATTTCTACTTTTTAAAACATTGTTATATTTGTTCATAACGATATTTTCAACTCAAAGGCTGTTGATAAGCCTGGAATTAGTGAGATGAGTGGTGCCTAAGTTTGATGAATAATAAAATGTCTCAAATCCCCTAATACCCGATAGGAGAGCCGGTTTGTTGTACTAGCCAAGGCACCAATCTAGAAACCAGGAGAAGTGAATTCTAGTCCTACCTTAGACACAAAGCCAGCTGGGTGACCGTGATCCAGTCATTCTCTCTCAGTCCTAGGAAGCAGACAGTGAGAAATCACTAATAAAATCTTGACAATAAAACTGCAGAGATTAGGCCAGGTAGATTAGACTTGAAGGAACAAAAAAATAAAAATAAAATAGTTGGATTGAAAGTACATAACGGAAATCATGAAATTCAGTGCCTTCAACCAAAATCTGATTGTTCAAGGTATAAGAGGTATATCACAATTAACATTGTTCCTACTGTAAACCACATTGTGGAGCCTAATAGACAGCATGCAAAATATTCTTTAAATAGATATATTTAAAGTATGCATTTAGAAATTGTCATATTTATCATGAAAAACACAATATTTGAATGATTGCTTGATGTTCAAAAATTATCTTGTGTGGTTCTGGTTTCATTAAGCTGTCAATTAATACTTTACCAGACATACTTAAAACTTTCGGAGGTACATCACAAAACTCTCCCTGAGATTAGACTTTTGAAATGTTTTCCTAAATTATCCTTTAGGTATAGTAAAGTTTAGTAATTTTTTTTTACCAAAATAGAAATCTATTATGTTTAAAGCAGTCTACAACAATAATACAGAACTGCATATTTGGATTAACATGAAGATATCACCATTTTTACTCCTCAGTTGTAAACTATCCATATGTCAAGGATCTTATAAATACCTGAGATAGTTTATTATTTATTTAGGTACTACCCATCTTATTCTCAAAGTAAGTCTATATAGTGATATAGTTAAAATGATCCTCTCCGCCTCAGGAATGTCTGTGCAGTATTTTTATTTTACAATTGACCATCACTTTCTGGAGATCAGGTTGTCTGAAACACACAAAGTCAATTTATGGCTTCAGCATCCTTCCTTTTATTGCCTTTCTTGTTTTTATTGATCTGGGGTCACAGGTGTCAAGCAGAGAAATGGAGGGAATATGGAATGTTAGTTTTTCCCCCATCCCCAAGTACTTCTTGGTATTTTCGTTGGCCTATATAAGCAAGTGCTTTTTTCCTTAGGGATACCTCTTTAATCAATTCATATTTTCCTCTAGTTAAAGAAGGTGCTTCTTCTGTCCCAGCATGACATTTTCCCATGAAATAAGGTTTAGATTTCTTGCCATGTTTTTATAACTTGCTTTAGAGATACACGCACTTGTGTTTTGCATAGCTCAAGGGTATTTCTTTTCGGGACAGGACATCTGTATATCTGCTATTAAAGAGAAAGATATTGAAGCTAAGTTGGCGCAAGTAGTAGATAGCTGGGCATATCAGGTCCTGAGCTTTTCAGCATTCAAAGGAAGAGGAGAACTACTTCTCAAGGGAACAGAATCTTCTGAAATTATCACAATGATGGAGGACAGCTTAATGGTCCTGAGTTCTCTGCTGAGTAACAGGTAGTTATACAAATTTTAATTATTTCTATTAATATGTTTTAATTATTGAGGAACCTGCCTCTTGTTTCCCAGATAGGAAGGCCAGCACTGTCAACATTAGCCATACTGATAATTTGTTTAGAAAATGAGGAAAGGGAGGCTGGATTTAATCTTTCCAATCTTTGCAAATAGATGCTCAGGTGCCATCAAAGCTGACAGCAATTATTGCGAAGTTACCAAAGGCAGGTGCCTCTCCAAGCTAGCAAAGACACTGAGAGTGTGTTTATGCATGAGGTTTTGTATCCCCTTCAGTATAAATGATAACATCTAGCAAAACAGCCCTTGCATTCAAACAAATTTGTACTTCTTAATTAATGTTGATATCAGAGCTACATTGCAAGTATATCCCTCTGTAACACTGTGATGTAGTTGAGCTGGGCAAGGCAGCTCTACAACTTTTGCCAGTTTCTCTTATGAGAGATATGAAAGACAGCATGTCATCAGGTTAGCAAGCTTGTGAAAATAAGGAGGAGACAAGTAGAATGGAATGGAATGGAAAAGAATATTATCAACCGACATTGATATCTTTTCATTCATAGTTGTTTGCAGACTACAGTAAAATACATGTGAAAATCCCATTGCCGATGAAAATGAATCTAGGCTTAGGGTTAGAGTTAGGGTTAGGTCTGCTTGGCCTCATGGCCAAAAATTAATGTTAGGGATAGATTCTTAGAAGTTTTCTAAGGAAAGAGATGTTGACAGCTTTTTGTTCGGAGTTGATTGTGGACAACAATAACATAAATTGGAAAATCTCATTGCCAATGAAAATGAATCAAGGGATAGGGTTAGCATTAGGGTTAGGTTTACTTAGAGACAAGACCAAAAATTAATGCTAGGAATAGATTCTTAGATTAAAGTAACATTGACATCTTTTCCTTTGGAGTAGTTTGTTGACATCAGTAAAATACATGGAAAAATCCCATTGGCAATGAAAATGAATCTAGGTTTATGGTTAGGATTAAGATTAGGGTTAGATCTGCTTTAAGTCATAGCCAAAAATTAATGCTAGGGATAGATTATTAGTAGTTTTCTAAGGAATGTGACATTGATAGCTTTTCATTCAGAGATGTTTGTTGATCACAGTAAAATACATGGGAAAATGCCATTGCCAATGAAAATGAATCTAGAGTTAGATCTAATTGGAGTTATGCCCAAAAACGAATGTTAGGGATAGATTCTTAACAGTTTTCTGTGGAAAGAGATGTTGACAGCTTTTCATTCGGAATTGTTTGTAGACCACAGTAAAATACATGGGAAACTCCCATTGTCAATGATAATGAATCTAGGGTTAGGGTTAGGGTTAGGTGTACTTGGAGTCATGCCCAAAAGCTAATGCTAGAGGGAGATTCTTAGTGATTTTGTAAGAAAAGAGAAGTTGACAGCTTTTCTTTTGGAGTTGATTGTGGACCACATTAAAATACATTGGAAAGTCTCATTGCCAATGAAAATTATTCTAGTGTTAGGGTTAGGTCTACATGAATTCATGGCCAACAAAGTGATAGTCATAAATTACTGACAGGAGTAAGTAATAGGAAAGATGAGAAGGATAACAGTAATACAGTCCTGTTACATGGTTAGATATCCTTAGGAATCAACAGTGCTATAAAACTATGTGTTTAACAGAGTGGTAGAGTGGAGGGGGAGGGGACTGTATCTGGTTGTTTTGGCATGCAATGCCATATAGCTGTGACCTGAGTGGAGTAGTTGAAACAGTTTATGTCCAGGATATGATGGTCTGTAGATATTTTCTACCTCGTGCAGTATACAGGTCCTCAATGGAAGGGAGGCTGATTGCAATTGTTTTTTCTGCAGTTCTAACTATCTGTTGAAGTCTGTGCCTGTCCTGTTTAGTTATTGTACAAAATCAGACCATCATAGAAGTACAAATGACAGACTAATAATTCTCTGCAGAACTGTATCAGCAGCTCCTTGGGCAGTATGAGCTTTCTGAGATGGTGCAGGAAGAACATTCTTTATTGTGCCTTTTTAATTATGGTTCTAATGTTAGGTGTCCATTTCAAATTCTGGGAGAAACTTGAGAAGGACTTTACTGTGGATACTGTGCTACCTAATATTGTAAAAAGTGATAGAATAAGAGAGCTCCCCCTAAAATCTACTATCATCTCTACAGTTTTATGTATATTCAGTTCTAGATTGTTCCAGCTGCACCACAGGGCCAGTTGTTCAACCTCCCATCTGAATGCAGATTCATCACTATCTCAAATGAGACCAATGGCTGTTGTAACATCTGCAAACTTCAGTACTTTAGTTAGATGAAAAGGAATAGAAGATGGAACATGAAGCTGTATTTCTTGCATAACAGCATTTCTGTCTACTAAAAGCATGGCAACTGTCAGACAGGATAAGCAGCCCCCGTTAACTTCTCCCACTTTGGCTATGACTATTATATAGCAGACGTTATTTGACATTATGCATCATACTAATAGTTTTTCTCTAAGATAGTTTTGTATTTGTGCACTTCCAGAGTTTTTTAGCTGAGTTGTATTAACAGAAGCTTTTTGTGGAAAGATCCCTGCCATAAACCAAAGGACGCTTCCAGAAAGTCTTTTTGACTTTTATCTCCATGAAATGATGAAAACTGATCATCAAGTGTTCTAACTATTGTTCCTTGTAACTATGACATAGGGTTTGATTCTTTGCTTCTATTAAGTTTTAATCATCATCCGATTGCTCCTTACAGCAGCGATGAAATTTGCAGTCTACATGGGAACTCTCAAATAAGTGCCTAACACAAAGGAAAGATTGCCATAGCTTTTACTCACATTATTTCACAATGCTGAAAAAAATGGGTCATGGCATTCAGCCCATTTAGTCTGTGGGAAATGAACAACTTTATAACATGTAGAATCTACACAGTAACTGTAAAGAATAACTTACCCCTCATTTGCCAGGTGATAATGTCTTTGGACTTCAGAGTTGCCTACTGCTTCATAGCTGTCTGAGGAAACAATCACTGGTTCCTTTGTTATACAATAGACTCGATCTGCTTCCAATGCCATGTTCTCCCTTCCATTTTGGCAACAGCTCTACATATATGACGGCAGAAGAAGTTCATGTTATCTGGGCATTTTCAACCAAATGAATGAAGCTGTGCTTTTTGAAGCATTATACTTCTCATTCTGTATTATAAGCAATGGACAGATTGCTTTTGCAATGCACTCTGTTTTTCCCTGAAGATGTTTCACTTCTCATCCAAGAAGCTTCTTCATATAAAAACACCTTTGGACCAACCAATGACCTGGATGACTGAGAATCTCCATAGACATGGGATTTCATCATTAACACTGCTAGCTTGAGGGCCAATTATTTGTTTATGTTTGGATTATTATTAAGAATGCACTGCCCTTCTCTCTCTTTTTTTTCCCGCAGATGTTCATATTTCTCCCTTACTGTTAGAGGCTAAAACAATTGATAATTGAGAAATATAAATCCTGAAATAATAATAATAATAATAATAATAATAATAATAATAATAATAATAATAATAATAGCCCCCAGTGAGGCACTACCTTGACGTGGTTGTGGGGCTTGTGTACTCTGAGGAAGATGAGAGCTATGCCAGAGGTTCAACCATACTGGACAGGTCTCATCAGAGGAGTCAGACAAAGAGTGTCTCTCCCATAAAAAATATGGTGAGACGTAAATTGCAGAATGCCATACCGGCTCGGACGTCGCCCGGGTTAACAAGGTCCGCACTAGATATTGGAGTTCCTGGATATCTGGTGAAAAATGGGTTACAGGACTCAGGACTGTTGGCTGAGCAACCAGGGCCAGCAGCTGCAGAACTACTGGAAGAAAAGGTGTTTACCCGTCGCAGATACACAGTGATGGAAAACAAAGAAATAATGATCTGTTACTACAGATCAAGTCCAACAAGAAGAGGATATCTAAAACGAATGCACCAGTTCTGGAAAGAACAACATCCAGAATCAGAAATAACAGAACAGAGACTAGCAGATCAACGCCGATTTATAACACGAAATAAAGTATTCACAGAAACAGAATTGGACGAACTGCAAAGGTTTACCCAGGGCAAAGAAATCAAAGCCTTACCAGAAGTAATTCAGAATGTAGAGGCAAACCAGGGGGAGTTGGCAGTGAAGGAATCTAGCAGAGATATACAACTGTTCTCATTTGGAAATCAGGCACCTCTACCTCAGGAAGAACAAAACCCTCTAACTAAAGAAATAAAAGAATTGAAACAAAGAATAACTGAGCATCTAGAACAGCACAAAAACAACAGAATAAGGCTACCTGCATTGAAGCTTGTTCCAAAAAAACAGCTAGCACAAGCATTAAAAGATGCAAATATTGCAATATCAAGTATAAGCACCAATTCACTGCAAGAAACAAACCAACTAATGTACAGCACAGCTGCAGTTATAACAGAATACCTGGGATGCAAAATCAACAAAGAAGAAAAACAAACAAACAGTGCACCAGAAAAATGGAAGGTTAGACTAGAAAATAAGATCAGCAAGTTAAGATCACATGCAAGCAAGCTAGAACAGATGAAAGAAAAGAAGCTGAAGAACAAGAAGACCAAAGAATACCTAATCAAGAAATACCACTTAGAAACAAGGAAGATCAAGGAAGCACTGGAAATAATAAAGCAACAAATAACAGCTATAGCCAGGAAAATCAGTAGATATGAAGCTCGAATTGCAAACTATAGGCAGAACCTCCAATTTCAATCCAATCAGAAACGTTTCTACCAATCCATCAATGGAGAAACTGCAAGGAATCAGTCAGTACCTGACAAGGAAGAAACAGTGCAGTTCTGGAAGCAGATATGGGATAACCCAAAGAAATACAATAAGGATGCGGCTTGGTTAAAAGAGGTGGATGCAAATAAAACAGAAGTTGAAATGAAAGAACTAGTAATAACAACAAAAATGGTAGAAAAAAGAGCAAAGAAAATCAAAAATTGGTCAGCACCAGGTGAAGATGAACTGCATGGGTTTTGGTTGAAACATCTAACTGTTATACACCCACTCATTGCCAAGCAGTTCAACAATATACTACAAGGAGGAGAAATTGAAAAGTGGCTAACAACTGGGAAAACCTACCTAATAATGAAAAATCCAGCAAAAGGGGCAACACCAGGTAACTACAGGCCAATTACCTGCTTACCAACAACTTTCAAATTACTAACTGGTGTAGTAGCTGATGCAGTGCAACAGCATCTAGTTGAAAACAATCTCTTTCCACCTGAGCAGAAAGGAAACCGCCCCAATAGCAGAGGAACAAAAGATCAACTCCTAATAGACAAAATGATCTTGGAAAACTGCAAGAGAAGGAAGACCAACCTGAATGTGGCATGGATTGACTACAAAAAGGCATTTGACTCTCTGCCACATGATTGGATAATAAAGTGCCTAGAAATAACAGGAGTCAGTAGAAACATCAGAAAATTTGTGCAAAGATCGATGGCACAATGGAAGACACAGTTGCAGATCAATGGTGAGAAGCTGGGAGAGGTTAATATCAAGAGAGGAATATTTCAAGGAGATTCATTATCACCATTACTATTTGTTATTGCACTGTTTCCTCTGTCAACAATACTGAATAACTCAGGACATGGCTATCAAACATCAAAAACATCTGCCAGACTATCCCACCTCCTTTATATGGATGATCTGAAGCTGTATGGAAAAACATCATCTGAAATAGAATCGCTGCTCAACACTGTCCGTATATATAGCCAAGATATTGTAATGGAGTTTGGCTTGGACAAATGTGCCACACTTACTATCAAACAAGGAAAAATAATGAAAACTGAAGGAATCAAGATGCCCCACGAAAATAACATTAAGAGTCTGGATGAGGAAGAGTACTACAAATACTTGGGTATCCTTCAAGCTGACAACATCAAGCACACTGAAGTCAAGAAAAAGATTAGAGGTGAATACATCAAGAGAGTGAAGAAGATCTTAAAATCCAAACTCAATGGAGGAAATACCATAAAGGCAATCAACACCTGGGCAATCCCAGTCATTAGGTACACAGCTGGAATAGTGGACTGGACTCAAGCAGAACTAAAAGCAATGGATAGGCAGACCAGAAAAATAATGACAATGAATCATGCCCTTCATCCACGCAGTGACATTGATAGACTTTATCTACCAAGGCAAATAGGTGGGCGTGGAATGCTACAAGTACATCAGATGGTTGAAGAAGAAAAAATGGCTTTGGAAGAATATCTGAAGAACAATGATGAAGATGCACTGAAATTAGTATATCAGGAAGGCTTACTAACTACTGGAGAGACCAAACTGGCCTACAAGAAAGACCAAATGAAGAACAGAATAGAGGCATGGGAAGACAAAGCACTACATGGCCAATACATGAAAAAAATAGCTGGGAAAGCAGATAATAATAAAACCTGGCAATGGCTAAGAGCAGGAAAATTGAAGAAAGAGACCGAGGGACTAATTCTGGCTGCACAAGACCAAGCCTTAAGGACAAATGCATACAAAGTCAAAATTGAGAAGACAGCAACAGACAGTAAGTGCCGCCTATGCAAAGAAGCTGAAGAAACAGTGGACCACTTGGTAAGCTGTTGCAAGAAGATTGCACAGACTGATTACAAGCAGCGGCATGACAAAGTAGCAACAATGGTGCATTGGAAGATCTGCAAAAAATATCATTTGCCTGTAAGCAAAAACTGGTGGGATCATAAAATAGAGAAAGTCATAGAAAATGATAAAATTAAACTGCTCTGGGACTTCAGAATTCAAACAGACAAGCACCTGCAACATAACACCCCAGACTTAACAATTGTCGATAAGAAAGACAAAAAAGTCTGGATAGTGGACGTGGCAGTGCCTGGAGATAGCAGAATAGAAGAGAAAGAACTGGAGAAGATAACAAAATACAAAGACCTACAAATAGAAATAGAAAGACTGTGGCAAAAGCAAGCAAGGGTAGTACCAATAGTCATAGGCTCCTTGGGTGCAATCCCAAAACAACTGGAGCACCACTTGAACACATTGGCATTGACAAATTCGCTATTAGTCAATTGCAAAAGGCAGCCTTATTAGGAACTGCTTCCATCCTGCGACGATATCTGTAATACCATCAAACATCCCATCTGCCTATCCCAGGTCCTGGGTAAGGACTCGATAGGTAGACAAAATGCCAAATCCAGTCTGAACATCTGGCTGACTGTGCGATGATCGATAATAATAATAAGTTGGAAGGGACCTTGGAGGTCATCTAGTCCAATCCTCTGCTCAGGCAGGAAACCCTATACCATTTCGGACAAATGGCTGTCCAGTTTCTTCTTAAAAACTTCCAGTGTTGGCGCATTCACTGCTTCTGGAGGCAGATTGTTCCACTGGTTAATTGTTCTAACTGTCAGGAAGTTTCTCCTTAGTTCTAGGTTGCTTCTCTCTTTGGTTAGTTTCCACCCGTTGCTCCTTGTCCTGCCTTCAGGTGCATTGGAAAATAGCTTGACTCCCTCTTCTTTATGGCAGCCTCTGAGATATTGGAACACTGCTATCATGTCCCCCCTCGTCCTTCTCTTCATTAAACTAGACATACCCAATTCCAGCAACCGTTCCTTATACGTTTTAGCCTCTAGTCCCCTAATCATCTTTGTTGCTCTTCTCTGTACTCTTTCTAGAGTCTCAACATCTTTTTTACATCATGGTGACCAAAACTGGATACAGTATTCCAGGTGTGGCCTTACCAAGGCATTATAAAGTGGTATTAATACTTCACATGATCTTGATTCTATCCCTCTGTTAATGCAGCCTAGCACTCTGTTGGCTTTTTTGGCAGCTGCAACACACTGCTGGCTCATATTTAAATGATTGTCCACTAGGACTCTGAGATCCCTCTCACAGTTACTACTATTGAGCAAGGTACCCCCTATACCATACCTGTACATTTGGTTTTTCTTGCCTAAATGTAGAACCTTACTTTTTTTACCATTGAATTTCATTTTATTATATAGCGCCCAGTGTTCAAGTCTATCCAGATCCTCCTGTATCCTAAGCCTGTCTTCTGGAGTGTTGGTATTCCTGCCAGTTTGGTGTTGTCTGCAAATTTGATGAGTTCCCCATCTATCCCCTTGTCCAAATTGTTGATGAAGATGTTGAAGAGCACTGGGCCCAGAACAGAGCCCTGGGGTACCCCACTACACACTTCCCTCCATGTAGATGCGGTTCCATTGAGGACCACACGCTGAGTACGGCCAGTCAGCCAGCTACGGATCCATCTGATGGTGATGCTGTCTAACCCGCATTTTTCTATCTTATCAAGTAGTAGGTTGTGATCTACTTTGTCAAATGCCTTACTGAAGTCCAGGTAAATTATAACCACAGCATTCCTCTGGTCCACTAATTTTGTCACTTGGTCAAAGAATGCAATAAGATTTGTCTGGCATGATCTGTTTTTGACAAATCCGTGTTGACTTTTAGTAATGACTTGGTTTGCCTGTAGGTGTTCGCCGATTCGTTGTTTGATTGTCTTTTCCAGAATGTTCCCAGGTATTGAGGTCAGGCTGATAGGTCTGTAATTTCCTGGATCCTTTTTTTCCCTTTTTTGAAGTGGGAACTACATCAGCTCTTTTCTTTGCCTTCTATTTTTAGATACAATGCACCATTTAAAAAAGATATTCAAAACTGGATATTCAAACTCAGCACCTCCAGTGATATAATTGAAGAATGGTTGATTGTACAAAACCTCTGGGTTTACCTTGAAGCTGTTTTTGTAGGTGGGGATATCGCCAAGCAATTACCCCAGGTAAATCAGTAGGTAAATCAGCTACTGCTGTACTGTGCAAATATTTAAGCTTAAATGTATCTAGCTTGAATGACCTCTGATTCTTATTCAAATGAATATGAATTTATTCTATTTAGGAAGCAAAACGTTTTCAAAACATAGATAAATCATGGATAAAAATAATGCAGCGAGCACATGAAAATCCCAATGTAATTAGCTGTTGTGTTGGAGATGAAACTATGGGACAACTTTTACCACATTTACATGAACAATTGGAAGTATGCCAGAAATCACTTACAGGGTAAAAAAATTATTAATATTTTTTCAATGCTGCAAAGATATTATTATTATTAAGATATAATAATAATAATAACTACAACAACAACAATAATAAAAATTATTGCCATAATTTAACAGTGCATTTTTATTTTTATTTTATTAATCTGCCTCTTATTCTAGTGGCATTCTAAATTATTTTTGGGAGGACAATTTTAAGAATATTGTTATTTAAAGAGAGAATATTAACATTTTAGATTAATATGTAGCATGGTATAGCTAATTGTAAACTTATGAGTTTAGACTTGAGCATGTAATTTTGGTTATATTCTCTAGCCTTGAATATTTCTTTTCATTTTTTAAAAATGTTCAGAAAGTAATGAGAAGAAGTTGCAAAATAAAAGAATATCGTTATACATCTCTTTGAAGTAAAAGTTTTACATATTTAATTCACTGGTAATATTTAAAGGGAGCAAAAAAAGGATAAAACAGCCCTAGATTTTCCCCAAAATTCAGGGTTCTAGTTATTTGCATTTCAGTTTTAACTTGTATTTGATTTTCTGGTGCAAACTGTGTTTGAAGATGCTGAAGCGAAATGAAGCAGAGGTCCAGTTGTATCACATATAATTGATAAAAGAAAGTTGATGTGAGGATTACACACACTAAAAAAAGCAATAAAGACATTTGAATAGGGAATCTATCTAAAACAAGAAGGACATTGGCTCTTGGAGTTCAGTGGCAGCTTCACACAGTTGAAAAATTCCAGAACTTGAATAATTTATTTCCAGCATTATTCCACCAATTATCTTGATCTATTGTAATAAAAATAGAAAGAACTATGTGCCATAAAGCTTAAAGATGTAATACTGCATACAATTCTTATGGGTGTGATGGCTAAAGACGCTGAGCTTGTCAGCTGGAAAGTTGACAGCCCGGGTTCAAAACCCAAGCACTGCGCAATGGGGTGAGCTCCTGTTACTTGCCCCAGTTTCTGCCAATCTTGAAGGAAAGCATGCAAATGTGAGTAGATAAATAGATACCTTTTCGGTGAGAAGGTAATAGCATTCCATGCACCTCAGTATATAGTCATGTTGGTCATAAGACCATGGAAATGTCTTCAGACAATGCTGATCCTTCGGCTAAGAAACAGAGGTGAACACCACCCCCTCGAGTCAGACACAACTGGGCAGAAGAAAGCTTTACCTTTGCTGCATACATTTATTTGAGGGAAAGCTCCAATAAACTTAGAAGGTGAACTTCTAATGGTGGATCTAGATATAGCTCTATAAGGGATCAGTGATATGCTGAGAAAGACCTTCTGTAAATCTTAGCCATCGTGGTTCATAGAAAACGATAATGGGAATTGCAATCCAGGAACATCTTAAGGGCTGCAAGTTATTCCTCTCTGATTCATATGGCTGTTAACCTATTTACATATGTAAATCTAAAAACAATTTTGTAGAAATTCAGCTGAAAGCTCAAAATATTTGTATGTACGTGTAATTACAGTCTTAGCTGATAAAACATATTCATAAAACAGGAGAATAAATGTTTTTCTGAAATATACTTCTTTTCTTACTAAAGGTATTTGGAAAAAAAAAGATTACTGTTTCCTAGATTCTTTTTTATTTCTGATCCTGCCCTTCTGGAGATACTTGGACAGGCTAGTGATTCTCACACTATTCAGGTAGGTTACAAGTGTTATATAGGTTTGTACTCATATATGGATGGATAATTATTTATCATATGATAAATCCTCAGTGAATATTGACTTGTGTTGGAATAGTTATCAGTACAAACTGCTTATATTACAATTCTTCAGTTCTACATTTTTTTCCTTTAACATATAATCTTATTTATGAGAATGGCTAATTTAAATAACAATTATATTGTTGTAATTCGTCTCATTTTTCTTTTAGCCACACCTTCCTGGTTTATCTGACAATATAAATGAAGTGGAATTTCACCCAAAGGATTATGATCGCATTATGACAGTTGTATCAAGAGAAGGAGAAAAAATTTCTGTAACATTTTACCTTGTTAAATTAGTATAATTTTAATTTTAAAAATAGTTATTTTATGCTGCAAAATATTCCTAAATTAAAAAGAAACTCATGTTACTTTGCACAAACCAAATAAAAAATAAAAAATATTAAATTATCTTAGCTATAAATAATCCCCTTTCCACTCCTAGATTTGCCAAAGGATGCTTAGAATTTTATTGAAAATGTGGAATTTAATATGTTTTAATGACTGTCAGTCAGGTGGTATGGAGTACATTTGTAGTATTCATAATTTTTATTATGTTATGTATTATATGTTAATTAATCTTATAACATGTTCTTTAATACAATGTTTCTTAAACATTTTTATTTCAGAACCTCTTCAACTTTTAAAAATTATGGTGGACCCCAAAAGAGCTTTTAATGATATATTTATCTGTGTTTACTGTATTAAAAATTAAAATTAATATATTCATTGCTGAATATACCACTATCACAATTGATTGGATTTTTATATTATATAATTTTTCAACATAGGGTGGCAGATAATTTTGATTTTACAGAACCCTGAGACCACACTTTAAGAAACACTGTTTTAATGAATATTAAGCTTCAAGATAGCCTTGTTTTACTAACCCATAATTAACAGCAGTAGGTAATATACTCTGACACTCTGTTAGGCAACATTTATATCTAATGTTTAAAAAATATAGCGCTAGATTATTTGTTTTTCAATAAATATATTAACTTTCAAATTCCTGCTATTTGAAAGAAATAAGCAAATCTTTCTCCAGATAAGTTAGATTACACCTTTCAGAATGTTCCCTAAGAATTCTGGTATCAGAACAGGAAAGAATCAAATAGATTGAAAGTTACAGCCATTAAAGGAAAGCACTCTTCCTGCTTTCAATATCTTTTATCTACTATGTATATCTCTGTTGTTGCATACATACTCAACAGGTCGGGACTTTTAAGTACTATACTGTATTTTGTTGAATACAAATAACCATATTTGTTGAATGTATTATGGCCTGATATGAATATAATGCTAAGCCATAATGGGTAATAACATATATGTGTTATATATTATTTCAGTTGGACACCCCAGTAAATGCAAAAGGACCCGTAGAGCTTTGGCTGTTGGACCTATTGAAAATGCAACAGTCTTCATTACATTGTGTAATTCGGGGTGCATTTTATCAGATTAGCGATCCAAGCTTCCAACTACTAAATTTCCTATATCATTTCCCAGCACAGGTGAGAAATTTGAAAACTAGTTGGTGTTCAAACACAAGCATGCGAAGAGGCTGAATTTACATGCCAATAATAAATAAAAAGCTTGGAAAGATTTACCTAATTTTGTGAACTATAACTTTCTCTTTGTGACAACAAATGAAGCAAGTAATTAATAGTGTGCAGATCTCTTTGTTTTCGTGTGAACATTACAACGGCTTAATGCTACCAAATTTGGACCCTCCTTTGATTGATTGATTGATTTAGACAATGGTTTGTTCTAGATTAGTATAAAGTGAATATGAATAAAAAAGTGGTGCAACCGTGACAATTTTGGAAAAGATAAAAGGGGTGAAAGAAGAGACAAAAAATACTTACATGCAATATTCAGGCAATGTGACATGGTGGCTGCTTTAATTATATATATAAAAGCGGTCAGTTTTAGAAATGGGAGGCTCCCATGTGTCCCCAGGATTTCAGAGGTTCTGACCCAAGATGAAATGTCTCCAGAATGTATATAGGTCAATATAAAAGAGACAAAAAGTGACATTACCATAGGTGTATATTACAGGCCACTCAGCCAATCAGAAGAAATAGATGAACTCTTTGCCAACCAGTTAACAAATGTATGTAGGAAGCATACCACAGTAGTAATGGGAGACTTCAATTATCCAGATATCAACTGGGAGACAAACTCTGGAGCTAGCAGGAGATTAAGCAGATTCCTCAGCAACCTAGCCAACAGCTTTGTCATCCAAAAGGTGGAGGAGAGAACTAGACGTAAAGCCATATTGGACTTAATTCTAACTAATAGAGAAGAAGTGATAGAGGTAGTTGAAGTTGATGGAACCTTGGGCGAAAGTGACCATGTCATACTGGAATTTAATATAACACAAACACTAGCAACAGAAAACATTCCAACCAGTGTCTTAAACTTCAAAAGAGCTGACTTTAACAGACTCAGAGAGAACCTAAGAAAGATCCCATGGATGAAAATTCTAAAGGGGAAAACAACCCAAGAAGCATGGGAAACTCTGAAAAATGCAATCATAAAAGCCCATACCAGCAAGATACCACTAAAAAAGAGAAAGCAGAGCTGCTTAACTCATACTTTGCAATCAGTCTTCACACAAAAACAAACTATAGCCTAACATATCAAAAAAAAAAACCCCACTGCAAAAGACAAATTAGAAACAAAAATTAAAATAAGCAAGAAAATGGTAAGAGAACACCTATCCAACTTTGACAAATATAAATCACTGGGGCCTGACAGATTACATCCCAGAGTTGTGAAGGAGCTGGCAGATGTTATCTCAGAACCATTGCACCACATCTTTCAAAAATCCTGGAGCACCGGGGAAATACCTGAAGATTGGAAAAGGGCCGATGTGGTTCCCATCTTCAAGAAAGGAAAAAAAAAACATACCCAGGAAACTACAGACCAATCAGTTTAACATCAATACCTGGGAAGTTCCTGAAAAAGATAATCAAAAAACAGATCTGCGAATAACTAGAAGCAAACACAGTTATAATCAGTAGCCCGCTTGGGTTTGTTAAAAACAGATCATGCCAAACCAATCTTATTTCATTCTTTGACAAAGTGACTAAACTAATAGACCAGCGAAATACTGTGGACATAGTATACTTAGACTTCAGTAAGGCATTTGATAAAGTAGACTACAACCTACTGCTTGGTAAACTAGAAAAGGGTGGAATAGACAACACCACCACAAGATGGATCTGTAGATGGCTGGCAAACCATACTCAACGAGTAGTCCTCAATGGCGCTACATCCACATGGAGAGAAGTAAGCAGTGGGGTACCATAAGGTTCCGTCTTAAGCTCAGTACTCTTCAATATCTTCATCAATGACTTAGATGAGGGAATTGAAGGGGAAATCATCAAATTTGCAAATGACACCAAACTGACAGGAGTAGCCAACACTCCAGAAGACAAACTCAGGATCCAAAAAGATCTTGACAAACTTGAACAATGGGCCCTATCCATCAAAATGAGTTTCAGTTTGGAGAAAAGCAAAGTTTTACTTTTAGGCAGGAAAAATCAAAGATAGTAGTACAATTGGGCGAGACCGGGCTTAAAAAACAGTAACTATGAGAGGGACCTTGGAGTCCTAGTGGACGTTCACTTAACCATGAGCCAGCAGTGTGCAGCAGCAACCAAGAAAGCTAATATAATCCTGGGTTGTATAAGCAGGCATAGAATCAAGATCACGTGAGGTATTAGTACCACTTTATAAAACCCTAGTAAGATCACACCTGGAATACTGTAGCCAGTTTTGGTCATCATATCACAAAAAAGATGTTGAGAGTTTGGAAAAAATTCAGAGAAGAGGTACTAAGGTGATCAAAGGCATAGAGACTAAAACATACAAAGAACGGCTATGGGACTTGGGTTTGGCTAGTCTAAAGAAAAGAAGAAATAGGGGAGACATGATAGCAGTATTCCAGTGTTTGAGGGGCTGCCACAAAGAAAAGGGGGTCACGTTATTCACCAAAGCACCACAGGGCAAGACAAGAAACAATGGTTGTTGGTCAAAGAGAGAAGCAATGTGGAATTAAGGAGAAACTTCCTGACGGTGAGGACAATTAACCGGTGGAATAGCTTGCCCCCAGAAATCGTGGGTGCTCCATCACTGGAGATTTTTAAAAAGAGGCTAGACAGTCTAAGATGGTATAGGCTGGACTAGAAGGCCTCCAAGGTCCTTTCCAGATTCTATTCTATTCTATTCTATTCTATTCTATTCTATTCCATTCCATTCCATTCCATTCCATTCCATTCCATTCTATTCTATTCTTTCTTTAGGCTATCTTCCCCTCCAAAGGAGATAAGGTAAGAACCAATTAGAGTCTGTTTGACATAAGTTGCCCACACTGATGAAAAATGGAAACCTCCTCACAGACGTTCTTTATTAAGCTTCCAAACTTGCTTCCTCAGCCCTTTTCCTTGGAGTGCTCCTTGTTTGTTATCTCTGTGGCAATACAGCAAAAGAAGGTTCGGCTTTTATTCTGAGTACCTTTGAAAGTGTTCTGATTTTTCACCCTGCATAAAAGACAAAATCTGTAATAAAACCCAATTTATTAGTTGTTCATATCAATCACCCTAAATTAGAATTTAAAATTGGGAGTTGTTAAAATATTTGTTATTCGTTGAACTATAAATGTTCCTGTACACATTATTTGTTTAAATTATAGGTAGGATTGCTGGGAATTCAAATGCTATGGACCCATGATTCGGAAGAAGCATTAACTAATGCAAAAGATGATCGGAAAATTATGTCAGTGACCAATCAGAAATTTCTGGATATTCTAAATACGCTTATTAGCCAGACTACTCATGATCTTTCCAAGTTTGACCGAGTAAAATTTGAAACCCTTATCACCATCCATGTACATCAGCGTGATATCTTTGATGACCTGGTAATATGGAAATATTGATGCCTGATAAGCTAATGTATATATAAAATTGTTCAAATTATGTTATGTCTGTTTTGTTCTTGGATATAGCAATAGCACTTAGGCGATATATAAGCCTAAGTGCTATTGGTATTGCTATAGTGATTTACAGAAATCTCTGGGCAGTTTACAATGTCAGAATATTGCCCCCAACAATCTGGGTACTCATTTTACTGACCTCAGAAGGATGGAAAGCTGAGTCAACATTCGGGTCATCAGGATCAAACTCCAGATTGTGGGCAGAGTTTGCCTGCAATACTGCACTTTAACCACTGCACCAACAGTGCAGGGCATCAGGATGGGAGTCAACACTGGGGAATGAGTGGGAAAACTACCATCTGCATCTGCACCCCACATACACAATTCTAGCTCTGAATATTTAAAGACAAAATTAATAAATCTGTATATTTTAGCTGAAATTTTGCAGAAATGTCTAGTAGCAATTGGCAAATAATTCAGTGATGGACTTCTGTAATTGATGTCTCATCTTCAGAAGAAAGACTGGAGAATGAGCATAGCAAATGTTCCAAAACATTTCTACTGTAAAAGTGAGAAAGGAAATAAAATAACAAAGTTAATCCAAACATGAAATGTGTTAATTTGAGATAATATTAATTGGAGAGGGTTGGCAGGGGCACTAACTAAGCAAATATTTATCATTCCATCCCTGAAATTCATCAATTCCCTGAAATAATGTTTCTGTGCAGTTCTGGTATAATTCAGGCTTCTTTTCTGTTTTGAAGGTTAAAATGCATATAAAATCAGTGTCTGATTTTGAATGGTTAAAGCAGTGCAGATTCTATTTCAAGGAAGATCTTGATCACACATTGGTGTCTATTACTGATGTTGATTTTGTTTATCAAAATGAATTTCTGGGATGCACAGATCGTCTCGTCATTACCCCTTTAACAGACAGGTGCGAATAATTTATTTATATTTAAGTCTGATGGAGTCTTAGTGTTGCAAACTGGAGCACAATCTTTTCTCCCTGTTACTTCTAATTAATTTTAAAAATAACTGCATTAAATTCTACACTTTTCCACTCTATTTGTTAAAAGGTTTATATGATACCTAAACTCAAAATTTTTAAAGAATCGTTTTTGATGTGTACAAATATATTTATAAAGATAAATACATTTATCTTTACAGATGCTATATTACATTAGCTCAAGCTTTGGGAATGAACATGGGAGGAGCCCCAGCAGGACCTGCAGGGACTGGTAAAACAGAAACAACCAAGGATATGGGGAAAGCACTGGGGAAATATGTAGTAGTATTTAATTGTTCAGATCAAATGGATTTCAGAGGATTGGGACGAATATTCAAAGGTAAGAATTAGCTTATTAGGTGGTTTAGATGATAAAAGCCCCACGAAGATAGAATGAAGATGTTTACCCTTAAGAAGAAAGCAGAGAGGGCAGGGGAACGATAGCATTCTTCAAATACCTGCTACAGCATAACAGGGAATTTGAAACCTTGTGCCCATTGTTCCAGAATCAGGATACTAAATAAAGTAGTTCAGGGATAAGAAAGAGCAGTTTGATGGTAGAACCAAGAACCTTCAAATGAGATGGATTTATCAAAGATGTTCTTGCAGAGGCTAGACAACCAGTTACACTGACATGGAGTTGGACTCGCTGTATAATAAAATTAATTGCTAGCCTATAGGAGTTAGTTGCTATTCTGAATCATAATATGTAAGATGAACTCAAGTTTAGGATAGACAGCAATCCATGCTTTCATGAATATAAATAAGACTATCAAATGATATTTGCATTCCTACACAAACTCCAGGATTTACTGACTGTAAATCTGTTTAAGATTACAGAATATGTTTGGTTTGGAATTTTGCAAATGAATTCATGAATGGAAAAGGTCAGTAATAACAACAACAACAATAATATCAAGTTGTAAAGGACTTTGGAAGTCATCAAGTCCAACCCCCTGCTCAGGCAGGTAACCCTGTACCATTTTGGACAAATGACTGTCCAGTTTCTTCTTAAAAAATTCCAGTATTGGAGCATTCGCCACTTCTGGAGGCAGGTTGTTCCACTTGTTAATTGTTCTAACTGTCAGGAAGTTTCTCTTTAGTTCTAAGTTTCTTCTCTCCTTGATCAGTTTCCATCCGTTGCTTCTTGTCCTGCCTTCAGGCGCTTTGGAAAATAGCTTGACTCCCTCTTCTTTATGGCAGCCCTGAGATATTGGAACACTGCTATCATGTCCTCCCTCGTCCTTCTCTTCATTAAATTAGACATACCCAATTCCATCCACCTTTCCTTATATGTTTTAGCCTCCAGTCCCCTAATCATCTTTGTTGCTCTTCTCTGTACTCTTTCTAGAGTCTCAACATCTTTTTTACATCATGGTGACCAAAACTGGATGCAGTATTCCAAGTGTGGCCTTACCAAGGCATTGTAGAGTGGTATTAATACTTCGTGTGATCTTGATTCTATCCCTCTGTTAATGCAGCCTAGCACTGTGTTGGCTTTTTTGGCAGCTGCAGCTGGCTGGCTCATATTTAAATGAGCCATACTGCTGGCTCATATTTAAATGATTGTCCACTAGGACTCTGAGATCCCGCTCACAGTTACTACTATTGAGCAAGGTACCCCCTATACTATACCTGTACATTTGGTTTTTCTTGCCTAAATGTAGAACCTTACTTTTTTCACCATTGAATTTCATTTTGTTAGATAGCGCCCAGTGTTCAAGTCTGTCCAGATCCTCCTGTATCCTAAGCCTGTCTTCTGGAGTGTTGGCTATTCCTGCCAGCTTGGTTTTGTCTGGAAATTTGATGAATTCCCCATCTATCCCCTTGTCCAAATCGTTGATGAAGATGTTGAAGAGCACTGGGCCCAGAACAGAGCCCTGGGGTACCCCACTACACACTTCCCTCCATGTAGATGTGATTCCTTTGAGGACCACATGCTGAGTACGGCCGGTCAGCCAGCTACGGATCCATCTGGTGGTGATGCTGTCTAACCTGCATTTTTCTATCTTATCAAGTAGTAGGTTGTGATCTACTTTGTCAAATGCCTTACTGAAGTCCAGGTAAATTATATCCACAGCATTCCTCTGGTCCACTAATTTTGTCACTTGATCAAAGAATGCAATAAGATTTGTCTGGCATGATCTGTTTTTGACAAACCCATGTTGGCTTTTTGTAATGACTTGGTTTGCCTGAAGGTGTTCACTGAGTCTGTTCTAGCTCATTAATAATTGGGGTGGATATGATGAAAGGCAGAGATAATAACCCTGCTCATTCAAGCACAGGACAGCTTGCAGAACAAGAAGGAACATCCAATCATAGACTTTGCTTTGTCTTCTGAGTTGACAGCCCATCAATACTACTGTAGCCAATGTTTTCCTATTGACTACAGACTAAGGCTGAAGACATTTAAAAGCAGAAAGACAAATGACAAAATGAACTATTTCCTTCTTCTCCTTGTCTTCCTTTTCAAGGAAGTTCTATCACCAAACCCCTTTTTTTACAAGAAGGCCCTTGAAGAAGGTCCTTGAACTGTACCTCAAGTAAGATAGTAAGGCTATCATATTTCTTTGATAGCCAGGAAAGCTCTTGCACAGCACATCACAGGGGTCAATACAGCAAGAAGCAGATCATAAAGAAAGCCTCAAGAATCAGATATTGTCTTACCAACTCTCTCTGATCACCAATATATCCTTTCTGAGATGTATTTGATAGCTTATAAAGCCCTTGAATATTAGCATACACGTCAGCATAGATTGTATAAAAGAAGCAGGAATACAGACATTATTACAAAGATAAAACACTTGTGGATTTTTATAGATTCTGATATGTTTACATGTGTATGACATTTTGCTAGTTATATCTTATATCTTTCTATATTTATATTGTACTCTATTCTGAGTATTATTCTTACATTTGAATTAACATGGTTACAATGTTAGTTGTACAAAGGCGGCCGCACTATATTTTTCCTAATAATTATTAATGGCTCAAAATTAGCATATCAAATCTTAGCAAATCTTAGTGAGAAATATATAGTAACTTTTTCTGGTTTTCAGTTGTTTAAAATATATTTGAATGCAAATTAAATGCATTGCTTCCTAAATGGGTGCTACAAACTCAAGAAATGGAAATATGACATTTGCATTGCATCATCATGATACAAATATTATTATGATCTGCTTGTTGTATTTGCATTTCAACATTATCAGCAAGTATATAAATCACGGGATTTGCACTATAACATCACTAGACATATTTTGTCACTTGCTCCCTTTACACCACCTACAATTCTAGATATTGTCTCATGTATTCTCACTTCTTCTCCCCTACATATAAGACTTACAATGTATTCATCACAAAAGATAGTGAAGCTACTATAATGGAGGGTCTTAGATCTCCTGATTCTGGCACTGAAAGTGCACAACCTCTCCCTATATCAAAGCTTTAAGCATAATAATCTCCATTGGCTAAACCTACATGTGCAGTTTCAATAAGTCTATGAGCATAAACTTCTTAGCTTATGTTTCATAAGTTGGTCTTGGGGACAAAACTAAGTAAGCCTCCTTTAAAGGTGAAGAATAATTAAAGCCTTGTCTAAAGAAAAGGAAAGAGGATAGGAAAGGAAAGGAAAAAGGAAAAGAAAGAAAAAAGAAAAAAAAAGAAATATACCTAATTGGTAGAGCACATGCTTTGAAAAGAGGAAGTCTTAGATTCAATCATTGACATTTCCAAGAAGAAAAGAGAAAACTGGAGAATTTGTAACATAATATCCATAATCATGGGTTGAATGGGTCTGGAGTTACTCTACGCAAGAAAGGTCCTGCATTACTAAGTTTTGCTTAATGAGAAATTCTTTCCTGAAGCAATGAAATTGAAGTTAAGTTGGATTTATTTTTGAATAAACATTGTTCAAATATCATTGGGTTGTTAATACCAGAATAAAGTAGAAATACAAAATCAAAAATAGTTTCATGGAAGACCTAGAGAAATGTAATCATATGTGTTGCATAAGATACAGCTAAATGCAACATAAAATGAAAATCTATTGGGAGATTATGATCCTCCATTTTATAGTTGTAAGCAGTATCTTTTTTATAATTAGAATTCTAACAGTTTAATTATTATCATGACTGAAATAATTTCAGAAATTTACAATGCCCACAATTGATATTTCATGCATAAAAGAGAATACTATAGTACCAAACATTTAAAAAAAATCATTTTAGCTGTAGACTCTATAGAAAAGCATTTCAGATTAGTTTAGAGACAAAGGCTTACTGATTAAATGACACAACACCAAGAACAGAAATTTCTGGTATGCAATCTATGTATCCACCTAGGAGTCAATACCTTTGAAATCCATAATCATTTTGAATCAATATTATTGCAGAGTGTTAGCCTTCCCAGACAGACCAGACAGGAATCATGACCAGATGAACTAACTCTACTTTTATTGTAAAGCTTCATTAACAGAATCTTGCAAGTCTGATACCGCAAACCCTCAATGACTCTTTTATAGCCTAATAAGTTAGGGAGGTTTGTTTCTGAGTTTCTCTGCCTATTATGCAGCATGAAGGCTGTGCCATCTCTTAATTTATCATTCCTGAGGCAGCATCCTATCTTCCAAGGTCATTCCCACATGCCATTATACAAGGTTAGATATTCAAATTCAATGTGTACATAGCTTGGTTGCAAACAAAATTCCTCATCTAATATTACCTTTGAGTGTTAATATTCTCCGAGAGAGAGGCAGAGAGATAAGTAATCCCTCATCTCTCCTAATTATTCTAGAGATGCAATCTAGCTCTACACAAATTGTTTCTATGTGAGCTATAACCCAATATTGTTAGGTTCCAGCTAGCATGGAAGTTATTGCATAGTGATGTAAGCTCTCTGCTCCAGATAGTTGTACTGTAAATGCAGATACGGATTATTCACAAGTCAGCAGCATAACTAAAAGAGGGAAAGGTTTTTCACTGTAGCTCTGAATGGGGCTAATAGAGAATCTTATTATAGATCTTTCCCTTTACATCTTTTTCAGATGTTTTTCAATGTTTGTGGTATGGTACCTGTGCAGTATTATGCTTGATTTAGTAGTATTGCTTCCAAACACTATTGAATGGAATCCAACATTTACTCTACTAATAGGTTACACTACCAGATGATTTGCCTTTTTATGATATTATTATATCCAGGTTCAGACACTTCATATTTCTCTCTGGGTATAATTCTAGGAAAAGAGATGTTGCCCCAATATGGTAAGAATGTGAAAACATTAATTACAGGAAAATTGTAATCTGTTTAAACATAAATCATTTCCTGTTTCAGGTCTTGCACAGTCTGGCTCCTGGGGATGCTTTGATGAATTTAACAGAATTGAATTACCAGTCTTGTCAGTAGCAGCTCAACAAATTTACATCATTTTGACAGCAAGAAAAGAAAGGAAAAAGCAGTTCATATTTTCTGATGGAGATGTAGTGGACTTAAACCCTGAGTTTGGAATTTTTCTGACAATGGTAAATTTATTGTGACGAGAGTGTAGAGGTTCTTTTTAATTATTGATGGGAGAAAATCAATCATACATTTGTTATACAACTTACTTGAAAATAAATTACATGTTTCATTAATTATTTTGCCTATCCTAGCAATATATTTACAAGCTATTACATTTATAGCAATTGCACATTTTATATCTCAAGTAAAACTGATTGTTTACATGCCATCAAGTCATTGTTGATTCTTAGTGACCACATAGATAGATTTTCTCCATCTGCCCCTGACCTGGTCCTTCAGCTCTTCCAACAGGGCCCCCATTGCTTCAGTAACTGAATCTACCACCTTGCTGCTGGTCATTATCTTGTTCTAGTCTATCTTTTACAGCTTTAGATCCTTCTCCAGAGAACTAGGGACTTCCATAAAATACAAATATTTAATCAAATAAAGTTCATTTGGTGTCTGTTTTAAGAATTTTCTCTGTAGATGAATTTTTAAAATGTTATACTTCAATTCAGGCAGGATATTGTTTATCTTCTGGCAAGATGCTATCTTCTCAGCATCTATTAAATCTTATTTTTATTCCCCCATCATTACTTGATTGTGTTGTGTTGGAATTTTTACAAATAACACTTGATTGATTGTTCATTTAGAATGAGATAGCCAAATTGCAGTCAAATTAATCTGGGATCAGAAAATCATTCCAAGCTGCAATGTTGTAACCAAGTTAACAATTTGTGCTGATGAGTACTTCAGTGCACTTAAGTTTAGGAGTGGGAATCTTGATCTAATGGAAGGAGTGGCTGTTGGCACCTAGCTAGCAACCATGTCTATAAGAAAATCAGATGTTACATCTGAACTAACAATTTTAAGCCTAGGCAAAATTATTATCAAAAAGACAGCAATGTTTACATTAAGTAGATATGCAAGTGAAGACTGCTCTCAGATATCTACTTATTGTCCATCAGTCATGATGTTTGCAAGTATTAAAAAATTTTCTGTACCAAGAAGACTATTGGGAGTATCTTTCTGAATTCTTGAGATGTGGTAATAATCTTTTCAAACATATAGAATAACAGTTCCATAGTAGCGGGCATTTCTGTCTTCAGTAAAAATAGAACATGTGTGTGGAACTACATGTTCAGACTGTTATTTTCCAAAAACATTTTTTGTAACTATAATAAAACTTGGGATTATGGGAATCCATGCACCATGTTCTGGATATGACAAGAATAAATGGCTATTTCTTCCCTCACAATCAAGAAACAGATAGGAGGTTCAGGCTTGCATCCATATAAACTAACATACATTGTACTCCTCAACTATGAATTCAGGTAGACCAGAATCTTTTGCGTGAAAGGCAAGGATATGCCCCCACATTGACTTTGAAATTAAAAGCACTATAATTAACATGGCCTATGGTTTGATATAATCAAAATCAATCCAATTGCTTTGAATTATTTCTGTTTCCTTTTATTCATAGAATCCTGGCTATGCTGGGCGGCAGGAATTACCAGAAAACTTGAAAATTCAATTTAGAACTGTTGCAATGATGGTTCCAGATAGACAGGTACTGCTACTACTGTGCCATATTGTCATGCAGTATCATTTTAAATTTATAGGGCATCACTTTTATATCCCCCAAGTCTCTTATACTCTTTTATATCTTAGTCTGGGTTATTTTCTTTTCCCCCTAGTTTTGATTAATTTCTTAAATCTGTATGATTCCATTTCAGATCATCATGAGAGTGAAACTTGCAAGCTGTGGCTTTATTGATAACGTTGTTTTGGCTCAGAAATTCTTTGTTCTGTATAAACTTTGTGAAGAACAGCTTACTAAACAGGTAATATTTTATTCTCTCGTTAGCTATGGGCAAAAGGTAGTCATAGCTAACAGAGAGCAGCTCAATCAGAATATTTTAAGTAATAAAAATAAACATGTAAACCTAACTTGGAAACCTTATCAAGGGTTTTCCTAATTGATTTTGGCCTATTGCTATAGAGTGAATGATTAGATGAGGGTGGGCTAATCTCCTTATAAGTCTTTCTTTATCATGGTGTTGATAACTGGCAATCCCCTAGACCCAAGTTATTTATCTATTTAATAATTGCACTTATATGGCTGCCCATCTTACAAAAAACAGTGTACAACAATCAGTAGAACAACAAAGAAAGAAAGAAAGAAAGAAAGAAAGAAAGAAAGAAAGAAAGAAAGAAAGAAAGAAAGAAAGAAAGAAAGAAAGAAAGAAAGGAAGGAAGGAAGGAAGATAGATAGTTCTCAATTTATAACCACAATTGGGCCTAGCATTTTGGTCATAATTTGGGGCACTCCTTAAGCAGATCACCACATGACCTGATTCAATTTTATGACTGTTTTCATGATGGTCATAAGCTGAGTCATTGCAGTTGTTAAGTGGAACACGTAGTTGTTAAATTAAGCATGTAGTTAGTAAGCAAATTCAGCACAAGGGTGGGGTTTTTTTGCAACTTTCTGGAGGAAAACATTGCAAACCATGGTCATATGACTGAGGGGGGAACAGTACAACATTTTATGATGGTCAAAATTGCTTTATAAACTGAAAATCATTCTTACTTAGGCCATGATAATTTTGAACGGTTATCAAGCAACCAGTTATTAAGTGAGGATTACCTGTACTTTTTAATTATAAAAATATTAAAAAGTCATTAAAATTAAAAAAACATTTTAAAATTTAAAATGTACAAACCACACAGAGCATAAAAAGATCAACCACGTTGTAACCATTGAAGAACATCTCCAGTTCCTTGAGAACTCCAGGTATGGCGACATAACTAGGTCTTGAGGGACTTATGGAATGATAACAGGGATGGAGGGCAGAGTGATCTATAGGGTAGGCACCATGGCAGAGAAGGCCCACCTCCTGGGACTCACCAAATATATATCCCTGATAAATGCTACCTGCAACATGTCTTCTCTGTCAGATCTAATTATTATAGATCAATTTGCTTTTATTTGCTTTTGTAAACAATTTTTTTTAAACAAACCCCACCCATTTTGTACAAAAAATATATCTGGCTGCTGGTAACGCCCGTTAACATATGTATCTAATACACAAGAATTGATCCAAAATATAGTAATGGTTCTGTTAATGTGGGCCCAAAATGTGACAATAAGAGGAGAAAACCAAACCAAATGAGTTAGTATTTCAAATCCTGATCATCTGTAAGCACAGGATAATTTTTACTAAATTTTCTGAAACATCCAAAATGTATTAAGAAATTCCTTTGTTTATTAATCTTATTTTAAGACCATAGGAAGCTAATGCCATGTTTTTCAAACTTCCACTGGCTTACCAGGAGAGTATATTTAAGCTTATATTTCAGAAGCTGTATATATAATAAATATCAATTTCATTGACCAACTTCCTATAAAAAAAATACTGATTTAGAAGCCAGAGGTGATTCTTCTAAAATTGCAACCAGTGTATAACTTCTGAAGTCACAAATGCAAGTAATTGATCAAGGTTTACTATTTGAAATATGTATTTGTAATACTGTTTAAAATGAATAGCAACTACATATATCTAATACTAATTTAACACAAATATTAACTACACAAAGGAATAATACTTATTCAAAACACCATAATGCTCCCTATATGTCGTTGCTTTTGAAGTGAGTTAGCATTTTTAATTGTAGAAAACACATCCTCCAGACACATCAACAACACTGCTTGGACAGGCCAGGGTCACGATGTACGAATTGAATATCATCAGTATACTGATCCATACAGGACTCTGAATTTATAGGTGACCTCACCCAGCAGTTTCATGTAGATGTTAAATATACTGTGTTGAGCTCTATAGCACCCCACAAGTGAGGAGCTGTGGATTTGAACCAACCACAGAGAAAGGAAAAAAATGGCAATATAATGCACTCCGCTTCCAAAAAATATTATATGTGACAGTATCAAAAGTTGCCAAAAGATGAAGAAACACAATGATGGATGCACTATTCCCTTCTCAGTTTCCCCAAAGACCACCAACAAGCATATCCAGTGGTGTCTCAGTACTATTATCTAAAAGGGAAGGTTGGAGGCTGGATAAAAGTTGTCACGATTATTGGCTCCAATAATGGGTTTTTAAAGAGGGAAGAACTCTGCTTCCATTATGGTTATTGCAACCGTACCTCCTTTTTAATCACTTGAGACAACCTTTTTATACATACATGTGTATATGCTTGTACTGACTACTTCTATCTGAAATAGAAAATAGATTTTACCCTTTTCAAATGTTCACAGTTCTGTGAATGCCATTACGAAAGAAAGAAAATGTGCACAACCTATTGATTCATCTATTTTGTTTCTTAGGTTCATTATGATTTTGGATTAAGAAATATCCTTTCAGTGCTGAGAACGCTTGGATCACAGAAGAGGGCAAGGCCAGATGACAGTGAAATGAGTACTGTTATGAGGGGTCTAAGGGACATGAACCTCTCTAAACTTGTAAGAATGTATCCATTGCAGTGTTTGGTATTGATCAGGTTACAATATTTTTGTTATTTTTTTTTTTAGTTTTTAAAAACTGTTTTCAAATGAAAACAATGTGATCCTCTAAAGTTATATTTTGACAACTGTCATTATTTCTAAATCAGTTATTCTCCTGAATAATTAATGAAAGCATCATTGTCTTTAAAATTAATTATTGTTCTTAAGAAGATTTGGAATAATAATTTACTGTATATCTTCAGATCAAATGTTGAATGCTGATTTTCAGCAAAAAAACCATCTACTCCCTCTACACAGGGCCATAATTTTAATTTTGATGGGAGGGGGAAGCCAGCAGGTAATTTTGATAAAATAAAAAATATAGACAGTAAAATGTAATTTAAAGTATTCTTTCAGCGTAATATGAACACTATGAATACATTGGAAGCTGTTTAAACTTCCCATTGCTAGAGTAATTATGAAAATGATTTAGTAAGCTTCTTGTATACTTTTCTAGAAGTATGTGATTCTCAGTCTGACTGCATACTCTCTTGTGCATACATACAGTTATTTAGTTTGCATACAATAAATTAAGCAAATTATACCGAAATAAATAATATTGAAACCCCACTGAATTCAATGGAATCAGGTTATTGGAACTTACGCAGTACTTCCGTATAATTTATTGACCTTCATAAATTGTATCTAGTTTGTTCTCTATGTTCTCAAGCTCATAAGAAATATATATTTGAATGTTCTATTGCTGCTTCCTTCCCACAAGTCAAAAATTTATATGTAAAAACTTTTTTTTTGTTATCCAGGTAGATGAAGATGAGCCCTTGTTTCTTAGTCTTATCAATGATCTCTTTCCTGGGCTGGTACTGGATAGTAATACTTATGTTGACCTTCAAGCAGCAGTTGCAAATCAGGTTGAAGAGGCAGGACTGGTTAATCATCCTCCCTGGAATCTTAAACTTGTACAGGTATAACATTACATATTTTCAGTTTTCAGAAGACAGTACTATAGAATATAAAACTAAGTTATGGTAATTAAAGTTTCAATGTGAATTTTACCATCATTTTTCTCATATTCTTCAATAAATATGTTTCAGAGCCTCTTCTCAAATAATCCAAGTTTAATACTACATATTTTACATTATGTATGTAGTTATTAATATTCAGGAACCATACCCAAATATAACTTCTCAAGAAAGAGATATAATATCCCCTATCCTCCACTTCCAATAACCCAATGTCTTTAGATAATTTAGGAATGTAGCTCCCATAGTAATCACCCAATGGCTATTTTGGTTGAAAGTTCTGGAAACTGTATATCAGGAAAAGGTCTGAAGTGGGCAATTGATCTCATGGACCCTCTTGTGATTTAGCACCCTTAAAGATCAGTGTGCTATATCATAGGAACATTTGATTTATAAATTCCCTTTCAAACTCTATTTTATAAATTATGATTGATGTTACAGGGAGCTATTATGTACCTGTTCTAAAGGCCAAAAGGGTAGAATGTTATACCCAGTTCTTACAGACTGACTTTTTTTCTCTGTTAAGTATATTGGGGTTTTATATGTATGTTAGCAGTATCTATGCCATGGTTAACTTCACCATTTAGAATTTAGCCTTTTTTTCCTCATGACAGTTCAGGGTCTTTCATAAAATATGCCAATTGCCCTCTCACTCTTCATGTTTTAGCCCTTTTCAGGAGAAAATATTTTATGAAAGCAAGTCCAATAATCCAGTTCCATTCCTCTCCTACCACTCCTCCTTCTTTAGTTGTATGAAACATCCAAAGTACGCCATGGGTTGATGACACTTGGACCAAGTGGATCTGGAAAAACAACTGTTATAACTATATTGATGAGGGCAATGACAGAATGTGGATATCCTCACAGAGAAATGCGCATGAATCCAAAAGCTATTACAGCTCCTCAGATGTTTGGCAAACTGGATACAGCAACAAATGATTGGACAGATGGAATTTTCTCCACCTTGTGGCGAAAAACCCTTAAAGCCAAGAAAGGTATGATAAACCCATTGGAGCAAAGTACAAATATTTTTAAAAAAGAAATACTGTAACTAGGAACATGGTCACAGAATATCACTTTCCTATTAAAATTGTTCTTCTGTTTTCATCTATACTGATATTTTTCCCTCAAAGGAATTATATCACTGAATCAAGATAATATGAAGAACTGTAGTTTTCTGTGATACAATTTTTTTAATTTCAGTTTTTAGGGGGGGGGGGAAGTACCAGTAAAAAAGCTAGTAACTGCACTATCATCTTCCCTTGGGTCGATAAAAAACCTGAATCTGATTGCAATAGGGCTTAAAAATGTGTAGTATGTAGTCAAATTGTATCATTCAATATGCATTTCAGAATGATGAAGAAGATGACGATGATGATGAACTTATTAACTGAACCATAAATTCTGACTTTTGTAAACTCTTTCATTTTACTTCCAGGAGAGAATATTTTTCTGATTCTAGATGGCCCTGTAGATGCAATTTGGATTGAAAATCTGAATTCGGTGCTTGATGATAATAAGACTCTGACTTTAGCAAATGGAGACCGGATTCCAATGGCTCCTACTTGCAAGTTGCTGTTTGAAGTGCACAATATTGAAAATGCTTCTCCTGCTACAGTTTCCAGGATGGGTATGGTGTACATCAGTTCTTCTGCCCTAAGCTGGAGGCCAATATTGCAGGTATGTTTTGAGAGAGGATTTTCTAAAAATTCACTTTAAATTGTGGGACAACTGACTGGCATTCTCCTTTATTTTATTTTATTTTATTTTTTACAGGGATGGTTGAAGACTCGTACTCCACAAGAAGCAGATATATTATTAGGTTTATATGACAAAGTATTTGATGCAGCATATACCCACATGAAACTGAATCTTTTTCCAAAAATGGAATTGCTAGAATGTAACTATATCATGCAGGTATGTTTTTAGTAAATCTAACAAAACTGTGCCATATTGCTATTGAAATACACAGAAATCTTCTTTTCTTGATAAGGTTATTGAAAAATATGAGGTACATTAAATACAGTTTTGTTACGTGCCTTGTAGGTAGCAAAATGTATTATGTGAATCTGCAGTTATTTTCATTTTAGATTGTATTCCAGGTATTCTTACCTCTCTTCTTTTCTCTTCTCTTTTTAAAATATTTTCAGTCTATTAATCTTTTGGAAGGTTTGATACCCTCTAAGGAAGAAGGTGGCATTGTCTGTCTGGCACATCTTTACAGGTTATTTGTCTTTGGCCTAATGTGGAGTTTAGGAGCCCTTCTAGAGTTGGATAGCCGGGAGAAGTTGGAAGCTTTCCTGAGAAACCATGAAAGCAAACTGGACTTGCCAGTATTTGATAAAGGGGAAACACATACAATGTATGAATATTTTGTCAGTGATTGTGGTAAGTGATAGAGTAGTGCAATCCTTCTTAATTTCTTTTAATAATTCTAATGTTTTTAGTACAGTTTTGCAAAGAGCATTATCTTTTTATAGTTTATTCAGCCTATAATATATAACTTTGGCACTCATCTATAAATCAGAAACAATCGTTTATTTGAATGTTTCTATTTGGCACATTATACATTTTAGTAATACCTGCTAAAGAGTCAATTCTGCTTTAGTTATTTAGCAATAGGAATAACACTTAGACTTATATACCACTTCATAGTGCTTTACAGCCCTCTCTAAGCAGTTTACAGAGTCAGCATATTGCCCCCAACAGTCTGGATGCTTATTTTATCAGTCTCAGAAGGATAAAAGGCTGAGTCAACCTTGAGCTGGTGAGGATCAAACTCCTAGCAGTGAGCTGAATTAGTCTGCAATACTGCATTCTAACCACTGTGTCACCACGGCTCCTATTTCCTTAAATTTGTTGACTTGTACGCCATATCAATAACTGGGTGGCAGCTTAAAACCATAAAGTTAAAAAATAGATAAATATAGATTAAACAAACAGACAAAAGCTAAGTGGTACTTGGCACGCATTGTGGAGAAAAATAATACAAACTAATTTCCCAAAATTTTGTTTTAATAACAGCTTGATAGTTCTGAGTGGCAAAGGTTTACCCATCCTCACCAAAGGGGGGAAAAATAGGATATTCCTTTCATGTTCTTCTTATTGCCCATTTTCCCTTACACCCCCAACATAGAGCAGAAATATGGTAGCCATTTTCCAAAATAACACTTTGCTGGTTACAGGTTACCTCACCACTAGCCCTTGCTTGATTCTGTCTAATTCTGTGGTCTTAATTTGGTCAATCTGTCTGAAGACTGATCTGACTGGGAAAAAAAAACCAGAGCCCTTGGTTTCTTTAAGTCGATTGAGCTGCTACTGCATAGAGTGTCTGATTTCTTAAAAACTACTTTGATTATTAAATATAGTAATTGAAGAAGAGAAATAATTAGTGTTTTTCTACTGTTGTTATGTTCCATTTTAGGTGACTGGGATCATTGGAATAAAAAGGTTCAGGAATATGTTTACCCAACTGACAGCATTCCTGAGTATTCATCTATTCTAGTTCCAAATGTAGACAATGTCAGAACACAATTTTTGATGGATACAATAGCAAAGCAACACAAAGTGAGTGCATATTTTATTGGCAAACTATGAACTAGAGGATGCTACTTTGCCACTGAATATAATGCACACATTCTGCTAAATCATGATACTGTACAATGTGTTTAGCTTTCTATTAAGATGCCAAGTGAACCTGTCTCTCAACTTTCTAAATTATGATTTGTGAAAATTTGCTTTTTTTCACAATTTCTCTCCTAATTTTAAATTTTAAAAGTGGGAGGTGTGATGGACATATTACTGCTCAATGTCATACATATTTAATTATTTGATTTTTCTATTTGTGTCTATACATTGTCTATTTTGTCTGTGGAGACATACCCAAATAATTCTCCAATGAATAAATATGCCGCGCTCTATCTAGAAAATATTCTTCTTTTCTTAGAATTCTTTTATTTATTTTTCTTACTTTGCAGTCATTCCATTAATCTTCTCTCTCACACCACTCTTTCCACCCACCATTGTATGCCAAAATGTTTTTTTACTATCAAAGTGTGTATGAGTCTGTGTGCTGCAAGCAGATAACAGATTTTATCTGTGTTTTTACAACTCCTATAGCTCTTTTTCTTATGGATAAAATAGTTTTAGCTCCAGTTCATTGAGCCCCGCATGACTAAATCAAAAATATAATATATAATACAACAAGACAGCAAAGTCACATTGCTTTTTTTGTTGAGTTTAAGTATGTAATTTTTGGGGGCAGAACTGAAGAGTTTTTTTAATATATAATAAGGATGTGAAAATAATGATACTAAAATTATTACAGGCAGTATTGCTCATTGGTGAACAAGGAACTGCAAAGACTGTAATGATTAAAGGTTATTTAAAAAAATATGATCCAGAAGAACACTTATCAAAAAGTTTAAATTTTTCTTCAGCAACAGAACCTGGAATGTTTCAGGTAAACTGTAGATTTTATGAACTGTTTCTACATCATCTGTTTCTATATAAACTGTTTGAAATAACCTAAAGAAAAGGCCCAATTTTGATGTTTGCTGTGTGTTTTTAATACTCCAGCAATGATTATAAATTATTTCAGAGCATATTTGTTTGATTCCAATTGGTTGGCTTAAATTAAAACTCATTAACAAAAAATTAAAAATAACTTTATTTATTTGTGTTTTTGTGTGGTTTAATTATTAAGAGGACAATAGAAAGTTATGTGGACAAGCGGATGGGCAGTACCTATGGACCTCCAGGGGGCAGAAAAATGACCATATTCATTGATGACATTAACATGCCCATTATAAATGAATGGGGAGATCAGGTACAGTTTTAATAAGTGTCTATAGTTATACAAGTAAGCAATATTTTGTTAAAAAAAATGATACTTCTAAAAAAATAAGCTATTCCAGAAACTTTCCCCCATGTTAACAGTATTTTCTGATTGTGTTATAAAATTATTAGCACTGTTTAGAAACAGTATTTCAAGAATCAGTCTAAGAAAATTGTAGGCTGGTTGTAATGTTAACAGTATTTTCTGATTGTGTTATAAAATTATTAGCACTGTTTAGAAACAGTATTTCAAGAATCAGTCTAAGAAAATTGTAGGCTGATTGTAATGTTCTGCCTGAATAACAACTTCTATCTATTAAATAAGTATATATTCTTAAAGCAGTCAAGTCGTGTATTTTTCTTGACGTGCTTGCAAGACATTTTTAGGCAGTGCAACCCTTGTATGAATCAAGAGTGACAAGGATACATAGGTTGCATTTTAATGGAGTTCCTGCCTATGCAACCGATTTGTGAGCTCATATGTATGCAGAAAGATGTTGTATTGGGTTTTAAATCTACAAAGAAACGAGGAGCTCAGCAATACGGCATCTTAACTGAATACTCTTTTCTTTGATTAAGTGTAAACAATGAGATGCAACTCAGTTTGGGAATAGAAGAGTAATGCAGTAAGGAACATCCATATTTTATTTTAAAAGCCCCCACGTTTAATCCTTAATACTAAGACAGCTAAATTGGGATAAATTTTCTATCATCTGCAAGAGTTACTTTCAAGAGGGTCCACAGGTAAGAAACCAAACTCAATTCATATGCCAGAATGCCCCTTACAACTATGCCATTTCACATGATTAGGGGAGATGAAGCCCCTGGATCTACCATTGTCCCACCAGGTTTCCTTTTTCCTTGCTGCAAGGCTCAAAGAGTAATAATTTCCCCTTTCTGTGAAAAGGAAGAGTTTTGCTCAGAATTCAGAAATGGTCTGTGCCTGAGTGCTCAGGAGAAAAGCCTATGGACCATCAGAAATGTAGGATTTCTGAGCATTGCGATTCTTACCAGCTATTGTTTGGACAGAGAAGGTCAGGTTTTCAAAAATCTACATGTATGAGCAATGGAGATGGATTCTGAGTAAGGGAGAAGGAGCAGGACTTCAGAAAAAGCAGAAGGAGATGACAGAGCAGATAATAAATCCCCTGTACCTGATGTGGACATTTTTGAGTTAGATGGCAAGAATGTTCTCAGTATAAAGAATTAGTGTAGTTTTTATTGTTAATAAAAATGGTTATTTTTGTAATTACTTTCATTTACTGCATATACTGTGTTAATCCATTTTTGCTGTTGAAAGTTAAGAAATTTCTTTCATCCTGAAATCTATATAGATCCATGTTATTCTTATTTATTTTAGTTGGAGTGGTACTTTGCATACAATGTAAAGCTACACTTAAAACACATTCTGCCATGTATCCCAAGTAAAATAAAAATATGTGGGTTTTTTTTTCTTTTGAAAAAATGATCTGTTGCTTTTTTAAAAATGTGCAGGTGACAAATGAAATAGTGCGTCAGATGATGGAAATGGAAGGAATGTATAGTTTGGATAAACCTGGAGACTTCACTACAATTGTTGATGTGCAGCTTATAGGGGCAATGATTCACCCAGGAGGAGGTCGAAATGACATCCCACAACGCTTAAAGAGGCAGTTCACTGTATTTAACTGCACCCTTCCATCCAATGCCTCCATTGATAAAATATTTGGTACTCTCATTTTTCTCTGTAATTTTAAGTAGAACTGAACAGATTTCATACATTTTTTTTTAATCAGCGGATAATTCTTTTCCTTAAAGAAACTAAAGCCATGTGTGTGTAAACTGGTACATGGAATGAAATTGTCGGACATTGATATTTAATCTAGACAATTATTTTACAAATAATTTTATTGATTATTGATGAGGTGATCTAAATGTTCTCCATCAGAATTAAAAAGAAATAAATCTGCACCCATATGAATAATCTTGCTGCAGGGTAATTGCATCATTTTGATTCTCACCCAATCCAAAAATTTGAATGATAAATTGGATGATAAATTATCTAGAATTTAAATGTTTCCTACTAATAGCTGAGCTTCATTTCAAGGACACTATAATGTAGCTTCTTCAGCCACAGATGACTGAGCATTCGTATTGTTTGTATATTTTATTATGTTTTTGCCCAGTCCCTTGGAGAATTTACAGTAATGCTATCTTATCATAGAGAAACCAGGCAATTTGTTTTTGAGAGTCCCGCCTGGAATGTTTCCACATTAAATGAGGGAGCCCTCCTGTGTCTGAAGATAATGAGAGTTGAAATCCAAAATATTTGAAAGACTTTAAGTTAGGAAAGATCGCAACCAAATTTTAACAGCTACAATAAAACCATAGAGAGAGGAGTTCTATCATCGCAGGCAAAGGAACTGCATAAACACGAGACAAAACATAAAGAGTATAAAATTATATAGTGTCAGTATCAGGAAAATCAGGAGATCCAGGCAGTTCAAATGTGTATAAAGATATATTGTAAGCAAAAGCTCTCTAGGGCAGAATTCCCCAAACTTTCAGGATTGGTGGCCCGGAGTGGGGGCGAGGAGGGAAAAGAAGGGATGGGTTTGTGGGAGGGTTGTAAATTCATGCATACACATGTGCATGCGCACAAACACCCGTTCTTAAAGAGTGGCACCCTGAGTGCATGCATTAGTGGGACTGTGAGTACTTGCAACACTAATGGTGATGCGAGGCTTACACATGAGGCCTGCAACACTTGTGGCGATACTTGCGTGAGTGGGGCCGCGAATGGCCACAATGCTCATGGCGACGCTCACATGAGTGGGGCTGCAAACGTCTGCATCACGGGTGTTCACTGGGGTAGTGAACACCCGTGATGCTCACAGCAGTGCTTATGCAAGTGGGGCTGTGTGCACACATACCAGCCAACCATTCATGTGGCCCAGAGGCCAATAGGCCATGGCCCAGTAGTGGGCCACAGCCCACAGATTGGGGACCCCTACTCTACAGAAATCTAAACTACTAACAGTCAAAGGAAATTAGTGGGAATTAAGAATAGAAAGGAATTCAAGGTGGGCTGGACTTAGATCTCTTGTGGGCCTGAAGGGACTTCTGATTCATGACATGTTTAACCCCTCCCTTGGGCTCAGCCTGGACATCTCCTACATATAGTTACTATTCAAATAAAATGTCTAGGACAATTCTAGCTGAAAACCTCAGACTTTATGAAAATGCCAGACTTGCATCATAATGAAAAGTGATTTCCAAAAATGGAGTGCCAACCATTAGAAAGTCCCTTTGAGTAGTTACCATGTAGTTCAGTTGAAGCTGGTAAAAATGATCATTAATATTTTACCTGCGTTTAATCTTATGAAAAAGCCACAGTGAAGCAGTAGAGCATATCTATAGGAAATCGCAGGAAATATAAATAGCAAAATTTAATTCTCCATTGCTTGCCATTTGAAGATAATAAACCTTGAAACCAACCAGGTTTCAATTTTAAATTATTCTTAAAGAAGAATTTTTTTTCTATTATGAGACAGTTATTCAGTATCATATTTAATTTCATCAGTTCTGTAATTGTGGCCTAATAAGTAACTAAGCTCTATGTTTACAATCCTATAAGGTAAGAGAAAATAAGAAAAATTACAAATCCATACACCTGAACTGATTACATGACACCAATGCAGTAAAACTTTAGATTTAAAGCTGTTCTTACTTGAAAATATTAAAGCTAAAACTGTGCCATTATTTTTCAGGAATAATTGGCTGTGGATATTTTCATTCGTGTAGAAATTTCAAGCCTGAAATAAGTGATTTGATAATGAAACTGGTATCAGCTGGTAGAATATTGTGGCAATGGACTAAGGTATCATAATCAGTACTTACTAGAAAGAGATTCATTATTTGGAAGTATTATGGGGAAAAATCTATTTTTATGTGTTGTAGATAACTAATTTAATTTAGTTTTCTTATCTGAACATAAAAAGGTAGAGATTACCAGAATAATCTTGACTGGTGCTAGAAAAATCTGGTCCACTAAGATATAAGTATTTCTTATGCTTTACACAGCATTGTAAAATTCTTCATTATCTTCTGTTCCTCTTTGTTATTTTGCAAGAGCTGTTCTCTTTGTTTTTTAAATTTTAAAATGAGAATAAGTCCTGAATCTTACTTTAATTTATGCAAGAGGTCTTATTCATATGGTTGCTCTGAAAAAATATATATATTTCAGCCAAGATAGGGATAAACCTAAAACCAGGCCCCATTATTCTCTAATCGAAATACTCAAGTGTGTAGTCAAGGAAAATTCACTCAAAAGGAAATTCACAGGTAAGAAATATTTCTCATGTTTCAATAGTTTAAAACATAAACTGTGCTAGTATATAAGGAAGACAATTGTACACTGGAACCTATGTAAATGTTTTTCACTTCTGCAACGTAACAACTTGCACAAATACACATATATGTGCATATTTTTGTTATAGATAAAGATGCTGCCTACACCATCCAAATTTCATTATATCTTCAATCTGCGTGATCTTTCCAGAATTTGGCAAGGCATGTTAATAATTAAATCAGAAGAATGTACTGATATTCATATACTTCTGTCTCTATTTAAACATGAATGTACACGTGTAATTGCTGACAGGTAAGACTATTTACTGAAGCATTACAAGTAATAAAAAAGAGGGAATTGGCCACCTTCTACTCAGCTTTCATTTTGAAATCCAGATTCCAAAGATGAATCTGGAACCCCAAAACAAAGCTACGAAAACAAAAATGAATGCACACCCGGCACAAGTCACTTTTGCAATGTGATGGGAAAGAAGGGGTGAATGAGCAGGCAGAGTCTAATATATCTATTTTGACTCTGCAGTAAATGAAGTAAAAATTTTAAGAGAAAATTTTTAAATGTATCTTTTAAATTATTATTTTTCTTTTCCATCATAGGGAAAACTGGTGAGGGACTTCATATGTTGAAGGAATTTTCAACTATTGTCTTCTCTCCATTTTTCCTGTCTCTCTTTCAACTTGGCTAGTACTTCAGAAGGCTGGTGTAAGGAGACTTGACATAGCAATTTAGGATAATAATAATAATAATAATAATAATAATAATAATAATAATAATAATAATAAGAAGAAGAAGAAGAAGAAGAAGAAGAAGTAGTAGTAGTAGTAGTAGTAGTAGTAGTAGTAGTAGTAGTAGTAGTTGGAGGGACCTTGGAGGTCATCTAGTCCAAACCCTATACCATTTCAGACAAATGGCTGTCCAGTCTCTTCTTAAAAACTTCCAGTATTGGAGCATTCACCGCTTCTGGAGGCAGGTTGTTCCACTGGTTAATTGTTCTAACTGAAGTTTTATATCATCACAGAACTGCTAGAGAAGAGCAACAAACCCCATATTTCCAGAAGATTAGCAATGGAAAAGGTGGTGATGTAAGCAGAAGACCTTTTTCAATATAGCTCCACTTCTACTCTTTTCAGCTGCCAAACAGTAGCTGTGCTTTATACCACAGGCCAAGGAGAAGAATTTGAGCTATTCCCATTTAGACTTCTATGTCATGGTTAAATTGACACCCAGTGGTGCTGAAAGCAAAGGAAAACAATGGAAGATCTGGGTGGCCTCTTGCCATGTGATAGAAAGTATGTAACGTTCAGATGTAGTGAATACACTATTTTGGTTTCTCTAAACTGGATTTGAGGTAGGAGTCTAAAAGAACAAATGAACTGATATGTTGTAATATGTTGATTAAATTCAATTTTCACACCAGGATAGTTGGCATTTTGTGATTTTTTTTGTGACCAGTGATTCACTGGTCCAGTAACCCAAGATGAAATGGTCATGGAGAGCAGGAACCAATAATTAAATGGGAGGGTACGTTCCTACCATGGAGAGCAGTAGCTAATCTGGAAGGGAGACATTTTTCTACAATACAGTGCAATGAAGGAAAGTAAGCAAACTAGACAGCATCACTTGAGCCGTCACAAGTTAAACAGCATTTTTTAACCTTGCCAACTTTAAGATGTTTGGATTTCAACATCCAGAATCCCACATCCAGCAATGAAAAATATTGAGTTAAAAAATACTACTTCTTAAGTTTGGCAGGAAAACACAGATGAACAGCTGAAGTTAAGTAGATGACTAGATTGCTGCCTTTTGTTGTAAAAAGAAGCCTGTGTTACAAAATAATTGAAAAAATAACTTTGATTATATCAGTTACTTCATAATGAAGTATGGTCCTAAATTATAGCTTTGGCTTCATTCAGAAATATATTATGTATCTAGTTCTAAGCATGATATGAAAGTTACTGAAATGGTTTGGTACTTATTTTGTTTTCATAATTATTTAATCCAAAGAAAAAATTAGTGGAAGTTTTGCATTTATAATGACTATATTTGTTTCTTGCAGATTTATTACTGAAGACGATGAAGAATGGTTTGACAGAAATTTTAGTAGAGTAATTGAAGAACATGTGGACCCAAACTTAGTATCAAAAGTTCAGGCTGAACCATATTTTGTAGATTTTTTGCGGGATATGCCTGAGCCAACGGGTGAAGAACCAGAAGATTATGTGTTTGAAGCACCCAAAATTTATGAATTGGTATTTACATAGATTTTGATTTTTATATTTTTTCCTTGACTCTAGGATGGGTAATTGCAAAAAAAGTAATGAGTAGAGTTACATAAAATTTAAATCCATAGTCAAAAACTGCATGAAGTATATCCATTACATTCCAGCATAATAAATATTCTGCAACAACTGTCTATATAATGTTCAGGATTAGAGCAATTGCACTTGGTAGTGGTAGTGAAATCACTTCCAATGATACAAAAAATTCTCCAAAGAGCACCTTTCTATTTATTGGCATTTAATGATACAAAAAATACTGATCCACAGCAGCCATTCAGAAGCAAGAAAGGTAATTACATGCAAGCAGAATTAAGATTAACATTCTTGCAATTAATAGTTATTAGTTACTAAGTATGTGCATTTAAGATGCTCACTAGCCAATCTAAGAGTTAGTTGTCTTTTTCATTTTTTACTAGTAGAAAAAGTTTGGTAAACTAAGTTGTCCATGGATAATTTAATTTTTGCTATCTGGATGCATAATAGATGTGCCAGCCTCCCAAGTTAGATTGTATGAAGTCTTAAGTCTTATTTCAAAATCTCTTATGGAGAGTTTATGGTTTTTTTGCTTGCTCATGAAATTGATCTCATGACCAATTTACACTCAGAGAGACACACAGACACTTTTGTATATTTTGGGGGGTCTTTTACATTTTACTGGTACAGGCAATAATATTTAATAACATGAACTGAGAAATGACTACCACTGCCTGAGCCAACGGGCTCAGGGAAAATCAAACTAGAGCTGGAGGTATATGCAACCTTTCACAGATCTGGTCCTAATCTATGCTCAGATTATACCTTCATCTCATGAACAAAATCTCCCTCATACATGGATTTGTCTATATTCCCTTGTGTGAGTGAACACAAGTGGTACTGAAGAAAAATTAAAATGTGCTAGATGTGGCCTGCAACCATTGTCTCCTCACCAGTCACCTATTTTTCCAAAAAATAGGCTAAGAATGAAACTTTTTTTTTTTCTAGTACAAAGTCATGACAAAACTAGCATGGAAGTGCTCCAAGAGATCATCTTATTAGTAAACAAAGGGTCTGGGCTTCTTTTTCCTAGTTTTGGTGATATAATGCAAAGCTTCTTTTCTCAAAACAAGCATTCTTAACCACAGAAACCATAGAAAGTAATAGATTAGAGAATACAGGACAATTGAGATGAGCTTTGTGCTGGAAAGTAGTACAGAACTATATCAACTTTATTATTTTATTATTTATTCAGCATATTTGTAAGTTGCCACAAACAAAACAGCTTTCATGGCTCATACAGAAATATGATCTCAAGAGTAACCTAATTTTCATAATCTTTGCTTATGATTTACACTTATGATGCACTTAAGCTACAAGAAATGGCAGTATAGAAATTGTGTAGTAGTTATGTTCAGGAAGATGGCATAAAGAAGAGCAAGAATTAGAAAGGAACATGCAGATTGAAAATCCAACTACTACAAACCTAAGGTCAATTGACATAAGCCAACTATTATAGTTAAAAAACCTATAGCCAGTAAAATAAGACTGATGCAAACATGGATAAAGAGGCTACTGTACATAGTATAAGAGTGAGCTACCTGCAGCACTGAAATAAGAGAGGGGGGGAGGGAGGGAGGATATCAGGGTTTACAGTGCTTGACCAAATGCAATCATGTAATTAGGGAAGGAAATTATTTTGATAAAGTTTGTGTCTAGAAAACCAATGTAGTTTTGTACATGCCTGGACAGAGCTGATTTCTTTGCATTTATGTGATGGCATTGACTTTACTTTTGGGTGGTTTAGTAATGTTTTCACAAAATATGTTCTTTTTTTTCTCTTCCATTCAATCATGTGCAATTCTTGGAGAATGCCTGAATAGGTCCATGCAGTTTCTTGGCAAGGTTTTTCAGAGGTGGTTGCCACTGCCTCCACCCTAAGATTAACAGAAAGTGACTGACCCAAGGTCACCCCCTCTGTCTTAACCTTTACATTACCTTTACCTTTCTTTAATCTTTTATTTTTAAATCATTGAAACAGATTATTAATCTCACCACCCCACACAATAGCCTCTTAATCCATGCTTATATCTGTCTTATCTGACATGCTTATTAATATTTTATATATCTAGGCTTTTGTTTGTTTGTTTATGTAAGTATAAGTTCTTCGGGGAAAGGACTTAGACTATTTTTTTTTTCAATTTTAGTGATTTGTTGATTGCAATAGTGGTTTAATTTTTAAAAAAATTAATGGTAGTTTTAACATTCTTATTTTCTTTACCATTAGGTTCCAACTCTTGAATTTTTATCTGATAAATTACAGTTCTACCAAAGACAATATAATGAAAATGTTCGAGGTGGACTGCTTGATCTGGTGTTTTTCAAGGATGCTATAACACATCTTGTTAAGGTTTGTGTCTTTAACTCTAAATGTAACCTTCATTTCAAATTGTTCATTTATTCGGATTATGCCAATGCTGCTTTTTATCAATTTCAGTATAAGTAAATAATGTAAATATTAAGAATTCAAAAACTAATAGCTTTTTAAAAAGATAGTGGTATGATGATGGTGATAGTGATAATGATGTTTTTAGCCTGACAGAAATGTTGATACAGATTATCTTCCTGGTTTGCCATTACTGAGAAAACTCTTTTTTGTAGATGACCAAGCAATGGAAATTATTAGCTCTCCTAGAAACACTGTTTTGAAAGTCTGCATATTATTTTAAGAAATTAGTTAAGTTAATTTGTTAGATATAAAGGTACTTAATTTGGATTATGGTATTATTTAAAGATTATTGGGTCTATGTTTTACCAGTAGAAAAGCTATGGCATTACTTATAAAACTCAAAGGGACATAAAAGCAATTCTATAAAGCAGGGATACCCAACCTCTGGGCCATGGACCGGTACCGGTCTGTGACCTGTTAGGAATTGGGCAACATAGCTGGAGGTGAGAGGCGGGTGAGTGAGTGAAACCAAAACCATCCCCATCCCAGTCCAGGGAAAAATTGTCTCCCACAAAACTGGTCCCTGGCACCAAATGGATGAGAACCTCTGCTGTGGAGGAGACTTCAGTATGGGCTTTTGTAAATACTGCATATGCATTGGAATAATATAATAAAATTTAACTATTGTTTTTTACAACACAGTTCAGAGAAAGCTTCTATGAAGTTCCTTTGAGACTATACCAATGCATATAGAGATGCACACCATCCTCAAAGAAGAATATTTTTTTATCTTCTTTTCACTGAATGGAAAAGATCTATTAAAAAGTGACTAAATTGGGTTTCCTTTTTTTTTAATCTTCATTAGAGCTTCAGTGTAATGTAGTAGCTAGAACAGAAGAGACTAAGGCAGTGGTGGCGAACCTATGGCACGCGTGCCAGAGGCGGCACTTGGAGCCCTCTCTGTGGGCACACATGGCGTTGCCCCAGCCTTGCCTCCTCCCGCGACCCCTTCACCAACAGCCCCCCTGGAGGAGAGTTGTCTCTGAGCATGGCCCACATGGAGCAGCACAGCCAAGGACATGCAGCCAGGCAGCATAGACAAGACTCTGCCCTCATGTCCCATCGCGCACAGTTGATGCAGTGGGGCATGGGCAGAGGGCATGGCTGCCATGGTGCTGCTGGGCTGCCTGGGCGATCTGCGGTGGGCCCTGGAGGGGATGAGTGGCCCTGTGGGCAGGCAGGGTGGGGGCGGGGCAGGGCCAGTTTTTGGGCACTCGGTCTCTAAAAGGTTCGCCATCACTGGACTAAGGCTAGAATCCATTCTCAGCTGGGGAAACTAGCTAGGTGACTTTAGGCCAGTCACACTCCTAGCCCCTCCTACTCCTCACATTTGTTTTGAAACTAAAAGGAAGCTCTAACTTTATTTCCCCATCACACACTCCTGAAGAAAAGACGGAATATAAATCCAACTAATAAAAATCTTTAAAAATAGGCTTAGGCAATGATTCAGCTTTGCCATCCTTGTGCAATGAGTTTAGCATACAATGTATGTCCTTTTCTCTTTTAATATTGTAGATCTCCCGAATAATCCGGACAGCATGTGGAAATGCTTTACTTGTAGGAGTTGGTGGTTCTGGAAAACAGAGCCTTTCAAGGCTTGCTTCTTTTATAGCTGGATATAGAATCTTTCAGATAACTTTAACAAGGTCAGAAACATATACTTAATCAAAAATGAATTTGAGTTTCCATGCAGAATTAGAAGCTCCTATTTGTGATGAAGGTAGATTGTGCATATTTATGTGTATATAGGATCATTGTTATGATATTAATGATTATATGTTCAACTGTTGAGTCATATTAAATGACATAACTGAGGAAAGAATTTCTATACATGTGAAGAAATTCTTGTCCTGCCCTCTTGTAATACAACTTATAATACAACTTTTTAAATGGCACTTGGCATGTCACTTAGAAAAGACTTGGTATGACTGGAGGTTCCTTCTTAGATGCCTATCCCAGGTCTTTGGGAAGGACTTCATAGGTAGATAAAAATGCCAAATGCAGTCTAATATCTGACTGACTTTGCAAGCAATCATAATGTAAGAGTTAAACTAATAAATATTTTAGTTTAATATATTAAACTAAAATATTTATATGCCATCTACATTTATATGTCATCTATAGATAAACAAAAACATTTGGGCAGATTTTCTTTTATTCTTGAATTCTTTTAACTGCATTGATACTTTGCGTATGATGAATTTTTATTGGCAATCTTATAATGCAGAAAAGTTATTACAATTTAAATTGATCATATCAATGTGATTATTGATTGATAATAACTCAATTTACTTAACATTAGGATCTGACATATATTCTGAGGCTGTGCTGCAGAGTTAAGTATTATAAAGCATCAGTGAGACAATGCTGTCAGTAGATGTGAGTTATAGTTCAAGCAGAATGCTAATATACTATGTTGGTACACAGCTGATTCATGATGGTACTATGTCTAATTTATACAAAGATAACCTTAATTTCTCCTAAGTTGGGGAACAAGTTTTGCATAAAAATATCCTGGAATTATCATTAGCTCAGACAGGAAAAGCTACTTGGATAAGCAGCAAAATGTTTCAAACCCCTCAAAAATAGTCTAGTTGCCATGATTCAACTTCCAGACTAGTCTAGCTGGATGATTGAGAATCTTCATAGAGATCCTGGAACCAAGTTTAATTTTAAATTAAGCTTATTTTTAATATATAATCCAATTCCACATCGTTCTCTTTGTTTTGATTCAGTTTGAACAAATTGTATCTTTCAGTTGTTATAGTCCAGTCCTGGCAAGTCATCCCAAACAGGTTTCCTTTTTATCTATTAAATCAGATGTGCCTTTATTACTAAGAGCTTAAATGCATTTTGTTTCTTTCCCACACTTTGACATTAATATGTGGGCAATAAACCTTATGAATGATATCCCAAAGGTGCTTTTTCATGAGGCAACTTCTTATTTTTCTTTAAAGATGTTTCATGTCTCATCCAAGAAGTTTCTTCAGCTCTGATGAATGATACTTTTTCTTATTTTTGCTTGAGTGGTTTTAGAAGTTCCATTTCAGTAATACTCCCCATTAAAATATGCAACAAAATTTCTTTATGGATATAAGGGAGCATTTATAGTTGCATATAGAAGTCTTCTTACTTCCAATCCTTGCTGTATTGACTTCATTAATATTTCCTAAACTTATAGATGAAGAATTTCTAGTGCAGGTCACATTTGTTTGTTGGTTTGCTTTCTCCTCTCAGGTCCTACAATATAACCAATCTAACAGATGACTTAAAGAACTTATATAGAGTTGCTGGTGGTGAGGGAAAAGGAATCACATTTATTTTCACAGATAATGAGATAAAAGATGAAGCATTTCTTGAATATCTTAATAATCTGCTTTCTTCTGGAGAGGTTAGAATTTCAAATCACTATAGAGGTTGCTGTTATACTGATTATTGCATTCTTACTTGTAGTAAGCTTCACCTTGATTAAGACCCTGATAAGATGACTCATAAAGCATAAAATTTAATCTCTGAAGCACTTTGGAAGTTGCTGAGTTTTATTCAAAAGCTAATTTGATGTATTTGTTTGAAAAATTGAAATTTCATTTATTCATTGACAGTAATCTGAAGCATAAAGTAGAATAACCTTTTTTTCCCCACAAGAAATACATAAGGAAGCAATAGACCTCTATAACAGAATGAAACTTAATAAATCTGAGACAAATAAGTGCAAGGGATTAGCATCAGAATCTTTAGCTAGCCAGTATTCCATTTTGTTTCAGTGGAGTATATTTGCTGTAACTTGTTATTATTATTCATTTATCATCTAATAAAGCTAATAATATTTCTAGAATATTCAATATTTTAAACTAGCTGTAAGTATTGGAAAGAATAAAATCCCAAGCACAAAAGACAAAGTGCAACATTTTGAATACCGTTTACATGAATATCTATGCTTCATTATTTCTTGACATCATATATTTTTATAAAATACATTAGTGAACCTCAGTTACCTATGAATTATAAACTGAAGCGGATGTTTCCTGAATTAGGAGAGTCTTGGAATCTATAAATTAAAAACTGTGGTATTTTAATAATATTCATAAACATCTTTTTTCTGTAATTTTTGCTTTTTCTGATAAGATCTCCAATTTATTTCCTCGAGATGAACTGGATGAAATAACCCAAGGACTTATATCTGTAATGAAAAAAGAGCTGCCACGAGTTCCCCCAACTTTTGATAATCTTTATGAATATTTTATATCACGGTCAAGGAAAAACCTCCATGTTGTACTCTGCTTTTCTCCTGTGAGTTTCCTTTAAATATATGTTTAGACAACTAATAACCCATTAGATCATCATTTCAGAGATATTTCCTTGCCTAAACAGAGAAACAGGATGATCATGAGTAGGCAAAAAGCAGTGGGAACGGGAACTTCTGACTTCCTGTTGGCTTTCTCATTGACTTCCCTTGTAGGAAGTTGGCAGGGAGCATTGGAAATGACAATCACGTGATTATGGCTGACCACAGCATCAGGATGGTGCTAAAGTAGCTACATCCTTAACAAATGTCATTCTTATGGGACTAATGGGTCCCAGACTTTTGATGCATTATATTAGCCCAGTTGAGGTATAGGTGGGCCTCAACTTACGAGTACAATTGAGTCCAAAATTTCCATTGTTAAGCAAGGCAGTTTAGTGAGTTGCATCCCATTTTATGAATTTTATTGCCACAGTTGTTAAGGCAATCACTGCAGATGTTAAGTGAATCTGGCTACCCTCTTTGTACTTTGCTGGTTGGAAGCCAGCTGTGAAGTTACAAGTCATAAATACATGCTAGTTGCCAAGCACCTGAATTTCAAGTGACTATGGAGATGCTGCAAAGGGTCATAAATATGAAATGTGGTCGTAAGTCATATTTTTCAGTACTGTTGTAACTTCGAGCGTCACTAAATGAATGTAAGTCAAGGACTATCTGTTATTTCAAAAACTGTTGCCCTATGATGCACATGTTACCCAATTGAAAGTTACAAACAGGAGGGTTTTAGTAGTGTGTGAGTTTGTGTGTGTATGTTTATTAAGGGATTGCAAGGTTGTAAATAGGGATTCATTATTTTTTTGTCATTCTAAGCCACTGCAAAATTATAAAAATTTATAAATAAGATTTTTTTTTAAAAAAAGTAAAGTTCCAATGAAATCCTGCAAGTTTAATTCTGCAGTCATTTTTGTGGGAATGTCTATTAAGTTAAAATAGACTTCTGTATATATAAATATAGTATAAAATTGGAATATGCAACCCAATTCTATATATGCTATTTGGAAGTAAGTACCATTCCCAAATAACATGCACAGAAGTATAAAGTTCAGAAGGATTTCCTTTCTTAAGGATACAAATAATGTTCTAGACCAGGGGTATCAAACTGCCGGCCCATGGGCCAGATGCATCACATGGAAGCCATGCCCACCCCAGCTCCAGCAAGGGGGAAAAAGTCACAATACATCGCAACATATCATGTGACATGGCGAGTTTGACACCCCTGTTCTAGACCTATTTATTCCAGATCTAGATATAGCATGGCATTTATGTTGTATAGCAATATTCAACATAAGTTTGCTTTTAAAAAATACTTACCTGCAAGCATTGTTAGAATTATGTTTCTAATATTTTGTTCCTCTAATACATTATTTAATCAGCAATTACTTTGTTATAATTAACAGCTTACATTCTAAAATACGTATATTAAAATATGAAAGATTTCATAGGAGCTTTTTTTCTCCTCTCTCCAATGAGGTTTTATGATATTACAGACCTTGTGCAGATTAGTTCATACTTATACTAAGCAATAATGTGATTTCCTTGGAATGTTATATGAATACAGCTAACATGAATATCACTAATGCCTTAAAAAATAACATGTTGTTTATTGTGATTAATCCATAGGTTTAACACAATGTATGAACCTAGACTATGTGTATAGTCCCAGCTTTTTTTATATGTAACAATTGCACTGGAAACTGTATATAACTCAGGCAGCATATAAGTTTAATAAATCATCATCATCATCTTGATCATCATCATGATCATCTGTTATATGTGCCATAAATATATTTCATTGATATGTCACTTTTTCTCTATGTCTTATTTTTGCTAGGTTGGTGAGAAATTTCGTGCACGGTCTTTGAAGTTTCCTGGTCTTATATCTGGATGTACTATGGATTGGTTTACTCAGTGGCCCAAGGAAGCCCTTGTTGCTGTGTCACAGTATTTTCTGTCAGGTTTCAATATTGTCTGTTCTCCTGAAGTTAAAGCACACGTGGTAGAAGCTATGGGCATCTTTCATGACCTAGTTTCAGAAAGCTGTGACAATTATTTTCAAAGGTAATATTTAAATGTGTATAATTTTGTAATTATATGGTTTTATATACATATTTTTTTTAATATCATGAACACATTTTACAAGAAAAAAGCTAGCAGAAAATGGACGTGGAAGAGTCCATTGGGATACTCCAGCAAAATTGACTATATCATGTCAAGTGATAAAACCATATTCTGCCATTGTACTGTCATCAATTGTTTTAATGTTGGAAGTGACCATAGAATGGTACAAGCTAAAATGAAGATAGACTGTCGAAAAGAATGTATGAAAATGATAAAGATGTCATGAAAAACAAAAAAAGAGTGATAAGCTGTTAGAGGAGAACAGCAATGTTGAGATTAATCTGTCAAATAGCTTTGCTCTATTTCAACATTTGGAAGAGATGAACATTACAGACTAAAATGAACAAATAGTCAAAAACATTCTTGAATCTGCTGCATCTATAGCACTGCCAGAAAAACACTTGGTACAGTCAAAAATCTCTGATGAAACTATTGATTTAATGAAAAAATGAAGACAATGAGGAATACCAGAAATTTCACTAATAAACTGAAATACATTGAACTTTGCAAGACCATAAGAAAACATATCCAAAAAGAAACACATCGGTTTAATGTGAAGCTTGTGAAAAAGGCAATTGAAGAAAACAAAGGGATTAATAAAGCAAAATGCAAGCTTATAAACAAAAGAAACAAGGTTTTTGCATTAAAACGTGAAGATGGCTCTGTGTATAGAACAAGACATTAGAAATAATTGGAATTCTATCCAGAGCTATACAATGATCAAGATTACTCAAAAGAAACAACATCCATGAAAGAGGAAATGCCAGCTATCCTAGTGGAGGAAGTATCAAGTACCATAAAATCAATGAAAAATGGCAAAGCTTCAGGAAATGACTGTGTTACGGTTGAAATGCTAAAACTGGCGGTCACAGTTTACACAAGATAATAGCAAAACTATACTCAAAATGCCTCAGAGAAGAAAAAATACCTGATGCATAGAAAAATGTTGAAGTGATTCTTACACACAAGAAAGAGCCCAAGATGTTTTAAAGAACTATCGCTCTATCATCTACAAGATTTTCACCAAGATAATAGCAAAAAAAAATATTGAGAACATTAAATGATGCACAACCAAAAGAGCAAGCAGGGTTCAGGGTTCAGACTACAGCATAAATGATCACATCCAGGTTGTTCAGCAAGTCATTGAAAGGCACAACAAGTGCATGGCTTTCATTGACTATGGAAAAGCGTTTGGCTCAGTATTCAGCAAGCAATAATTAATACATTGCTCTAATTAACCGTGGCATAGACACTGCTTACATAAACGTAGTACAATCAATATATATAAAAAAACCAATGGCAACAATTTGCCTTAATGGTCTTAAAGTAGAAATCAACATAGAACGAGGTATATGACAAGGCGATACAACATCACCTATCCTTTTCTCAGCCTGTCTTGAAGAAGTATTTTGCAAACTAGACTGGGCAAAAGATGGAATAAAAATCAAAGGTGCCTATTTAAATCACTTAAGATTTGCTGATGATGTTCTCTTCTCACAAGACCCAGAAGAGCTACAAAGACACATACAAGAGCTGCACAAATCAAGAGAACCATTTGGCTTAAAAATAAACCTGAAAAAGAACCAGGTTATGTTTAATAAATTCACTAAAGAAAGAAAAATATATATCTGGAGAAGAATTAGATGTAGTAGACCATATACCTTGGCCAACAGATCTCAGTGGAAGATGATACAATAAAGGAAATTGAATGGCATGTTAAATGTGGTTGGCTGGCATTCAGCAAGCTATGCATAATTTTTTTTAAAAAAAAAGTTTTTTATTTATAATATAGTTAAAACAAAAATGGACATAACGTGACATTCCAGAATAAATATTCCTAACAATTTGTTGCTCTTAATACATAAAATTAATACATAATTCTTGATCTCTATATAAACATTCTTCTATACAATACAGTTATATATACAGTTATATATATTTCTGTCTTAACACTAACTTGAAACCCAAGCAGTTCTCCTTGATTCACACCAGTAATAAAATTTGTCCCAGATTTCAAAGTAGTCTGATTCTGTCTTATCCTTCATTTCCATTGTGAGCCTATCCATTTCAGCACACAATAAAATTTTATATAAAATCTCTTCTTCTGTTGGAATTCCTTTATTCCTCCAGTTTTGAGCATACACCAATCTAGCAGCCGTGAGAATGTGTAACATCAAATAAATTACCCCTTTGTCGTATTTCTGTGTGGTTATGCCTAGTAAAAAGAGTTCTGGTTTTAACTCTACCACTAACATTAATATTTCTTCCAGCCATTTTTAACCTTATTCCAAAAATCACGGGCTTGTGGGCACTCCCACCAAAGCTATGCATAATTTTCAAGAACAACCCCCTCCTATGCTTGAAGAGGAAAGTTTTCAATCAGGGTGTGTTACCTGCTCTAATATATGCCAGTGAAACATGGATACTAACTTCACAATTGATTCAAAAGCTACAAGTGGTGCAAAGAGCCATGGAAAGATACATGCTCGGCATTACAAGACAAGTCAGAAAGACCTGCACATGGATTAGAGAACAAACAAAAGTATACGATATCATCAAGAGAGTAAAAGAACTGAAATGGCAATGGGTTGGTCACATACAAGAAGAGCTGATGGCAGGTGGACCAAGGCAGTCATAGAATGGATCCCATTTGATAAAAAGCATCCATGAAAGAGACCTAAAACAAGATGGATCAAAAACATCAGCAAGTATTATGGGCCCAGTTGGAAAAGAAAGCTCAGGGCAGTATTGGTTGGAAACATGCGGAAGAGGCCTTCATCTTGCAGTGGATAGACAATGGCTAAGATGATGATGATGATACATAAAAATCATTTTGCAATTTAATCTCAACATATTATATAATTATACATTTGGAATAATGTTCAATATCATGTGTTCCAACCTCCCGATTAGAGCAGGATCTATAATAGTATCACTGATTGATGAGTATCCATTTTCTGCAGTTTCTGTTTGAAGAATTCTAGTGAAAGAAAATTCACCACATCATGTGGTTGCTGTAAATAACGTCACTAATATATAGTAAAAAGCATAACGCCTCCATTGCCTTATTTTTCTGTGTCAATTGCCACCCTTGCAAAACGAAATATACTTACAATTCAAAAGCAACCCAGTCACACTTTAACAATTGATAAACAGAGATGTAACAGAAAATTATATATAGAATCATTATTTTGGTTTCAGGGGAAACATGATTATTTTACAGACTTCCTAAATTAATGTTTAGAACTGTTATCATTTACATAATATAATAATCTAATACCCTAGGTTGTATCTTGAGATTATTATATAGTTGTGGCATTTAAATCTGAAGAGATATCACTATTAAAAATTACAGATATCGGCGAAGAGCCCATGTCACCCCCAAATCTTATCTTTCTTTCATCAATGGCTACAAAGATGTTTATGCTGATAAGCTGTTCAGCATTAATGAACAAGCTGAGCGAATGAATATAGGTAAGATAAGTCCAAGTCAAAGATTTTATTTTTTCAATCCTTTTACTATGTCATCATATATCAATATATTAAGAAGTGAGCCTCAGCTGGACTTGTTTTCAAAAGCATATATAAGACCAGAGCTTAATGTTCTCTACTAACTGATATTAAAATTGCAAATGGATCAGTTGTTTTGTTCCTATAATCATTTATTATTTTGGGGGAGTTAATTATTATTCTTTCTCTTGTGATAATTAACTATCCTGGAAGTATTTGTTATGAAAAG